AACTGAAACAAAGTGCAAAGAAGAAAAACATTCTTTGATCTCCAGTCTCTTATGTACTAAATCTGTAATGGAAACAAGCTTCCAGAGAATGAAGTAGAATGCAGCATTTGTTGTTTATGGATTCACTGAAGTAAGTTTATGCAACACTGCACAAAAAGGGTTGAAAATTAACAAGCTTAATACACAGAAATTGTATCTACAGTAATCAATTTTCCAACTACAAATTGTACAATTACCCAATGCTCTCAAAATTCCTGGATAGTCAAATAAAATTAGTCTATCAGTTTCCAATAGAACATTCCAGTTTTCCAGGAAAAAGCCAGTTTGCTGATTTATCACAATAGGTTGAATACATGTTGCAGTCCCATGGGTTACACAATCTAAAGATTACTGCAGACTCAACTTAGTGTGTGATCCAAGTATTATTCCATATTGTATAATAGGAACAAATCTACTATTTCTAAACTTCAGAATGATGACAAACTATCAAAGAAACTAAAATCATAATTTTTTTTCGCAGTGGTATTAGTAGTACACCATTATGCATTTACTGCATAATGGTAACTTGAAGATGCAACAAAACAACTTGAATTTATATAGTGCTCTTTACATGAGTGCTGAAAACAAGATCAGAAAAGGCAAAGACTGTTCTGAATCACAGAAACTGCAATCTGAGTAAAAACTGTGGTTGGACGAATGTGAATCACAATTGATGAGCAGAAGTGGATGGAACCTTAAAGTTTCAGTACTTCCTTTCTGCACTTAACTAAAGTTGTGACCCAGAAGGGAGGTCTGGGCAGACACCGCCTGATATTACGATAGGCCTACTATGCATTATAATATTGGAGGGAAGAAAACAACAACAACAACAACAAGATTCCATTTATAAAGCGCCTTTCACGTCAGGAGGACGTCCCAAGGCGCTGCACAGTTGGGTCATGACCCGAGCAGGGGGGAAATGGTCAGGGGAGGGAAGGGAGGGAGCGAGGAGGGGGGAAATGGTCAGGGTGAGGGAAGGGAGGGAGCAAGGAGGGGGAAATGGTCAGGGTGAGGGGAGGGAAGGGAGGGAGCGAGGAGGGGGAAGAGAGTCGAGAGGGGAGCTGAAGGCACGGTCAAAGAGAAAGGTTTTGAGACCGGCCTTGAAGGAGGAAAGGGAGGAAGCAAGGCGAAGGCACTGGGGGATGGAGTTCCAGAGCCTGGGGGCTGAGAGGCTGAAGAAATTGAATCAAAATTTATTTTCATTTCACCAACAAAATACAGTCATTTCACTTGACAGCATATTCTGTGAAGTTAGAACACCTCAATGCAAGTATTATTATTATAATGAAGCAGAGAGCCAAGGAAAACCTGTTTGCAGACAGGGTGATGAAAATCACAGGAGAAAGAACGAATTACGGGGCAGGAAAAGGAGAGGGAGTGGGGGGGAATAAAAATATTTTAAAATACAGTGCAAAAACTGATGACGGAGCTGAAAGATTCAGAGTAACTTTGTATAGGTCCAATCTTTAAAAAAATGCACAACGCCCACATTTTGCAAAACAGGCAACATCAAAATCAGAATACACTCGCTTTGAGGATACAGGGCAATTTGTGGGAGGGGGCAGCTGAAAAACCCACAGAAAAATTGCTGTGCTCTACTGAGGCTTTCTTTCTGCTCCATCAATGCATACGAGAATTAACTGTGCACCTCACAGGGCATGTAAATTGTCCTTTACCCAAAATCTACAAATATTGCAAGATGGTGGTCCTTTCTTAAAGACTGGCAATCAATCTGGCAAATCACTTAATCTCTTCTGTAGGTAAAGGAGATAACCAAGGTATTCAGCAGTTTAATCTGACAGTAAACAGCTTTTTAAAAACAAAAAACTTACAGCATTCATTCACAAAAATGTACCAAAGCACTTTTACTATCAAGTGTGCTAACTGTTTTGTAGCAGTTTTCATATATTCCCCACATGGCATCACCTGATCTTACATATTCTGCTTTTGAAAAACTATCAAATTCAAAATGTGTTCTAGCCTCCTTTATATTGGTTCCCTCAAAATAATCATCATAATCGCATTTGATATAGCACCTTATCATGTCGTTGAGACTCTAAAGTGGATGGACTGTGGACAAAATGCTTTAGCCAATTTGCATGCAGCAATGTCCCACAAATTGCCAACGTAGATCAACCCCAAATTCAAATGTAGCAACCTAACAAAGTATTTGACCAGCTACCTCAAATTTTCACTAGTTGAAGACGACAATTCCATGAACAAGCAAAACAGGCTATGTTGGTAACACTAGTTTGTCAAGGCACTAATGCCTTCCAATCTGGAACAGGTATCAAGCCCCACCTTAATTTTCAGAAACCATATCTCCTGAAATTATCAGCATGGCAGCCATAAAACCAGGTCCTCATTCCAGTTTCTATGGAGATGACAGAATCTACCTCTAGACATGAGAAAAATAAATTGCAATAATGGTTCAGTTACAAAAGTGGTACAATTACTAGCATAGATGGTAAAACAAAGGCTTCGTAATGGAAAGACAAGTCACTGGAAAAGGATTCAGTTATTAGAAAGTGGTGATGTGTATTAAGGCAGTCTTTTTGGACATTGGATGGGTAAGTTAGGTGGAACCTGAACATGTAGAAGGAAACAGAGCTTAATGTTTTAACATACAATACTAGGCACCTGACAGTGGATTATGGACTCATAATACAATTAAGGTATTTACTTGTAAACATGGCTCAGTCAGAAGATTGCGAGTTCAAGACCCGATGTCAGGACTTGGAACCCACATAATCTACGATACTCCAGTGCGGTAGTGGGGTGAGCTGCATTGGTGGAAGGTGCCGTGCTTTGGATAAATTCTTAAACTGAGGTCCCATCTGTCTGTCCAGGCGGGCATTAAAGATCCATTGACACTTTTCTCCCAGCATCCTGGCCAACAATCCCCAAAATAAAATTGGGCATTCACTACGCCTTTGATGGGACACTACTGTTCACAAAATGGCACCCACCCACAAAACTCAGTTACAGGATATCCTATGAAGTGCTTTGAGCCATCTCAATAAAATAAGGCACTAAATCAAATGCAACGATTACTATCTTAATAAAACAAGTTCAGATAACTGACTACAAAAAACCCTCAAAAGCATTTAAAAAATAACAATCTCAGGATTTAAGAATCTAAATTAGTCACATATGGCATTAAAAACATTAGGTCCAGCGTATTATATAGCGTTACTCAAACACTGACTTCAATGGCCAAAATTCCAAGTTCAAGGGCATTCTTCAAAGCCCAGTAATATAAACGGAGCAAAGTACCGAACAGATGTTAATCAGGCACCATTAACAAGAAAAAAAAGGGACCATAGCCCAGATCTTAAAGTCTAAACTTGACTTGCTTAATTAACAGATGCAGAGTTAGGCCAATAGAACACCCTTCCTTTTAACAGGAACAACTTGCACTTAAATAGCACTTTTCAAATTGGGTAATGCCCCAAAATATTCCACAAAGATGGCGGCAGACATTAAGCAGGGAGGGAGGCGACCACTGCTCTTGTGAAAAAGTAGAGGAAGACAGATAACAAAATATGCACACGAAAGTGCTGAAGTACCATAGGAATAAAAGTTAACGCCACAGAAATAAACAAATGCAGGAAGCATTCAAGCGGAAAATTAGAGCAAATTGGATAAACTCTCCTCCACAGTGGCACTGTCGTCAAGTTCCCAAGAGTATTCGACTATCATTCCGTACCAATCCCTAAAAATCACAAGTCCTCCTCGAATGTATCGGGTTCTTTAAATAACAGCTTTTCAGTTTGCTCCACAACCTGCGTCACTCCCTGCTTAATAAAATCCCTTCAAAAATGTGATACATGACCTTGTGGTATTAAATGTGGAGGGGTGGGGGGGGGGGGGCAGGAAACCGCGCTGAAGGCAATGATCACATAATAAAAAATGTTTTGAGTCTACAAAGCCGCACGAACCTTCCCCCCCCCCCCAAAAAAAAAAACCGTGCATCTCCCAAGGAATGTTATCTCCCCTCCCTTTTCGTTGCACTGCAAAGGCCCGACGACACAAATCGGACCCGAAACAAACCTTCCGAAAAAAGCACACAGACACACACACACACACACACGGTTCCAAGCCACAAAGCATTAATACTCATTAAAAGTCGCAACTGCTCTCAACGACGACAACAACAAAAACGCCTCTTATTATCCAGCTTGATCATTTTAGTACTCAAGAGTGTCATGGGAACGAGAGAGGGGGGGGGGGGTAAAAAAAAAGGACGTCAACCAGCCATCCAGCCACCCCCACAGCCCGACTTTAATGCAGCAAAGGGATTTTGTTCCTCCATCACATGATCTCTCTCTTCCCCCCCCACTCGAGTACAGTCGACCTGCGACAGACAAAACAGGCTCGACGGGCGCCATCTTGTTTAGACGCACTCCTTCCTTCCCTCCTCCTCCTCTCCCCCCCCACCCCCACTCATCATCATCACCATCACCTCATCATCATCATCAAATAAAACTTCACATTAAATGTCCTCCGAGTCTCCCCCTTCGCTCTCGCTCTCTCTCTCTCTCTCTCTCTCGCTCGCTGGCTGACTGACCAGACACTCCTTCGCTCAAACGAGACGGGGCATCGCAAAGCGCTTTATCTGGAAAAAAAAACACACGAATTCCCCTCCCCCAAATTCGTCGTGTGTAATGTGAGCGAAGGGGAAGGAAAGAGAGGGAATCGCTCTCGACACGTACAGCACAATCCCCCTTCTTTATATAATGGCGCCCACATCAGCAGATTCTCCTCCCGCCGCCGCCGCCCCACACAGCGTCTTTAACTGCGGTGGCCGCCCACATGCAGCAGCATAACGTCATCACCGACCAATGCTCGAGCGAAGAGGGAGGGCGGGGAGGGGGGGGGGGAAGCCGCACCGCCATCAACCACCAGCCCGGACACGCCACTCAATCACTCTCTCACTCACTCACTGATCACTCACTCACATTCAACGGTGTTCGTCATACGGTCAAAGTTTGTCTTCTTTCGAAATGGGGGAGGGAGAGAGAGAGAGCGGGAGGGAAGAAGTCAGACAGACAGACAGACAGAGAGGAGGGGGGAAAAAAAACAGGCGCCATTTTAGTTGCAGAATCCCATCGCCTCACAAATAGTTAAAACGCGGACATTTTTTTCTTTTTTTTAATTAAAAACTACTGCACTGCATTTAAAAACTGTTTAAAAAAAAACAACAAAAGTTTCCGACTCGAGATACTTTTCTTTTTTTCGCCTCAAAACCAAATGCCACGGGGCGCTTCTCTCGCCCCCCCGCCCGCCCGCCCGTTTATTATTATCATCGTCATTATTATTTTTTTTATACACACACATATACATATATATAATAGAAGAAAGAGATTTTTTTTAAAAAAAAATCCCCGTTAGCTATTATTCTCTTCCGACTCACTCACACGGCAGCCAAACCCCAACTGTCAAAATGCCGGAGCGAGACCCCGCGACGACGATGACGACGGCGAGGTCCTTCGCGGCTCGCTTTGGCACGCATGCGCGCCCCTGCCCATTGCCCCTCTCGAGCCCCGTAGGACGTCGTCCCGTCGCCGCCATTTTCCAAAGGCAGGGGAGTGAGTTGTACACAGAAGGTAGCAACAGATCCCCACGTAGCGAGCTGTTTTGGGTGGTGGTGGTGGGGGGGGGGAAGCAGAGAAAAATACTCGAGTTTAAAGAAATATATATATACACATATATATATATCTCGGTACCAGCGGTCGGCAGACGTCTTGAGGTCGCGCCGAAGCAGAGGGACGATCTGTCGTGAATTTAGAATTGAAAATAGTCGAGACTCTGTGGCGGTTATTTTTTGAGGAGAGAGACCAGCGGGAGAGAGGGAGAGAGAGAGAGAGAGAGAGGAAAAAAAAGGGGAATCAGGAGGATATCGGTCTATTTACGTTGCGCGGCGGAGGCCAGATAAGATTACGTTGTTTTGGTCTGTAGGGGCAAAAACGAGTTTAACGGAGTCCTTCTGTCGGTTCGGTGGACCGTTCAGGTAAGCAAACGCGAGCGGGGTATCTTGTCTTCTTTTTTTTTTGAAAAAAAATAAGTCGTTTATTATGACGAGATGTCCTGGTTAAAAAAAATAATGTGCGTCAGGCTTTTTTTTTATTCCGTTGCGACCGAGTGAGTGGTAAGGTCTGGTCCTGACTTGACTGACTGACTGAGACTGAGACTGACTGACAAACGCGGAATATGGCGGGTTTTAGTGAACCGTTTTTTTCATTCCGGGCATTTACTTGCGACCCTTTAGGTTGGATCAAGAGTTTTATTCTCTCTCTCTCTCTCTTTCCCCCCCCTCCTTTCTGAGCGTCCTGTTTCTATGTATGTTTGCGTTTGAATCGATGGCGTTTTCTTCACGTCTGCGTGTGGTCCGGTCCCCCCCCCCCCCGAAGTTACCGTTATTCTCTCGGGTCTCCGATCTCGCCTTCGACTTTTTTTTAATATAAATAAACGTTTCCGTTTTACTCCATTTTAGTTCTGGCAGTTAAAGAGGAACGTTCCTCTGGTATTTCTCTCGCGCTCTCTCTCGTTCTCTCTCTCTCTCTCTCTTTTAAGCACCTACTGTCATCTCCCCCCTCCCCCCCCCCGGCCCCAACGATACAGTTTTCCAGCAGCGGATAATGTTTACACACTGCGACGCTCAGGAGGAAAGAAGAAGCCTTTCTTGATTGAATTCAGGCCTTTTAATAAAGGACTTTTCAAAGCTGTCCTACATTTACATTTCCTCCCATGTACCAAAGCCGTTCTCAAACTGTGTCTCTCCCCCCCCCCACAACAACCCTTTTTTTGAAAAAAAAGTGGTTCTATAACTGTAGAATATGGATAACGCCCCAAATAATTAAAACTGGACAGTTCTCTGTACCGTGATAACGTACTTCGAATTCAGGAGGGGAGGACCACTGCAAACGTGGAACCAAAACATGGAAGGAGGAGGATTTGTTTATTTTAGGGATTGCATTTGGTTTGCAACGGACGGGCGACGCTGCACCGCAAATGTTCACCGATATTCCTTTTTTTTAAAAATTTATTTTTTAAAAAAAACACACACACACGTAGGCGTAGTAGTACAGCAGCAGCATTTATTGGTTTTCAGCAAAGACGCCGTGTGGGACCGCGTTCACCACCGCAACTCTTCTGGGGGCGGTTTCCTTTTTTTTTGCTGAGGGTTTTAAGCGGGAATGTGGCACCCGAAAAACACGGACGGCTGTCTGTCTGTCTGTCCGTGGATTTCTAACTCCTGTTTGATTTATGATCATAACAAGAGGTGAAAGTGTCCACCAAATGTATGGGGGGGGGGAAGGGGGCGGCCGATTCGATTTTTGGTGGTCAACGTTTTAGTTAGGACCGAACCGATTTGTGAATAGTAAAAATATTTGTATATGTATGGAACGCGCGGGGACATGTTACTGAGACGTTGACATTTAAAAACGCAGAGCGTTGAGAGTATCCGGAGCTCCTCTTTTGTCCTTAACGTAGTCGGGAGGAAAAATGGCGGACGTTGGTGTTGTAGTAAATCTAATCGACTCGGGTTCTCCCCACCCCATGCGGCGTTCGTTTCGTCTGCCTCAGTTATTGCAGTACTGGACGCGGATTCGCTTTTGGAAGAAAAAANCGCTTCTGGGTTTATTATGATACCAAGGCTGACATTTATTTATAGAACATTCATTGTTCAAAGTGTTTAAAACGTTTGAATATATACACTTATATACGCAATTAGTCTGTATCGAAGCTGAAATTTACTTTTGCTGATACGTATTTGTGATCTGTATCGCTAAATATTGGCCAAATTATTTTATGCAGGAAATGTCATTACAACATGGACTGTTTACAGTTAATTATGTACAGATAATAGAGAATAACTATAATAGCACAAAGATTACAAACGAGATATTTGAAGGTGTGATAATTCAATTCAAAATTGTGTTTTTTCAGGTTATCTTGACTTATAAACTAATGTACATGCTGAATGTAAATGTAATGACCCTAACCAACTATTAACCATATGAGGACTGTGAAGACATTACATTTATGTGCCTTGTTTCTACTCTTTCCCCCCCCCAGACTATAGTGGATAGGTAAAGGTGCTCTGTGGTTTTTAATTAAACACAACCAGAATGTTCATTTTCTAAATAAATTGTGACGTTAGACCAAGTTCTTGTCTGCCTATTTAGTTGAACATTAAAGATCCAATGGTGCTAATTGAAAAAAGAAGTGAGGTTCACCTGGTGTTGTCCTATCCAACAACCCCTCAGATACAATTAATTGGTCATTCACTCCATGGCTGTTTGTGAGACATTGCTGTGTGCAAATTGGCTGATGCATTCGCTTACAAAATCCAGTCTCTATATTTTACAATAAATCCTGTGAAATGCCAATTCTGCCAATGTGAAAGGTATTATACAGTTATCACTATTTTTTAACTTGATTGAAGGATACCTCAAATATTTGACCAGGACACCACAACTTCCAAAACATATTTCATCAAGACTTTTTAAAATTGCTTCCAAAAGATATTGAGAGTATTCAAATTAGGGAATAAGGGAGAATTTACATATTTATAATCAAAACATCTATTTTTTGATGAAAATGGTGTCTACCACATGCAGAAATGTATTAGCATGCATACCTGGAGGGCACACCCTACTTACCTATTGCTGATGGGTGTTAGGTGCAGGTTGTTGAGAGCCAAACCTAGGGGACCACAGAGTATGCTTTGTTGTATTGCTGGAGTTTAACCAGCTAAAACTGGTCTAGCTTGCCTTTGGGAGCACTGTCTAATAAGCTTCCAGCTGCTTATCTAGCTTGGACCATTCTATATGTAAAGGCTTGGGCCTGTAGAGTTAACAGGAGCTGAGTGGGAAGAATCCCCGTTTCCAGCGATTGATGAGCAAAGCTGGCTAGTCTGTCATCAGCAGTGCCCTGTAATACTGTGGGCTCACCTGGCTCAGGATGTGGACTATTGAGACCACCACAAAGGATTGAATCGATTCTGATATTTCACTGGCAAGCACACCACCTCGAACCCAGCTCAGTTTCAAGAAGACCCTGGCTGTGTGTGTGTGAGAGAGTGTCTCTCGTGTGTGTGTGTGTCTCGCTCAAGATTCTTTTTCTCTCTCCCCCTCCCGAACAAATCGATTTGCAAATTTAACATAAAACAAGTAGTTTAAATTAGATATCAAATTTATTGCATACAATAGTTACATTTGTTGCTGATTCAGCTATTTTAATTTCTGTTGGATGTGGGTAATGCACTTTTGTTGAAATGCTACATTTGCTTTTTCATACTAATAGGAAAGCACACAGGTATATTGTGTTTGTAAACAACAATCTTACAAAGTGAATTCGCACATCATAGCTTATCATCTTAGGTAAACTTGAACCTCAATATCAAATCATTTGCACACAAGAATCATGTCATGGAAGTTGATAGTTTTATATTTAATATGTACATGAAACTGTTACAACAGTGGTAGATTATGCATTAAAGTATTGTTTTGAAATTTATAATGAATGCATATCTCTCTGAATACTGTTGTGAAGCAAAATAGGAGAGTTGCCAGAGCTATTTTAGCTTTCCCCCCGATATACTATCTTGGTATCAGACAGTCTGTACGAACCACATCAGACAAAATATTACGCACTTTTTCAAGTCTGGAAGTCGCTCTCTGAGGTATTAAGCACTCTGTACATGAACATTTGAATTACATTAAACTGCCAGCTGCTGACCTCGGTTTTGAACATACATTTAGTTAAGACAAAGGGTGACTCCTACGTGCCCCAGAACTAAGTTATCTGTAACCATCATACTCAAATCTCATTAGGTATCTATCTTCGCCCACAAATATACAGTCACTTCACTTTAAAATATATTTTCTGAAGCGCTTTAAGACATCTAGAAGATGTGAAAAGCACTATATCAAATGCAAGGATTATTATTATTTTCATTAGTTAGTATGTTGTACCATCTTCAGATAATCTTTGTATTTTTAGGATGGGGAAGAGTAGCAACAAAGAGCAACAAATTAGATGAGGTAAAAATGTGCAGCAGAGTATGTACCCTCTAAGTAGATATAATCTCAACCACAATGCGTTAGAAAAATATTTTGTACCAGCCTGATTCAGTTGGCAGTACTCTTGCCTCTGAGTCAAAAGGTTGTGGCTTTAAACCCCATATCATGCTTCAGCTCATACTCTGTTGAATCTCCATTGCAGTTCTGTGATGTGGGGTGCATTGCCGGAGGTGTCGTCCTTCAGATGAGACATTAAATTGAACTGCCTGTTCAGATGAGTGTTATACATTCAGTGTCACCAAAGGAAGTTTCCCCCTTTAACCAAGCTGTCAATCCCAGTTGATAAACTTTCATGACTGTTTGTGGGACGTTAATGAGTGCAAATTGGCTGCTGCATTTACCTACAAATAGACAGTGATTACACTTCAGAGTAAAAACTTGTGAAGTGCTTTGAGACATTTCGACAATGTAATGAGGTGCTATCAAATGCAAATGTATTTTCATGTAAAAAAAATAGGAAATTGACATTGGGTAGGTAGTACAATGTGATCCTTTTTTTCTTTTGTTCAAGGCTGCAGTTGCATTGATGATGGCAGAACATGCCATTTGCATTTGAAGCATATTTGTAAAATCAAGGGTTTTGGAAAAAGGATATACATGGAAAGGGGGGGAGAAAATAAAAATGGGGAAGGTTAAGACCACATTCTTCCCACTTGAATTTTGAGGTATTAAATGAATGAAGCTTGTGATGATGATCTGTATTTTGGTTGTAATTTTCTCCCGTGTAAGTTTTTTGTGTGAATTTTATAACAATCCTTGAATTTTATTACGCACCTATAGTGTGACCTTCTTGAAAAGTTTTATAGTTAATTATTGTAAAGTTGTGATTTAATTTTAGTGTCTTATTGGCTAATGTGCATTTTGTAGTTAAGATGGTTTATTATTCTTATATGCACCCCTTTCACTTGAAAATAGTACTTCGAAAATATCCATGTAGTTGGATGAGAACATGAGAAAAGTTGAGGGTGAAGAAATGCAATTTAGCCGCCAAAGTTCATCTCTCCAGTCCATTAGGCTAACCAATTATCTTCTGATCAATAACAATGCTTTTATCTTGCCTTGCTTGGTAGATTATTTTACTCTTTGGTGAAAGGTGTTTTCCTGAAAATCAGTACAAAATTTCCTTTTCATGGGGTTTTTCTTTGTCTTCTAGGTGTATATTCTTGGCTTATCCGATCTCTACCATAAAATATTTTATTTACTTTGACTTTCGCAGTTGAGTGGTCTGCTTACATCACTGCCAAGGCTCACATATTAACAATGGCAACTTATAGGCAGGGTAACCAATGCATGTGAATCTATAGTAACAATCCTTGCATTTGATATAGCGAGCCTTATCACGTCTTCAAGACGTCTCAAAGCGCTTCGCAGGATATACTGTAAAGTCGATTGACTGTATATTTTGTGGCGAAACGTGGTATCCTGCAAGCAGTCGTAGATTGAGTAACCAATTTATTATTATTGTTGTAAAAAAATTAAGGAATTATTACCCCGGAAAAGCGATCCACTAATTGACTGACAACTACGTTCCTACCTACTGCTAGGTAAACAGGGGCGTGTGGAGTAAGGAAACTTCTGCAACATTTCGCCCTGCCAGGAATCAAACCCAGGTCTCTCGCTTGTGAGGCAAATGCGCTAACGACTGAGCTACAGGACTACTTGTACCCCAGCAAAGAAAAGTCAGATCAGAAGCAGAGATACATGTGCTGTTGGGAGAAGAAAATTAGAAAACAATTGGGACATTAACATTGGGTGGGGAAAAATGGTTCCCAGAGGATTAAAATATTGACAGTGGTATGCATTTATCAACTACAGACAGAATTCTACCTTTAGAACAGAAATTTCTATAAATATTTACAACTTTGTTCTGTACCTATTAGAAGTTGAGTGCCATTTTAATTAGCGGTGAAAAGAGGGGTCTATATTTGTGGGCTAGAGTTGAACTCAGGCCCCAGAAGCCCACATCACAATGATGTCCATTGCACTCCCAGTGTACACAGATTGTTTAAAATCTTGAGTGCATCAAAAATGTCATGTGGGTTGAGATGGTACCTTAATGAGTTTGTTGCACTTTTGTATAAATTGTATATCAACTTGAAATGGGTAAATGTAATTAATTACTTTTCTTTTGTGGTTATTTTACAGGCTTTGTGGATGCACTTAGATGTTTGCAATGAGCACTGTGGCTGGCATGCCCCAGTGTTTTGGATGCCAATGTATAGGACTCCGTAGTTGTCGAATTTATCAGCAGCGAACGTCATGAGCATTGTGATCCCGATAGGGCTTGACACAACGGAGACCTCATATTTGGAGATGGCTGCAGGCTCAGAGTAAGCATTTTATTTGTTCAATTCATGCAAATATAATTTATATTTTCATATAAATACTGCTTTCAGCACAAGGGTGGTTATTAGCAATACTGGACTGAAAACTTCAATAAACAAGGCACCTCATTAATCATACCACTTGTTTGCAATTTCTTTTTTCTCCTATAGCATTATTGCAAATGTATTCTAATACTGTAATAAAAATAATAATGGTGGCCAAGAGACATGGCTGCCTGCTACTGCACAAATATGCCTGGTGGGGGCATTTACCCAGGAATTGCCTGACATCATGTCTGGACGTTCTCCTTTGGTGGATTGTGATTGAATTCTGTCCTGTAGTTTCTGAAAAGGCCAATGCCTGGTCTTCATGTCCTGTCAGCATTACTCCTGCCCAGTTCCCAGTTTAACTGATGTGTAGATTGCCGGCCAGATTGAATTCGCCACTTACTATTTGAGGTATTGTGCATGCATGGACCTAGTAACAGTACCTCCACTGTTTGGTTATTGATGAGGGTAGGGTGTTGCATCCAAACTAACATGGATTGTTCTGATTTACAGGACTGAATTAGTGCAATGTCACATGGATGGGTTGTCATGATGACACCAGGCATGGTCAACTTATGACCTGCTATTAAATCATGGCATTGAGAGATTTCTAGTTATAAGAAATGCTTAATGCTGCATCTTAAGTAAGCAGCTGGGTGATTAATAGCTACAATTGATGACTGCAACATAGCTATTTTTTGTTTTGGTCTTAGCCAATCCTTATAAAAGCAATTGAAGTTGCCTGTTATGCGAATGGAGATATATTGATAGATAGTAAATTACTTGCATGACCTTTCTAAAGGAAGGATTTGTGGTATATACTTTTAATATTTTGTTTACTTGGAATCTAGGACATCTCTGCTACTCAGTGATCTGGTCTTAGGCAGGGAATACTAGTCTTGCTGAATAACAGACAATTAAGAATAATTCAAAATAGTTATTAGGTGTTGCAGTTTGCTTTATTTTTAAGAAAATTGTGCCCATCATTCTGAATGACTGTTGTTGATTTAATGTTGATTTGCTGAATCGTGAATGATACGTTTGTAATTAATTTAATTTGGGTCCATCTCTTTCCCCTGTGTGTGTGTGTGTGTGTGCATGTATAAAATAAATCAGACGCAATTTGTTTAATTGTTTGTCTAGCCTTATTTACTGTATCCATACTGAATATGTACCATGAAATTGCTGCTCAAAAATGCATTATGGACTTTGTTCTCCCATTTGTTTTTCTCTCCTTCCCCAGCCCTCCCACTGACCACTGTCATACCACCATTGGAATAGTGTTGTTGCAGTAATACTAAGAGGAAGCTCCCAAGTTTTATACTGTTGGTCTAAATGACGCAATACCTGCAGTACTTGCATACCGAGCAACACAAAAATGCTGTGTGTACTAAACTACATACCTTAAATGGGAAAGTCATCAAGCTTGCAGTAACTTGGACTCCCAGTGTTATCATGTAAGGAGGAAACAGCTATTAAAACAGCTATTAAAATAGAAACGTTTACTACTTCATCTGGTTAGAACACTATGGGATTTAACTGTTAGTACAATTCAATTGCAGTATTTCTTTGCCTATTCTCGGAATAAAAAATTGTAAGCAGCAGCCCAAACCTAAGAACAGCAGGAAGTATGATGCATATTTGCTGGGTCTTGCCAAATTTCAGAGTGTGGGCTGTATGTACAAATCCTTTAGTCGAGTGTTAGAATTCAAATGGAATAAACATATAGGGTGCATAAAGACTTAATTTTGAACTGATTCCACACATAATGTTTGGCATTGATCTGCAGTTGATGGTCTCTTACTACAACAACAGCTTGCATTTATATAGCGCTCTCCACGCTGGGCAGCGTCCCAGAGCGCTTAATGATGGTGGTGCCTGATGCCAAGCCAGGGGGAGGGAGATGGTGACCACAGGCACGGTCGAAAATGAAAGATCTTCAGGTGCAACCTGAAATGAGGAAAGAGGGGGCAAGGCAAAGGGATTGAGGGAGAGGGCTCCATTGCTTCGGGGCGTAGTGGCTGAAGGCATGGCCTCCGATGGTGGGGCAAGGAGAAGGCCGGAGCCAGTAGAGTGGAGGCAGTGGATAGTACTGTGAGGAGAGAGGAGGTTGGAGAGATAGAAGAGTGCTAAGGCGTGGACGGATTTAAACACTGCAGTGAGGATCTTGAAGTCAATCCGCTCTGACGGAACCAGTGGAGTTTGGCACTGTTTGGTAATCGGGGTGCGGGTGAGAATGTGGGTGGTGCAGTTTTGGATGAGTTGAACTTTGTGAATCGTGGAGGAGGGGAGACTGGCAAGGAAGGTGTTTGAGTAGTTCAGCCGAGAGGTGATGATGGTGTGGACAAGGGTTTGGGCAGCTTGTGGAGGGTGCTATGGTTGGAGACTGGCAATGTGGCAGAGGTGGAAAAAAGCGGTCCTAGCCAGGGACCAGATGAGGAAGGATAACTGGCGATCGAACGCGACGCCTAAATTGTGCACTAGTTCAGAGAGTTTTAAGGATAGATCGGGTAGGTTGAGGAGGTCTGAACCTCAGACCTCAATTTCTTCACTTTTGAGAATTGTATAATAATAATCTTTGCGTTTGATGTAGCGCTTTTCACGTCTTCTAGACGTGTCAAAGCGTTCACAGAGTATACTGTAAAGTAAATTGATTATTTTTTTAAATGCAGCAGCCAATTGCGCACATCAGTGTCCCACAAACGATCGTGGATTGAAGCGACCAATTCTATTTTGTGTGGAGTAAGGAAACTTGCCCAAGGTTTCGCCCTGCCAGGAATCGAACCCAGGTCTCTTGCGAGGCGAGAGTTCTAATCACTGAGCTACAGGACTCCTATATGGATTGTTTAGTAGTGATAAACCAGTATTATGTTGCAATATGTTTCATTGTGTAGCTTGAGCATTCTTTATTCTGGTTGAATTAATCAGTAATATAAAGGAAGTGAGCAAGACAATGTTGGTGACCATGTTGTACTTGTCAGCAGTTGGTTCGTTTAAGTACTGCTCTTTATTACTGATGAGCTGTTAGGATAGACCATTTTGATCTGAATTTTTGATGTTTTATGGGGCAGGTCTAATAACTATTTGTTGTGTAAGATCATGTTTTAAGTGCCATTTTTCATTGAGTTCTTTTTTAAATGTAGGTAGCTAGTTGTACAGTAGGGAGCTGATTATCTGCATTTATTATTTTGGTGTGTGCAATTGGTTGCTGCATTTCATCCACAAAATATACAACCAGTTCACTTTACAGAATATTCTGTGAAGCATTCAACGGTGTGATATGGTGCTATATCAAATGCAATGATTATTATTATTGGGATAAACAAACATTGCGGATGATTGGACAGCACACAATTACAAAATGCTAATTTACAACAATGCGCCAGCCCTTCTCTCAGGCTTTCCATTTGAATTCTGTCATTTTCTTTCTCTTTTCTTTGTCTCATTGTATCTCTTCTTTTTCCGAATCTGTCTGTCTACTTGAGGTCCCTGAAATTATCAAAACAATTCAATATCTAACCTTAAACTATATATTATAAAAATTCTAAAACTTTCCTTTCTTACTGGCAAAACAATTCCTATCTGATTAAATGAGAAGTTGCTAGTGAAGTTTTCAGACCCACGTGAACCAAAATACAAAATATTACAAAATGCACAGTCAACATACTTTATAGTATATCCTGTTAAGCACATTGAGATGTCCTCCCAACTTGTGTGCACAACATTGTTTTATGGCTGGTATCTGGGGCTTCAGATTGTTTTTGGAAACAAAGCTGGCAATCTCGCACATGTGCCCAACCATACATTTTGCTGTTATCTCACCGGCCTGAGCCCAACTTTCACCAGGGAGGCCTGTGCGTTTAAACAAACCCCTGTTTTTTCCTCTGGTTTGAATCTTTAGTAACTGATTGTCAGATGAAGGAACTTGCAGGTTGTACCAAGAATCTAGGGCTGGAAATTTCTCTACTAAAACCATGTTATCTTCAAAGTTTTAAATTCTATGAGTCTTAATTTGAAAGATTTTTTTTAAGAACCAGGGAAAAACAGCTTCCAAATTAAGGCTGAATTTAAGAATTCTCCACCATTCTGCTTGGTAAGATGAGACATTAAGTAAGATGAGATGATCTTTCAGGCAAGATGGAATTTCAGGTCTGTTGTCCAAAAAAGGACTTGCTATTCTCTTAATCTGCCTTACTCTGCAGATTATTCACTTTAAATTTCTACTTAATTGTACTTTATTACACAGCTGTGCGCAATTGGCTGCTGCATTTCGCCCACAAATACACAGTCAATTCACTTCAAAGTATATCCTGTGAAGCGCTTTGAAACTCAAAGATTATTATTTTATTAAATTACTCGAGGGGGTAGTGTTGGCAGAATCCTGGTGGTTCATTTTGGATGAGAAGAGAATGATAGGCAATTTCTGATAATTTAACGACCTTGGCTTTTGTTTTCAAATGAAAAGAACACTGCATGTCAGGCCGTGTCCCACATCTATTCCTTTTGAAAATTCAGGAAATGCACACAATTACACGTTAATAAGTTATTAAGGGTATTTTTAAGTGTCTTGTTACTCTTCAAAAATGTGCCCCATTATATGAAGGGTTTATGTTTTGTAAATCCTTATCATTGTTGATCTGTGCTACAAACTTTTTTAAATAGTAGTAAATTGATTAAAAGTAGAATTAACATCTGGAATACCTTTTGAATTCTATGTTTATACGCTTAACGTGAGTTCGTTTAGGGTTTGAATGTATCTGGGAATAATGCACTTCATTACTAATTTAAATCAAAGCCTTCAAACAGTGAACAGTAGTGAGATTTGAAAAAGCATCGTCTTCCAAACTGCTTAGACTTGGGTGTAAATGTGCTGAGGCCTAAAATGGTTTGGGGACAATGTCTCAATGATAATGGTATTTCAAATTGAATGAGCTCTCACTCAATATTCAGATCAATGATATTATTTTTAAAGGCCTTTAATCAGGTGTGAGCAGATCTCCAAAATAGTTTATTTAATGTCTCGAGGCTAGATGGCGATAACATCAAACGAACGAGCGAGAGAGACCTGTTTGGTGGTTTCCTGTATCGTAATGAAAAGTACAGCTTTGCAAATGAATATAGATTGTTGGTAAACCTTCTGTTTTTTGTATATTGTGTTAATTCTTTTACCTTGTATTTTTAAAGCCTACATGTATAAATTTATAAAATTCTTCTAGCATTCAGGATTAAAGATTATTTTTAATTATAAAAGGAATCGAGTGAGATTGATATACAGTAAAGCTCGCATAAGTTTTACCTTTATAAATCATAGATGCAACTGAGTCCCATTCAGTTTCCCACCAAAACCACTTAGATTTCTTTGCACTCATCGTATTTTTAATCTCTTAACTCATAATGATGCTCCCCTATCCTCCATTACTCCCGCTCTTACTGGCTGCATTGAATCGAAAGAAACATTATCTTGATCTGTCGCCGCTTGCATCTGCAGAAGAACTTCATTTCCCGTGATTCAATGCAATTCCAGTGCGCATTAGACATGTCAAGATGCATTGAATCGTGGGAAACGTATTCTTGATCCGTCACCACATGCAGACTTATTGGCTGCATTGATTTATGCATGCAGAGTGTAGATTATTGATTAAATCGGATTTTATAGATTTTGCTTCTAACTCAGACTTTGCATAAGTCATTAAATGTTATGGTCCCAACTAATACGAGTTGTATTGCTTATTTTGTGGAGCCTGAAGAGTGATTCCTGTGTTTTGTTGTTGGCCCATGTGGTTTCATGTCTCGTTCAAACGACTGACTACACATCTAGTAATGCAGAACTCCGCCAGCGCTGTATTGGTGTGTCGACTAGACTGTGGGTGTTCAAAGACCATTATAGGGCTTGAACTCACAACTTTTTGACTCTTGAGGCAAGAATCCTACCAGCTCTTGATAGGCTGTTGTGCAATGTTTTAACTCTAAACAGTTCTCAAAAAATGATGCCAACAAACAACTGATGAATAAGTAAATATTTTCTCTTTTCTAGACCAGAATCTGTAGAAGCAAGCCCTGTGATATTGGAGAAGTCAAATGGTTTTCCACACCAGTTATACACCAGCAGTTCTCATCACTCACACAGTTATATTGGTTTGCCTTATGCGGTAAGTTTTGTACCATCAAAACTTTTGTACGCTTTAACAGTTAAGAATATCTTCATTCCGATTCTTTTTGTCATAACTGATTCAGTACGTATAAAGAAAATGGTCTATCGAACCAATGTGAAGTATATCATTAAATTTCATCCGCATCAGAACTACTAAGAAGGATGGATGCAAGTATTCCATGTGTAATAATTCCTGTGATAACATCCTAAAATTATTTTACGGCAATTTTAGTAATAGTTGTCACAACAGTAAATATTAATAAATCGGTTCACAGAATCCTGAGCGGTTCAGGTAAAGAACCTGGGGACATAGGTGAGATTGGAAAACATTTTTTCCTACCAGAATATTAAGAGCTTGGAGCATACTGTAACAGAGCCTTCAGATGTAGAATTGTAATGTTTGAAAGGGACATATTAATGTTATTTAGGGATACTTAAACAGATGGAGAAGTGGGAATAAAACATTTGCTATGGACTTAATAGATTGGCATAAAAATCCCAATAGACTGAATAGCCTACTCCTGTTTCTAAGATGTCTCATCCACTTGTTTGATCTCATTCCAGCAGTTTTTTTAAAAATGAGTATTGTGCAATTATCACACCATCAAACACCGGGATGTACAGCATCCCAGTGTTTGATGGTTTGGTAATTGCATAGGCGAATTTTAGCTCTACATTTCAGGAAAAATAGGAAAGATGCAAGCATGAAAATCCATGCAAATTTAAACTACATAGGTTCTTCCAAACAGTTACTTATATCATTTGACCCTTCAAACTAAATACACAAGATGATCACAATACTTTCTGTGATATGATCACTGTGATAGGATCTATTCCTGTTAATACAAAATGTGTTTTATAAAGATAGAGGCAGAAATGGAAAAATCAGTTTTTGAACTGAAAGTCACACCACATTCTTAGAACTTCCATTTCACTACCAAACATGTAATTGAAACTAGCACCAGGTACCTTAAATGGAAACTTATTTAATTCCCCAGCACTTGCAGCTTGTTTCATTACCCAAAGAAAATCAATGAAAAGATTGACTTGTAGTCATTCAAATCTTAATTTCTTCCACAAATGCAGGATCATAACTATGGTGCTCGTCCTCCACCAACGCCCCCAGCTTCTCCTCCGCCAACTGTTGTAATAGGCAAAAACGAGGTGAGCATATTTACCACTGCCAATTTTGATGAGACCTCCAGCGCCACCACGATCAGCACATCTGAGGATGGAAGCTATGGCACAGATGTTACTAGATGCATCTGTGGCTTCACCCATGATGATGGGTACATGATCTGTTGTGACAAATGCAGGTAGGAAGATACTACATTAATCTTACCTATAATGTATGTGTGTATTCTTCATGCGGGTTGTGTTTCTTTATTTGAAGAAATATACAAAAACTGTAGCGCTGCTCATTGTAAAGGAATTCTAATTGTTCATAATATCAGGGATGGCCAACTTGAGGGCCGCATTATCCACATGTAGTGTAAATATTGCATCTGTTAATCAGTTGACCTAAAAGCTAAATTAGCACAAGCAATAGATAGCTTTTTTACTATGTCTTTGTGAATTACTATGGAGGTATTTTTTCTATCCTTTTTAGTCCAGTTGTGTTAGCATAATACATTTCTGTATTGTGATTTGGCCGCAATCCTCTATTTTAAACCAAATAGTGTCCTAGTAGAGCTTTATAATCATTAGCAAGAATCCATTGATGGGGCAACAATGGCCACATTATTATTAAAACAAAACATTCTGAGTTTTAGTATGGGAAATAAATGGGGAAAAATAGAATTCTTATCATTTAAAAAAAAACAGATAGTCAATTCTGTATCCAGTAGCTTGTTTTTAAACCCCTGAATTAATAAATGGCAATCCTCCCCCTTTCATTATCAGTACCAAGTTATACTGACTTTCTTACTGCTTTTATTTTTTTATAATTCCATATGTAATTAGTCACAAAGGTTCAAGTTAATAGCCAAGTGTTTTTGAATTGCAGCATCTTAAATAATTATCAAGAATGACGGTAATGTTTGGGGAGGGTAATTCTTATTGTGTGGTTTTCCGAATGTGAAGTATTTTTAATTTAACCAGCATAATGTTTCATTGAATTTCTGCAGTGAAACAGTTTTTCAACTTGCATCAACTGAATGTCTGATTTTTGTTTGATGTATTTAGTGTCTGGCAGCATATAGATTGTATGGGGATCGACAGGCAACACATTCCAGAAACATACCTGTGTGATCGTTGTCAGCCCAGGTTAGTAAGACCATAATGACATTTTCCTTTTTTTAAACTTGTTGAAGCTTTTTTAAATTAATTTGATTGATTAATCGTAATTTAAATCTATTATTGCTTGTAATACTGTGATTATTCTTCTAGGTGTTTAGATCGAGACAGGGCTGTGTTGCTTCAGACGAAAAAAAGGCAAAATATGTCAGGTGAGTGCATTATATATCTTCTAATAGAATTTATTGAAAGCTTGAGAGTGAGTTGTACTTTGTTCATGAAAAATACTTTGTGCATACATCCTGCATGAGAGGTAGTCGGTGAGCTCACAGGATTTGGGGTTTATTGTTTTTGACAAAACCTTGACAGGATTTAGGGTTTATTTTCTTTTGACAAACAGTATGTTATGGTAATTACGAACATTTCTATCTGAACATATTCTCTGTTGAGATGGGCAACCGCTTTCCTGAGGGTATATTTTCTGTATCTGAGAGTCTTAGTCATTTGTATGCATAATGCATTCTGCCTTGTATTTACTACTGGGAGAAAATCAAGGTTGGTGATCTAGGCAAACAGTGATTCAAATGTCAAGTTAACTCCTACATCCTTTCGAGAATTATAAATTCATATGGGTTGGGAGGTTTTACAAAGGTTAATTTATCAGATAGGACATTGGATTAATCTGAATGGCTTCAAAGAAATGTTTGCAAACAAAACATGGTTTAAGGCAACAAATCCCACCAGGGACGTTTTTCCTTGCGCACCTACATTTTTTGACAGTAATTTTTTTTTCCCCCCTTGAGATCCTAGATCCTATCTTCGGTGCAGTTGTTGCTAACAGGTGAAAATAACTGAAAGTTCACATGTTTCTGCAAGTGTAAAACAAAATTTAATGTTTTTTTCACATACATATTATAGTTGAACATAGTTTATCCATATACCAGTTTATATGATATCCAGCACTTTTATAATCCAGCACTTTTTTATAGTGTACGGTTAGGGTCAGAAAGAGATTGAGAAGGAAAGTTAGAGACTCAGTATAAAATTGGAGCACAGTATAATACTACAGTGGTAGTCAATTCACGTTGCAGTATATTCTGTGAAGCGCTTTCAGACATTTCAAAGACGTGATAAGGCGCTATATCAAATGCAAGTATTATGTGTGGGCGTTTACTTAATCTGGTAGACATTCTTTGGTTCATCAATTCTGTTGCTTCATATTGTAATGGTCATGAGAACAGAATTCTGGCATTTATTTGAGCTATAATTCTGAAATGAACTTGCCCAAAAGCTAAAAGGAATGGCAAGATACCAATAGTTCCATGTATTGAAAGTTTTATTGTAATTCCAAAGAACAGGTGACTAGTCTGGTTCAGTCTTAATTTATTCCGATTGTGTTGATGGTCACATTTTTGTTAGCTGAAACTGTAGTGAGGTAACATTTGTTGAGACTCCGTATTAAAGGCTGTATTTGGTTTAGCCTAACATTGTTATAAAACATCTGAGCTAAGTGATCACTTGTTTCTGACTAAATAGTTGGGATTCTTTTTCTCTGCTAAATTGAGATTTTTAAATGATCCTAAATGTTAAATTATTATAATTCTCCCTTAAATCTTTGTTTCAGCACATTGGATTTTGGTCTGGATGCATATTTGATGTCGCATTAACGCATATTATCTTCAAAGAGTGAAGCAGTACAACATATAGATTTGAGAAAAATATTATGTTATGTCTTGGAGTTGATGATCTGTTCAAGTTATAAGCACATGACCGTATAGACAGAACTATATAGTGATATAGAGAACTATGGTATGATACAGTTCTCTTCATTGCATTTTCTATTGTAATTCATGGGGTCATCTGCATGTAAGCACATGTATTTGTTGAGTGCGCTGAAAAATGACCGTTATGGTAATCGTAACACCTCAATAGATTTGTTTACATGTGGTTTACACATCAACGTATAATAGACCCAACTATCATTAAACTGTTCTCCATCTGGAGAATCTTCAAAGGTTGCGTGGGTGAGTGATTGATAGGCTTCAACACTTCATTTGGCTTTGTCATTTATTTGACAGGACAACTTACACTTCTATAATTTCTATTAGTTTTGTGGTGAGCCACAATTGCCAGTCTTTCATCTTAGACAGTAAATACTTGGAAGAAAAACCTCAGCAAAGATTCGGTCTTGTACATAAGTGTTTCCATGTGTCATTCTTTTCAAATCCATATTTTTTTAAAAATTTTGCAGGATTTAAGGTGCTGCAAGTTGAGAGTAAATTGGTAAAATATAAGTGTGATTCTCTGTGCCAGATATTTGAATTATTGTTCTTTATGTTTTTAAATAGATGGAGACACCAGTGCAACGGAAAGTGGAGATGAGGTGCCTATGGAACTATATACTGCCTTTCAGCAGACGCCGACAACCATCACTTTGACTGCTACCAGGGTAACAAAGGTAAATGAGAAAAAGCGAAAGAAAAGTGGAGAGAAGGAGCAGAATACTGCAAAATCTAGAAAGGCAAGTTGAATATGTATAATTATAATTCATTTGGGTTGGAGTAACAATCAGTTGGAGAAATCTGAATTCTGATTTGAGAATTAAAAAAAATAGTTTAAGCTGAAACGTTGTAGTTAAATTGTTGGCCTTTGTTTTGCATGGGAAGTTTTTAATTATTGAATTGCATTGACCTGATGTTAAAAACTCAACAAAAGATTACTTAATTATAATTTACAGGCACTGCATTTTTCATGTCCATGCACATTTGGAAATGTAAAATTAACAAATACAGATTGCATAAAAGACGATCAATATAATTAATATTAAGAGATGAAGTTCAGTCAGGAAGATAATTAAACTGTTAATAATTACCAATGAGGGACGCTATACAAGCATTTATGCAATATTTATCCAAGATATACATAGGATCAATCTGGAGCATCCTAAATAAATCAGGGATATTGAGGGTGACAGTAGATCAAGGGAATTTGTGGGAAATTAGGGAATATAATAAAGGAGAAAGGAATAAATAGAGTATGGTCTTATGATAGGTGAGCACAGAAACAAAATCAAACAAAGAAACCAGACTTCCACTACTGATGGAGAGAGCAGGTAGGGCGGGTCTTCGTTGTAGCTCAAGAGGCACAAGAAATAGAAACCACGGAAAATGGGCAACAAAATCAAGGACACCCATTAAGGAAGCAGTCAAAGAGCGCAGTATACATGATGAGACTACATTCTTTCCAACAGGGTTATGCATAGCATTTCGATCCAGGCAGAGTGAGAAGAGATGATATGGTTCATTGGTCCGGTTTGCTTGTTGCTGCTTGTATATAGTAACCGTGTTAACCTTCCTTATTGCAAGATTTATTACATTTACCCAGTACGTATGCCTGGGTACATACCCTGTTTTTTGTAATATTTTGGCTCAGAGATGAGAGTGCTACTAATTAAGTCAGGCTGACACTTTGCCAACAATGATACAACAAATTGCATTTATTATAGCGTCTTTCATGTCGGGAGGATGTCCCAAGGCGTTGGGCAGTCAAGAGTTTGCATCTGAGCTGGGGGTTAAAATCGAGAGGGGTGGAGTGCAAAGTTGGGGGACAGAAGAGAATGACGAAAAGCACGGACAAAGAGGAAGGTCTTGAGATGGGCCTTGAAGGAGGCAAGGGAGTGGGCGAGCTGAAGGGATTCTGAGGTGGAGTTCCAGAAGGTTGGGGCAGAAAGGCTGAAGGCTCGACTGTCGATTGTGGGTGGGGACATGGAGCAAGGCCAGTGGACAACTTGATAACAACGTAAAGATGAGCTCTGCAGACACACAAGTCTGGTGTGCCAAATGCTTGCCAATCTGATTGCCTTCAATACATCGTTTATATATGAACAGTAGATTCTGAACAGCTTGAAAATAGACTTTAATAGAAATATATTAATATGTGGCAGATACAATTGCAATTAGGGATTAAAAACATTTTGGATATGAATTTTCTGTTTTCAAAGAGGTTGCACTGCTATAGTTTGTACTGATGTACATGAATCCTTTTTAATGGCCTTTTCTTGCCATATGTTGGTTCCTATATTGACTGGAGCCAAGAATGCTCATGAATGAAGTCCAGGAACATGTTTTCTGATGTTGTCCTTCATATAGCCTTGCTATTTATTCTGTTGTTATCCCAACTTTAGCCACGTGATGGTGCTGTACAGAAACTAGTATTAATAATAATAATCCTTGCATTTGATATAGTGCCTTATCACGTCGTTGAGACGTCTCAAAGCGCTTCACAGAATATACTGTAAAGTGAATTGACTATTTTATGGGTGAAACCAAAAGTAAGGTAGTGTTCAGTTGGATTCACATACTAGATTAATGCACCTTATAAGTATTTTGTTATAGTGCCACACAGTGGAAACAACCACTGTAAAACTTTTTTAAAAAATGGCAATTTATTAGCAGTCACACTTCAAAAGACCTTATTTTGTTGGTTGAAAATTCATGTAAAAAAAAATTATATGGCAAACAAGGATAAACCAAGTTACCAATGATTTATTGAATTTTTTATTGGAGAAAGGATTTAGCATTGGAAAATTTGTGATATATTGGCATAATCTCTATGAGCTTCTCCATTCTAGCAGTTGACAAGTGTGAATTTTGAGTTGTATTTGTCCCGAGTCCTATAATCTATGTTCATGGAGAAATTTGTTGAGACCTCTATCAGACCTGCAGTGGATAACGTGTCGTTTGACCAATTACAGCTGGATCAAAATAGCACTGATAACCCATAGTTCTATGTAACAGAATTAAAAAGTACACCAACCTGGTATTTAAATATTGGGCAAAACTTTTCAGATTTCTAATAGCAGGTGTCCAGACTTGAGAACAAAAAACGAGCTTCAGAGCCAAATATCAGGACCACTGTTTTCTAGAAGTCGTGATTTGATCTTGCGTAGGTCAGTAAGCATAGCACCGAGCAGGTGAGCGATTCGAAGGGAGAGAAAGAGAATGTGCAGAGATTTCAATCCCAAATTACAGTTTAGAACGCCACGGTAATTGTGTTCAGAGTGCAGTTGGTAGAAACTGGGCTTCAGTTGTCCACCAGCCTTCTGGTATTGAAGGATTGTGATCTCAGAAGCTACCGGAGAAAATATAGATGAGCTGCTTTTTGCAAAATTGAAATTAAAGCGTGGTTTCTGAGTAGTTGTAATTATTCATTTCAGGTAAATAAATATTTTGTGTTTTTCAGCCTTTCCGCGAAGGATCTCGAAAATCTTCAAGAGTAAAGGTAGGAATTTATACTTTCTAAGTAATACAGTAGGATTGTTACCCTGCTTGCCTCTCTCCCTAAATCCTATAGTTGGATGTGGTCATGTCATTCGAGGCACAGCTGTTAAAATCAGGCCAACTCAAACATTGAATCAACCCCAAAATCCAGATATATATCAATAGCAGCACTCCAAATATTAATGGCCATCTATTTTCTCCAAAAAAGAACTGCATATCATAACCATTTGTTTTATTGGGGGTAATAAGAGTTTTGTATTTTACTCCAGCATTTGGTAGTTGTATTAAAGTTTGCCCCGTATGAAAAGTTTATAAAATATATATTTTCAAAATATATTCATGTCCCTCCTTTTCCCCTATCTTAATTTGAGATGTTCTCATTGAAACTATTTACAAAATCACAGATGTATGTGTCTGAACACATCCAATCCGTTGACTCCTGCGATCAGCTTCTATTACATTCAAAAATTGAGTCTTTAAGATGAAATAACTGGAACATAAGGTTTTATATAGTATTCTTGAAAAAAAATCTTAATTGGAGGAGGGGGCAGATGTTGCACTATTTGAAGGAATTTGTTCACTGTCCAATTAAGACTATAATTAACATAAGAAAATGACGGGTCAAGATTTTGTTGCAATTCTTAACACACACTTTTTAGTTGCTGCAACGTTTAATGACAACAGTGAGTATGCTCCTATTGAACTGTCCATCAACCCGTCTCACGCTTTCATTAGACCATCCATTTGCTGGTAGGATGGTCCAATGAGAGCGAGGGGTGGGTTGATGGATGGCTCCAATATTCATTGTAGGAGCTTGAACTTAGTAACTGCACCAAAACTATAATTTTAACAAACTGGCCACAATGTTTGAGCCAAAAAGCACGACTTTCTTTATGGCCTAATGTATAATGAAATGTATTGACTGTTTAGTGATTGATTGTTATCTTCTGCTCAGCAGAGTTCAGTATCAGAGGTTGACCCTGTTGATAACAGTTTTGTGTGGGAGAACAAAATCAAAACGTGGATGGATCGTTATGAGGAAGCAGATGGTAATCAGTACAGTGAGGACATCCAAAACATCCTAGAAGCACACCGTCTTGCATTAGAGATAGGCGATGGATCTGAGAAAATGGAGGTGATCAATAGATCAGACCTAAACACCAGCAATACAGCTTTGAAATCTCCAATAGAAGTGAGTTTATACTTCAGAAAATTAACATATTTAAAAGCCTCATCATTCAGTATGTGAATGCAAACCCATTGGATAGTACATTACATTATCTGTGCGTGATTGGCTGCCGCGTTTCGCCCACAAATACAGTCGATTCACTTTGCAGTATATTCTGTGAAGCGCTTTGAGACATCTGGAAGACGTGAAAAGCGTTATATCAAATGCAAGGATTATTATTACTTTCACAATACTACCACATACATACCAAGTGCCATTCTTCAATGATAAGTTGCATATTATTTCACTTCACAGTGTGTTCTGTGAAGCGCTTTGGGACGTCCTCCCGACGTGAAAAGCGCTATATCAAATGCAAGGATTATTATTATTATTATTATTATTAATTTGCAACTTTTTTTAACAGAGTCAAGTACAAAAAAATAAAAAAATACTGAAAGCTGCCAAAGATTTGTCTCCAGACACTTTCATTATTGAATACAGAGGAAAGTTCATGTTGCGAGAGCAGTTTGAAGCAAATGGACATTTCTTCAAAAGGTAAGCCATTTTCGGTTCGCTGTTAGTGGTATCTTTTTAAGAGATCGGCGGGTGTATTCAGTGTGCCATACAAATTCAATCTGTGGTGTGTGCTGATCTATAGATTTGTAGCCCAGTGAAAAGAAAAGGGAAAATATTTGATGGACGAAGTGGAAATAAAGAAAAGTTTCTTGTACTGATGAACATTTACAAAGCTTGTAGGGAGCGGGTGACTAATATGCCAGTTACAATATTATGTAGAAATGGGAGCAAAGAAAGAACGGGGAAAAAAGAGAATGGTATTGAGCAAGAAAAAATCATGGCAATCATTGTGCCACCCATCTTGATTCTCGTCTCAGGAATTATCCCAAACCCCTAAAAAGTCACAATGCCAAAAAGGGTCACAAATTGCTATTTCTGCATCAATTGTTTTAATATAATTACAGGTGCCTTGACGTGTTTAAAATTAATACTGGGAATTACAGGGAGATAAAATAGGAAGTATAAATTATGCATATTTTGCGCATAACAATTAGTGAGCTCTGACTTTAGGCCTAATCGAGCACAAACATTGCATCAGGTACTGAGCAACTTTGGAATGTGGCTAAGCATGTGAGAACATAATTTGGAAAACTCAAATTATTTATTTAGTTATTTATAACTAATATGCAATTCTCAATGTTGTTCAAACTATGTAGATGTACTCTAGGCATAAAGGCTTTCCATATGTTTTGCAATTGGAATTTTTAGCTATAGTGAATAACTATTGAGTTAAATGTATTTCAAGGTTGAGGGTAACTCCTGTTTTCAGATTTGAAGGGAACAAACAGCAACTCTAATGGACTGAATGGTCACAGTTGGTATGATTATTGACCTTTATGTAGTGTGGTTGAGTGCCACATTTTAGGGGCATCTAGAACTATTTTAACTAAAACGTACAATAGTGAACTGAAGTGGTGGTTAAAATTACATTTAATTGTTGCAATTCTCTTATTTCTAACTATTGCCAAAAAATCTATAAAATAACTTGTGCTGGGTGGGTTACTGTCGCCCCAAAAGCTGTTACATGTTGAAATCCCTCTGGGCTGACAATATATGGAAAGAGAAAATTAATTTTGTGTTCCCATGGAGAAAAAATAATGTGGGCATGATGAGTTAATTAAAGCAATGAATTTGCTGAAATATCTTTGTTCATGAAATTTACATTTTCTCCCTAGACCATACCCCTTTGTATTATTTTATTCAAAATTCCGTGGATTGGAAATGTGTGTTGATGCAAGAACATTTGGAAATGAAGCACGATTTATCCGGCGGTCTTGTATACCAAATTCAGAGGTGAGCTGCATATTGGTGAAGAATTTATTAAGGATTTATTAAGTTTCTTATGTGAAAATGAATAATAATTTTTGTGTCTACCTTTGTATCTATAGGTGCGCCATGTAATCCAAGATGGAATGATTCACCTTCACATCTACTCAACCAGAAACATTCCAAAGGGAACTGAAATTACTATTGGATTTGATTTTGATTATGGAAACTGGTGAGAATAATGCTCGCAATTTTGATCAAAACATTTGGCAAATCTTGCTTTTACAAACTTAACTGAATTGTAAAAGAACTTCATCTTAAAGATGTTTGAGTACTTCTGCTAACCCATACAGCTTAAAACAACAAGTTGCATTTAGATATGCCCTATTTAATGTATGGACAATTTTTTCTTTAGCTTGTAGTTTATTTTCTCTTCCTTTTAAGTCTCTACATATGATGCTAAGTGGTCACTGGGAGGTGCTTAGAATACACCATTTATTGATTTTTTTTCTCATCTTCCCTTGTGTTAAAAGTTTCTTCCCTTCATTGCAAATCCAGTGACCAAACTAAGACCAAGAACATACAAAATTAAAGCATTGCAGGCCTGTGTCCTACTGTGCGGAAAGCTGGAAAAACTGGGTCATTAGACCCTTATCCAAATGAATTTGATGATAAGGACCCATTTATGTAACTTCAAAAATAATGATGTGAATGACTGCAGAAGATAATTGTGCGCCTCATCTTTTTTTTCACCCCACCCCTTCACATTTTTACCAATAAAATTATAGAAGGTTTAAAATTGATTTCATTTACTATTATTTAAATGAACATAATCTGCCAATTGCTGCATTCATTTCTTTTGAACATGCTTAGGTTTCTTTACTACAAGTAAAACACACAAGTGTTTTTGGCTGATGACATTTTGTTCTTCCGTCTAGCAAATACAGAGTTGACTGTGCTTGTTTGAGAGTAAATCCAGACTGTCCAGTTCTCAAACAAAACTTGGAGCCAACTGAGAACATCAGCACTGGCTATGAGACTAGAAGGAAAAAAGGGAAGAAAGAAAAGGACAGCTTGAAAGATAAGGATGCTCAGAATCAAAATATTTCTTCAGATACAGAAGGAACAACTATCAAAGCCAAGACATTGGAAAACAAGCAAAGAAAACTGTCTCCGCTTCGGGTATCGCTGTCTAATAACCAGGTAAAATATAGCAGTACTTCATGCAGGAACTTGGTAGTCAGTTCTATACCCCGTTAGTAATTAATCTAGCAAGAATGTAGCTGTCCATCATCTGTAGAGAGCGTAGTGCAGACCATGTAAAGCAGTCATTTCCATCTTGCAGGAGCCAGATTTAATAGAGGATATAGAAGAAAAACCGCCAGTTAGCAATGAAGTAGAGATGGAATCTGAGGAGCAGATTGCAGAGAGAAAAAGAAAGATGGTAAGTTGACAGGCAAATAGCTGCTTTATCCTGTCACTAGACTTGAGACATAATAATAACAGCTTTGATTGAATGCTTTAAACAGCTTTGATATTCCTAAATTCCTTCTAATGGAGTCTCATAGTTAGATTTTAGTACTTGACAGTGTTCTGTCCATGTTGTAGGCGGTTGCTCCAGATCTGCTTTAATATAGTAGTCCAGATTGCCCTGCTACGCATAACAGCTTTATATTATGGCTTTCTTCAGATTTATAGTTTGAAGAAAACCTGATTTGAAACAACTTTCAATAATAAACTAGAAAAAAAACAATGGTTGCTAATTGAATTGCAGTATTCTACTTTAAAATTTCTTAACCACATTGTTACTGTTGCTCATATATTAGGTCTTTCACATTTATCATTACAAGGTTAATAAACTCATTAAGTAATCCATTTCATGGTGTAATTATGTTATAGAATAATATTTTCCTCGGGAATGTATTCCTAAGTAGTTGCTGATTTTTTTCAGCTATGAAAAGGGTGTGAACACAAAATTATCTGTTGTCCCTTCATGTACATACACAAAACTTCTGTCTTCATGTATCAAAGGAGGGGGATAGTTATGGAAAATATGACTACTTAAATCTCTGTAGCACTGCAAAAGGCTCTATTAACTCATTTCATTAGAGACCGTTGAGGTTGGGATAACCAAGAAGCGATAACTCATTTTTTTCCCTAAAGAACGAGAGCCTCACAATATTGCAAAATTGGAGGTAGGTGGAGAGATAGAGAATCCCTGCTTCATGTAATCACCTGTATTTCTGCAAAGTGAATTGTGTGAGAGTGTGTTTTGCCTACATATGTGGGACTTACTGGTATTCACTCTGACTTTCAGAGCAGGTAAAAGAATTGAACAGTCATGTGCAGGTGGAACTCACATAAAACAGTTCATAATAGAAAATTGCTGTAACATTTGCAGGCATAAATAACCCTCTATCACCTTTCCGGAAACGTGCTCAAATCCTTTTTCATTTTTGCTGAGCTACAAATCCCCAGAATTGGTCCACACTTGCCGGAATATCAATTAAGAGCAGGAAAGTCTGCCTGATTTCCCTCTTTAGCCCAGGGACACTGGACGCAATTGTGCCCCTGCAACTGCTGCTCCGGCTGAGATCAGATAACTTGGCATAGACATGCATTTAAACCTGTATAAAGTATATGGACGTTTTAGGTCACATCTATATAAGCTAGTGCTCCAATGAGCAGTGTCTTTATCCATTAGGCCATCATAATAATAGTCATTTTTACATTTGATATAGCTCCTTATTGCATCTTCGAGATGTCTCAAAGTACTACGCAGAATAAACTGTAAAGTGAATGGACTATAATTTGTGGGCGAAAAGGGAAGATGTTACATTTAAACTAGCATAAGATTTCATGAGCTGGAAGTTGTATAATTTGGATTAACTCGTGTTTTTCTCCCCCCACCCCTCTGTTTTAACAGACCAGAGAAGAACGAAAAATGGAAGCCATTATGCAAGCATTTGCAAAGATGGAGAAGCGAGAGAAAAGAAGAGAACAGGCTTTAGAACGAATCAGCACAGCAAAAGATGTCAAAATAGAAAACAAAGATGCACAGTCAGTTACTATCACAGATTCTATTCAGGTACTACACTGCTGTGGACTTCAATAGTAAATCATTTCCGTTGCATCTACCTTCCTTTAAAACTTTAGCCTTAAGTGAACTTGGCTTATAGAAACAGGAATTGGCCATTAGCCCCTCAAGCTTGTTCCGCCATTCTGTAGGATCATGGCTGATCTGTACCTCAAGTCCAATAAACCGCTCTTGCCTGTACCCTCACCTAACAAATGTCTATCCATGTCAGTCTTGAAAACATCTACAGCCTTTGGGGGAGAGAGTTCCAGATTTTCATTATCCTTTGGATGAAAAACTTCCTCCTAATTTCACTAATTGGCCTGGCTCTAATTTTAAGATGATGCCCCCTTGTTCTGGATTCCCCTACCAGACCAGAGGAAATAGTTTCTCTGTATCTACCCTATCGAATCACTTTATTATTTTAAAAAGCTTCAATCAGATCACCCCTCAACCATCTAAACTCAAGGAAATAGAGCTCAAGTTTAAGCAGTTAAACATTCCTGAGCAGGCCTCATAATTTAACCCCTTTAGCCCTGGTATCATTCTGGGGAGTCTGCACTGCACGCCCTCCCTGAGATGTAGTGCCAAAGACTGAACGCAGTCCTCCAGATGGGCTCTATATAGTTGAAGTATCATTTCCTCTCCTTTATCTCCCTGCCCTCTTGAGTTCAAGGCCAAAATCCCATTAGCCTTTTTGATAACTTTTGTTTTTATGAGCTTGTATTTAGTAATTTGTATACGTGGATACCCAAATCCCTTTGCTCTTCCACAGTTCTTTTTTTCTTACCATTTTAAAAAAAGCTCATTGTAACCTGTAATTGGTTATTCAAGACTTAAGATTGCTAAGTAGACTAACGCATGGAAATAAGATCCAAAGATGGCTAATACATGGATGCTGTTGATATTTTGATCCTGGAATAAACTATTTGCTAGAATGCCCAAAAGGAACTTCTTCAAATCTTTCCTGATGCTAATAAATTCATGGGTTAGGCAAATTGAACAAGAATATAGGAAACTAGGAGTGTGTCATTGTTTAGCAGAGTGGCAAAAATGTGGCTGCATATAGTTTAATGTTGGGCAATGAGAATAATTGTGTGGGCTGGGCAAGGAAAGTTGGTATACCAGGAATGGTAAAGTTCTAATTATGTTGAGGAATAGAAAGATCTGGGGAATAAGTATGTAGATCATTAAAGGAGAAAGTGTAGGTAGAAAAAAATATTAAAAATAACAAAGTTACATTTGTTCAGCACCTTTCATGTCAGGTGGATGTCCCAAGGCACTGCCAAATCCTATTCTGGGTTTTATATGGGGTAATAAATGTAAACTTATATTAAACTTGTATAAAATTTTGCTAGGCTCGATGGATGCTACATAAAGTTTTGGGTGCCACATTATAAAAAGATCATTGGAGCCATGGAAATGGTATACGTAATGTAGGTTCGCAGAGATGAAAACCGGTTTTGAGTGAATGTACTTGTGAGAATAGGCTAGAAATATTAAATGGGAATCTTCTGGAGGTCTTTGAAATTCTCAAAGGTTTTGAAAGGATAAATAATGAAATATTATAATCCTGGTTTCCCCCAAAATATATTTTTAGATGAAAATACACTACATAGATTCTCTATCTTAAAATTTGCATCTTTTACCAAAATGAAGTAACACTGCTGATCAATATTTGAACCTATGAAACCTCGTGCTTTACCTGCTACTTTGCTTAACGTTTCATTTACCCAATTCAGGAAGATTCAGTTGGAATAATCTTGTTTGGTCTCTGATTCATTCAACTGGAAGTAGAATGTATAATTACTGTAGTAACATGTTAAGTATCCTGTAGCACTATTTGAAAAGAGAAGGGAGTTTCTTCCAGTGTCCTAGCCAACAATCCCCTAGATAATAAATTGCTCATTCACTTTGTAGCTGTTTATGGGACATTGCTGTGTGTAAATTGGCTGTTGCATTTGCTTATAAAATGCACAATCGCTGCACTTTATAGTAAATCTTATGAAGTACTTTGAGGCAGCTTTCTGACATGAAAGGCACTATATCAAATGCAAGGATCATTATTATTGTATTAACTTTCCCCTAGGAACCAGTAAAAGAAGAAGTTGCAAACAAGCCAACTCCTGCCAGGGTAAGTCGAACAAAACCAAGGAAAAGTTTCACTCGCAATAGAACTCACATAGGACAGCAGCGGAGGAGGCACAGAACAATCAGTAGCTGCTCTGATATTCCTCCATCTTCTCCTGAAGTGGATGTCTCCAGCAACCAACAGACTGACACTGAAACTTATATACCGGAACCGACTGTTGGGATGTGTAATGCTAACATGGAAGAAGCTACAATGGCAGAAGAAACAACAGCAGAGGCAGCACCAACAGCCATGATCATCACCACAGCAGCAGAAGTAGAATCAGCAGCAAGTCCGTTACCAGGTGCCAACAAAATGGCCACTAAATACCCCAAGACAAAAAAGGTGTGTGTGTGTGCTATTACAGAGAAGTTGTAGGCTAGTGTATTTGAGAGCACATCAAATTTCACCAAGTTGTTTGATGTTACTCCAGTTCTTCCACACTGGAAGTGTTCCACACTGGAAGTTACAAATAAAATTTTGTTTCAACTTTTTTCAACATCGATATCAATAGTATTGAGTGTTAGCATCAAACGCTCATAGGTCAACACTGGAAGTCTAGGTGCAAATTAAACTACTTGTTGGTATTTTTCATCTGTGAACCTCAACTCCAGCTTTAAAAGAGAATGAATAGGCAATTATCCAAATTGGGAGGGAAGTCACCACTTCCTTATGAGTTCTGCTGAACCAAATAATTAATTTTAATTAATTAGATTAATTTCAATTAAACAACCCTTCAAAGTGGTGACTCGTCTATGTCGTCTCAATAGACATAGAAAATTACATGAAAACCATAGAAATTTACAGCACAGAAGTAGTTCATTTGGCCCACCACATCTATGCTGGCTCTTTTAAAGAGCAATTCTTTCAGTCCTGTTTATTTGCCCGTTACCCAGACCCCTGGAATTCATTCCCATTCCTTGTACAAGGATGAATTTGGCATTGCTGCTACCAAAGCATTAACTTTTCAGCTCAATAAGGAGCTGCAGAGCATCAAACAAAATTTAATGACTGGAAGATCTTTCTCAAGATATTTACATGATCTTTTGCAGCTGAGATTACCCAGACTTGAATATCATAGTGACCTTCCAGACAAGAGATAGGCAACATGTTGCTGCAGTTTCCAGAACAATTAAATAGTTACTTTCAATGGGTTCTGATTCTCGGAAGATGGTGTTTTCTACATGTTTTCCCCTCTCCTGACGAATACTGAGTATCTGATTGCAGGGATGAGGATAATGATGCTAACTATCCTCTTATTGAGATCAACCTGGTTCTGAGATTTTTGCTCGTAAATTCTTTATCAGAAGAACCTGTTGTTTCAATCCCTGGAGGTCCAGATTTAGCAGAGGTCCTCAGTCCATCAGGTTAATGTCCTAACTCTTAACAGTTTTAGTGTATAACTTTTTTTTCTTTCAGTAGAAATTTTCCTGTTGATACCAAATGTTTCCATGTGAAAGGCTACAATTTACAATTTGATTTCCTTGCTTTATGTTGAATTCTTGTCACACTCATTTGACAATTTGCGTGACTACCACAAAAGCCTTTCACCGTGTCATGGCAAATTCAACTGGAGAGGATCTAGTGAACTCTAGATTCATAGTAAATGCCTTGAAGCACAAATTATTTTCTTAACCAGCATCTGACATTTTATTCTTGTAATCCATGGTTTTGATAGTTTGATTTCATTCTATTGTTTTGAGTGATCTTGTGGTTCGTACATTGGAAACAATCCGAGCTAATCTCTAGTGTTATAAGAATAAACTATGGGGGAAAAATACCAATGAAATCTGTTCATTAATTTCCACCCATTGCATAACTTTTCCATGTATAAAGGTTGTGATGGACTTGCCATGTAGGTTCCCTGAGATCATCTTAGTAACTAAAAGAGAATCCCAACCATGAGAATGTACCAGCTCAATTCATGTTCGGGCAGAGGCCTTGGAGTTCAGCTCAACAAAACATTCCTTAGTTTTAGCCAAATTATTGAGGGAATGCATTCTCCAGTAAGGAGCAATGGTGCATTGCTCAGACAGCTGTATCATATTCTTCTGGCATCTTAAGGGGGCCCAGTTTATACAGACTCCTGCCAGTCAGTCATCTTCCAGGTGCAGTTAAAATGCATGTCTTTTTTCCTATACACGTTTCGACAGAAGACGTGCGTTATTGCATTGTGTGAAGCACAAGACGGGCCAGTTGCCTCGGGTTGCTGTGAGTGATAGACTCTGACGTTTGTTTAGATGGGGAGGGGGCTGTTTCTGATTTTTAAGTTTTTACTTTCTCTTCCCCCTGTTTTCCCTGGCTGACAGGCTGGACAGGTGATCTGCTCCCAGACCTCTATCAATGCCATTGTTGAGCTGGCTGATAGGAGTTTTCTCTGTGGAGACCATCTTTCCTCCACTTGGTGGCCACCACTGATGACATGGCGAAGATCAGGAACGTGCCATGTGGGATTTTCCAGACACAAACCCACACCATACTGCTTGGTGGCACAACGCATCATGATGCTACCATACTGCCTGTCTGAAGTGAGTGAGTGTAAAAGGGTTAGGTACAAAACTTCCTTCTGCCAACTAACTGTTAGGAGTTGATGTTGGATCTGATCCAGGATATGTAAAAGAAACCTTCCATTAAGAATAAGAACCTGACTTATTCTTAAGTGATGACTAACCTACTTTATAAATGATGAAAGCATAATTTGATAAATTGGTTAATGCAAAGCAATAACAAAAATCATGTAGGTTTAGATTTAGATCTCCCTCACAGTGTTTATTTTGCTGTAAATGTATTCCAGTACTTTTAACCATTCTTTAATTTGTTTTTTCCAGCACTTGGCCAATGAATGGTTAAATGAGAAGAATGAGAAGGCTGGTAAACCAACAGACAACCCTTTAGATACACCTCTGCGAATAACAACAGACCCTGAGGTTCTAGCTACACAGTTGAACTCGTTACCTGGCCTTACACATAGTCCTCATATTTATGCAACCCCTAAGCACTATATTCGCTTTTGCTCTCCGTTCTTGTCAGAGAGACGGCGACGAAAAGAACCTCTAGAACCAAAAGTTGGATCTTGTAAAAAGGTAAGTTAAATTTTATCCGCAACAGAACTATTGATATTTGTATTTGATAATATTTTGTACATTACGAATCAACTTGATTTTGTCAGGAACCCGGCTGTTAATCGATTGGCAGATCGCTTTTCCGGGGGTGGTATTTCCTTTAAAAAAAATGTCGCTCGATCCACGACTGTTTGTGGGATGCTGCTGTGCGCAATTGGCTGCCTGTTTCACCCACAAAATATCCAGCCAGTTCACTTCACAGTATATTCTGTGAATATACTTTAGAATGTCTCGAAGATGTGATAAGGTGCTATATGCAAGGATTATTATCTTAATGCACTCATTCATGGCTGTAGGTAGTGAGCTCAGTTTGTGAAGTGACCTATAATTCTGCACAAACCAGCTCATAATAGATTTGGTTAATAACTGAATATGATATGATGCCCCACTGCTACATTTGAATGTCTCCATTGAGTAATCTTCTACTTCAAATGGTTAGTATTTTTCGAGCTTTTGTTTGACCAAAAGGGAAATCAAATATTCTGTAAATTTTTCCACAGCAAAATAGTGAGGGCAAGGGGCACAAAACATTTTTCATTAATACTTGAATGAAAAGTAATGGGAATTGGGAGAAATGGAGAATATTAGTACTTGTACTCTGTTTAGTACCTATACGCTGATCAGGATCGCCTTCCTTCACATTGCCTGCCTCTGCCACATTGCCCGACTAACCATACCTTACACAGCCCAAGCACTCGTTTGTCGCCTCCCATCTCGACTATTCAAATGCCCTTTTCGCTGGTCTCCCCAGCTCCACCATCCACAAAATCCAGCTGATCCAAAACTCTGCAGCCCACATACTCACCCGTACTGAACTCTGTACCCCCATCACACCAGTTCTACGTATGCTCTGCTGGCTCCCTAATGCCGAACGGAATCGATTTCAAGATCCTCACTAGTTTTCAAATCCTTTCATGCCCTGGCACTTCCCTACCTCTCCAACCTACTTAGTCCCCTACCCGCTGCCTTCACTCGACTGGCTCTGGTTTCTTGCATGTCACTTGTGCCCTCCGTTCAACCATCAATTCAAGTGGCGCTTTAAGCCACTATGCCCCGAACATCTGAAACACTCATCCTCTACCCCTCCGCCTTGCCCCTTCCTACCTCATTCAACTGTGCCTACGGTCACCTTCCCCTGACTTGGCGTCATGCTCCAACACTGTCAACTGCTCTGGTACGCTACCCTGCACAAGGGTGCTATATAAATGTGAATTGTTCCATCATATTCTTGTTCAGACGTTATAATTTTACAAATGCACGGTATCTAATAACTTGTTCATTGTCTATATAGCGATGGTTAAAGCAGGCCTTGGAGGATGAGACGTCATCAACAGTTGCTGACAATTTTGATTCCACATCACATGAAGATTCTCTGAGCCCAGCAATAAATGGAGAAACTAACAGTCCAGGCAATTTTGCACTGAGTGGGAGCTGTTGCTTAACAGGTATTGTATTCCCTCTGGTGTATATTGAAATCACGATGGAGCTCTCCAGAAATAAATCTTAGGTTATAATCATAATTCTACTCTGGGTCCTGGGTTCTAGGGCAGTAGCCTTAAAGTGATGTTTAGTTGCTTTGCAAGAAAACTTTTACCTGTCTACTCCCATACACCCTCACAGCAGGAATTATTCATAGGATTTGGCTGTAATAAATTATGTCTTGGTCAAGACATGGTTCTTCTTGTCCTTAGTGTTAACACTTAAATTGAAATTCCCTCCAAGAAGGTATTTTTGACCCAGGTGAATGGTCAGATTTGTCACAATGCAACCAAAGCTTGTGTCTAATGGTATCACTCTTAAAAGAATTGGTTTAGAGCAGTAGTGGCCAACCTTTATGGTCGGCCAACTAAATAAATGTTCTTATTTATTTATGCCTACTTTTCTTCATCAAGAAAAAACTGAAAAATCACTACTGATCGAACATGGAATCTTGCGAATGTTCGGGGTGGGGGGCACTTCTTGGCGGCTTTACGAGCTACAGATTGGCCACCGCTGGTTTAGAGGATCTAAGATTTCAGCAATTGCTGCCTTCTATAGTGTTGTATTTTGAGGGGGAGTATGACATTAAATGGTGCACTTTATAATGGATAATAAAATAGTTTTTTGCTTTCAGAGGAGGCTGAGGGTTATAAATTTAACAATTGTCCCAACTGTACTATATATTATTGGCCTAAGTGATGAAATGGGCTATAGATGAGTTTTAAAATTTGCCGTTGTTCGACTAGACTCAGCACTGCATGTGGCTTTATTATTATTTTTATCTAAAATTATATGTAAATTAAATGGCTAAAGAGACTTATTTTGCATTGAGATTTTAACTTATCCTTAGTGTTATATGTACTGTATTATTTTGCAGAATTAACTACTCCTTTAAAAAAGAGAAGATTACGCCATCTAACCGATTCTGATCAACCTGACCCTTCCACACCAATCCCCTCTCCTCACACAACTCCCCCATTTGCAGATATCGCTGCCTCCGATCCTTCTATGTTTAGCACACCAACAAAGGGAAAAACAGAGGACGAATCTTGTAAAAATGGCTACACACCTGTTTATTCACCTGTGACACCCGTAACGCCCAGTCTTCAAGGAAACAACTTGCAGTTTGAGGTAAGGTTTTTTAAATAGCCCGATTGAATTAACGTGCAGTAACCATTAAATGGTTACTAAAAAAAAAACGAATGCAGGATATCAACAAACTGTGCATTTGCATCCTAATTTATTTAATGTTTGCATGTTATAGATTTAAAAATGAAATCAGTGAATTTTTGGTAAAGTGGCATTTTAATTAAAATAATATTAATGCTGATTTATTTCATTTTTCCAAAGCCAAACAAAATGAAACTAGTCTAGAGTAGAACCTCACTAATCCGGTCACTCAAGGGACTGGGCAAAAGTGACGTACTTAGTGAGGTGACCTGATTCAGGTCCCTGATGTAATGTTAAGTGCGTTGGTACTGGGCAAAGATGAACATTCAGCAACCATGCTTTGCAATCTCATTAAAATAAAGGCATTGGTTTCACAGTTAAAAGAAACTTTGTCATGTATTCAGCCTTCCTTTTGAGAATGCATCCAACTTGTGTTCTGCCAATGCCATAGATCACAGCTAACTGTCTATGGCTTTTGCCCTCACTGTTTTTGATTGAGTCCATTCTCACACACAAGGACAACTCCTTCCGTGGTGGCATATTTACAACACTTGTCAACAGTCACTAAATCAAAACAAATGATGTACACACAAATCACATGCTCTGAATGCAGCACTTACCAAGAATTGGCCGCAGGAGCTCAGATTAGGCCGCGGGTACTGGGCAAAGTCTATTTCCTGCTTGCGAAGTGCAGGACTCTTAAGATGATTTGAAAAATGTGCACTTGCCTGGGTTTTATGAGCATCATTAGTTCTTTTCTATGTTGTCAGCTCCAGGCAAACTTTTGCAGACTCCTACACTGGTGAAATTTCATTGCTTCCGGCTATCTTGAGCTTTTGTCTTATCTAGTTGAATATTTTTTTAAAAAGCCTTCAAAATTAGTTTCCTGTGAAATTGAAAGATATCACAGAGCTTTCAGCTCTGTACTATGGCAACGGCAATCTTAGTTCGAATTGTCATTCAAAATACACGTTTTTACCTCTTAAATTGCGTACAGCATCTTGTCTCGCTCTCACTCAAACGTTTGCCTTATAGCATGATTCCAGGAACTATTAACATAGATTAGTGGCCTTATTCAACAGATATATGATGGATCCATAGAATTTTATAGCACAGGAGGAGGCCATTCGGTCTATCGTATCTGTGCCAGCTCTTTGAAAAAACTACCAACTTGTCCCACTCCCTCGCGCTTACCCCATAGAACTGCATTTTCTTTTTAAGTATCTATCTAATTCCCTTTTGAAAGCTATTATTGAACCTGGTTTCGCCACCCTTTCAGACAGTGCATTCTGCATTCCTGACCATAACAACTCTCTGGGTAAATATATTTTTTCTCGTCTCCCCTCTGGTTCTTTTGCCAATTATCGTATATCTATATCCTCTGGTTACCAAGCCACCCACCAGAGCAAACAGTTTCTCCCTAACTACACTTAACAAAACCCCTCATAATTTAGAAGGGTAAGATCTCTTTAAGAACAACTCTGATGAATCAGCTGTATTTTTCTAAGAGGGAATTGGGTCTTCAGACACCGACCGGGTGAGCAACGTTTGTCAATACTTAAGCTTTTCGGTTGGGTTTCTCTTTGGATCCAACAAATTGCATTTACATAGCATCTTTCACAGATATGGGTACAACCCTAACCTGGTAGGTTATTTGTGTTAATGTTTTTGATGTTTTTCTTGTAGTGAAAAATTGTGTTGATATATATTCATTTTTCAATAAACACAAGAGATATTAATGAATTAATTTAATCAATTCAGATTACAGTGTGCAGTTAGAACAATACTTTTCTTTTGATTGCATTTTTACATGTTTTTTTCTTCTTTCCTTTTTTGCCCTATCCAAAGAATATTTCATCACCTGAAAGTTCCCCAGAAGGTAACCGAAGAGTAAATGCTCTTGAGGTAATTCAGTGAAATTCCTATGTATAATACCCATATTATGGGCTTTATTTATTCAAAAAATATTGTTCACTTTAATCTATTTAATTCCAGAAAGACATACAGTAATTGCCTGATAACAAGATCCTGATTGAACTTGTCACTACCACTTTACATGTAACTAGTCGCATTCTAGAAACTCTTGTACTTAAAATTGATCAGATAACTCGTCCTATACGATGGCGTCTTGCACCGCAGAGGCCCCCCTCCCTCCCGCCCTATCCTGTGACTGGTGCGGGTGTTCGATAGTGGTTGGGTGCGCAAGTTCAGAAGCATCGCAGGGGCCTCTGGGCCATGCCATGACCTCCCGGGCTATCCTGTGACAGGATAGGGTAGGAGCCACGGCACAAACCTCTAGTTAACCAGAGGCCTAGCGTTCTGGTTTATTAAACTACTGCAGAATAATGCATGTTGTGAAAGAAAATGGATGTTTTCATTGTTTAATTAATGAAGAATATGGGCTTAATCACAATTTCCTCTTTTCTAACTTGTTGATCATGTCATAGGCAATTGTTGCTATGGATTCCTTTTTGCATAATTTGTCGATTGCGTCACTAATCGAACTTCGTAACTTCTGTTTGCAGACGTATGACAGAGTACCCTCCATTTTAGCACTGAATTCTTTAAGAAGCTCCAACCTAACAGAAATGGGACTAAATGATATAAAGTCTATTGGAGACGCTAGCCCAGGGAGCAGGACAGACATGAGCCAGTGCGGCAGTGGCATGGATTCTGTATCTGAGACCCAGCCCGGACTTGAGATTAGTGAACAACATGCCCTGCAGAAAGATACAGATTGCCCTATTCTTCATGATCGGACTGACCTAAACAGCCAATCAGAACCTATTTACAATGGAAGGGGCATTGTTTACTCCCCGTGGATAAAGAGCCCAGAGCAGCCCAGCTTAAACTTCTCACCCTTGAACTCTAATCTTCGGGACCTGACGCCTTCCCACCAGTTGGAAGTAGGAGGTGGCTTCAGGGCGAGTGAAGCCAAAATGCTTCAAGAGGAAGGCAAGCTCTCATTTGTGGACGGATCTGGTTATTACTGCTCCGAGGATGGGATGGTGATGATGAATTTCGTCAAGGGGATGAGTGGGGACATTATGAATGAAGGAAGCTGCACTCCACAAAATCCACCACAAAAGAAAAAGGTAAACGGTTATGATTTGAAAAAGTAACTGAAGGGTTAAAATTGGATACATTTGGAAACCTTGAATTGTACCATAATGGGGGTTGAGGAGCCTTTCCAATGGATACAGCAATGTCTTCCTATCCCAGTGCTCGGTGCCTGACCAAAATAGTCTTCCTCGTCTCTGACCCAATCTTATACAAAATTCCCCCCTAATCCCTCATCCATACTATTGTCACCTCCTGCCTTGATTTCTCAATTACACTCCTTGCTGGTTTCTCCACTTCCATCATCTGTCTCCCTGCGTCTATTCCGCAACCTCATTCCCCCCTTTATCATTAAATCCCACCTGAAGACCTACCTCTTTGACTGCGCCTATGGTTACCTCCTCTTCTCTGTGCCCTGGGCAAGAATCCCGGCAGATAAATTGTAATTAGCTTAATGATTGTCTCTGAGACCATACTTGTGTGCCTCCAAATATGCTTTACTGTAAATTCCTGTGTTTTTAAATGTTTTAAAAATGTAACAGAGTATATCAAATGCAAGGATTATCATAGTACTTTGTATTGGAACTTGAAGGACTATTTTTAATCATACTTCGGTAGTAAAAAAAAACTAAATTTGTAATAGATGTAATATTTTGACATTAATTATAACCTTTCCAGTGTGCTATGACCGGAAAGTTCAACCACGTGGACAATAAGTATATATGTGTATTTTAAAAGAAGAAATGTGGGTGTTGAGAGCTGGTTAATGTGTTGCACAATGAGTAATAATGCACAATTCATCATGAACAATGCCGGTGCAGATATCAAGGTTCCACTAAGAAAGTTGCCTTTTGAGTTTCCTCAGAGAATAAGTATAATTATTTATGGGACAAGGGTTATGTAAATTTATTTAACTTGAATTGATGGTCCTTGTATAACTGACGGTAGTTATATTGTGTTCTTACAAACGTTTCCTTAATTTCAAAGGTTTCTTTACTGGAGTATCGTAAACGACAACGGGAAGCAAGACAAAGTGGTTCTAAATCCGAAAGCTTCTCTCCAGTTGTCATGTCACCACATGGTGGTGATGGTAGTGGTAGTAATGGTACTATTGGTGGTTGCATTTCTGGTGGCGTTGGCACATCTGGAGGTAATAACAATGACAACGGCAACAGTAACAGCAGTGGAAATTGTAATCGAGAACAAGGTGAAAACATTCCTAGCCAAGCATCATCTTTATTAACTACAGTGGAGCCTGCCAGTCCTGTTGAAACTGACAGCCAATCTCCAGTTAAACAAGCACCTTCAACTGAAAAGAAATTAGATGATGCAGATGTTCAGTGGTAAGTTCTTAAGGCCACTATTGTACACTATGTTTAGGCAATAAAAATAGTTGGAAATGCACAGCAGTTTAATCAACTTTTCAGAAAGAATGAGAACATTTTCATTGGTTCTGACCAGGATCCGTCTTCTTCACAACTGAGTTCTTGCTCTCTTTGTAAAACATTTTGAGATGTTCTCACTACGTGAAAGTCACTATATAATGGCAAACCTGTGGAGTCCTATATATATATATTTATTTAGAGCACTGGCCTTGCAAGCAAGAGGACTGGGATCCGATTCCCGGGCAGGGCGAAACCTTAGGCAAATTTCCTTACTCCACACGCCTATGTTTACCTAGTAGTATGTAGGAACCCGGTTGTTAGTCGATTGATAGATTGCTTTCTGGGAGTAATGTTCCCTTCAAAAATAATAAGAATTTGGTTACTCAATCCACGACTGTTTATGGGACACTGCTGTGCACAATTGGCAACCCCATTTCCCCGCAAAATATACAGTCAATTCACTTTACAGTATATCCTGTGAAGCACTTTGATACTTGATAAGACATTATATCAAATGCACGGATTATTATTATTAAGACTTCAAACCGAGTAATGGTTGTGAAATTCAGAGGTTTTTAAAAGTAGTTTTAAGGGTTGGTTTATTAGCAAGCGACCTAATGTTTTAACTCTTACACATTTTCAATTTCAAAAGAGTAGTGCAGTACCATGTCTTTGATGCTTTCTTTTTGATCTAAGGACTGCGTCAACGTCAGTAGAGAAAGCGAGAGAAAGAAGCTACCAGAGGGCTCTACTTTTAAGTGACCATAGAAAGGAAAAGGAAGGTGGTAAGTGTTATATTTTAATTGAACCTCACATATTAAGAAATCAACGGTCGATGTAACAACTTAAAATAACTTTTTTAAATCTATTTTGAAACTGATCTTGCGTAACAAATTTTGTATTTGATTCACTGTGTGGCAAAGCGTTTCACAGCCAATAGTGGTTTTAACCACTCTTGGTCAATGTGGCCATGGTGTGTTGGAGAAGGTTTTGAGATGTAAAAACCTGGTGTTTTCTCTGAATTGAAATAGTCAGCTAACAGCAGGCACAGAACTGACAAAGTGACCACTGGCTGGGGTAGCCTGGGTTAATTTGACACCAGGTTATGAGATTTCCACCGTAATGTGAGAGGAAACCAGTTTTACTTTTTCTTCCACTCCACGATCTGCACAGAAGGGAGCTAAAAGTATTGGGTGAGGTGTTTATTGCTAGAGGTTGGGCGTAGATTGGTGAAATCTGGAGACAAGCCACCTTTCGTAATTGTGCTGGATACAAACGCCTAAAGAGAAAATTGCGGTTGAATGCTTTTGTTGGGAGTGTACATACCTTCGGCAAGTGTTTTTCTTAAACTGGTTCAGAATCAGGTTGGATTTCATAGTTTTCATCTGTTGGCTTCTGGTTATGGTTTTATTGCATTGCAAACTGATAGTATGTAATTGGGCATTTGTGAGCAAGTTCAAAGTAATTAAGAATTTTAAATTTGGAGAAGTTTGGTTATTGTTCACCAAAATCATTAAAAATAGTTCAAATGTTACTATAATCAAATGGGTGGTGTTTGTTTTGATCAACCCAGGTATCTGATACAAACAGAAACTCTTCACCATATTTGAGTTCCACATACGTATGCCACGTACACATGGGAATTTCCCTGTGTCTGGAGTGAAATGTGTACTTATCGTGGAGGCACGTTTCCTGTTTACCTAATTCTGTAATATTATGGCAGATTGGCAAGAGTTAAGGCTTGGGGATAATAGTGTGCATTGGGGTTTAAGCAGCTAAAACTGCATAACTTGTCGTTTAGAACCCGCTTGGGTAAACTTCCTATTAGTTGTCCAGCCAGGATCACCTTAGCCATTAGGGCTTTGGCTTGCAAGGTAAATGGTTGATGAATGGGAAGAATCTTATTTCAGTTGATGTCTTTGGATTGAGTGTTTCTAAGTAGACTATTTAGACATTGGGATTAAAGGGCTTCGTAACAGGTTATCTACCGTAACCAATGATAGCTTTGGTATTGTTTCAGAAATCTATTTGAAATAATTTGTTGCAAATAATTTTTGCTAGAATGTTGTCTAATGTTCTGTTGTTGGGCCTTCCATCTGTAGGAATGACTTCACCTACCCATAGCCCAACATCAACACATTGGCCACAGTCTCATGTCCAAACTCCACCTTCATCTCACTCAAAACCCATTCCACGTCTCCAGTTGAAGATCCCAACTCTCTCTCCTAGAGAACCTCATCTAGGTCAGTAGTGAAGACATTCCATAATCATTCCACCTCTTTGCGACTTGCCTTTGTTTATATTTCATAATTTCAAATGTTCTGATTATTGTTCCTCCATTTTGTCTCCATTGATGCTTTGTTGTAGCATATAGGAGATAAAGTGATTTCATATATTGAATTGTATTTTAAAATTTAAAATTATCCTTGTACCCATAAACAAATACTGTATGTGGTAAATGTATATAATTACAATAAAAAGTACCTATTTTGTAATTTTCTCTTGTATTCTGGAGTCTTACTGCTTTATAGCTCAGTGTGGCAGATGGGATATGTAAATATATGTGTGACAAATGGATCTGTATTAACTTGTACAGTTGTATTGGCACAAATGTTAAGGAGTACTCCACAATAAGGCTCTTAATGGCCTTACAGGAATATAATACAATAAAAAATAAAAGACCTGCTCCTTTGAACAAACTAAGTTCAATTTAAATGGACCTTCCCCAGTTTTCTCACCTCTGTAATTTTCTAGAAGACTAAAATTTTCCCTGAAATCTGATGGTAGTAATTGATTGACAATTCTAAGGATATCAGCTTAACATTGCCATGTATCAGTGTTACTCAACCTTGCACCATTGGGTGCCTTTCTCACGGTTCCAGCAGGACTGATGTCTGAGTGTCGTCCAAATAATACCTTAATCTTTTTTNCTATTATTACTTTTACTTTCTACTTTTGTTTTCTAAGGGGAAAAATTCAGTGGAAATTGTATCACCAACCTTCATATTGGAGCTGCCAGTTCCATATTTCCCAGGACTAGGCAGGCTGAGGCATAACATCATAGCAGAAACCAAAGGAATTCGCCCCTCTCTCCCAACTCCTCATTATGTTCAATGGGGTGGGTGCCGGTTCAAAATATTGTGCTTTGCAGCACAATAATCTTGTAAATCCCACGTTGGGAATTCTCTCTACAATTTTATTTATTACATTTGTTACATTTATTTTAACAAAAATACCTGCAACATTCAAGATATCAAATATTGTTTGATATTATGATTGATTGGATGTATTTTAATCTAAAATAAATCCAAATTGTGTTTTTTAAATTCAAATGGCTCTCATAATTCATTGAACATGCTGTACGCTGGAAGATTATCACATTGCATGAGACTTAGCCACGTTACACAATTTGCATATATGACATTATTTGTTTTGTCTTATTCATTGCGAAACCCTAAGACAGACACTGGTGGATATAACCATTAAAGAAAAGAACAGTGTTTGCTTAGAAATTTTGTGGAATTGGTTGCACAAAGTAGCCTTCAGACAGCTCTCAGCTTATGGTGTCTGCACATCGAGTCACATTCCAATCTTCACATTATACAGCGGCCCAGAGCACTTAACTGTGGCGGAGCACGACTCCAGGGGGAGGAGGGATGTATCGATACCTGTAAGCAAAAGAAGCATCTGAAAGTTTGGTCATGTTAGACGATCCTGAGCAATGGGAGCAAGACACAGGGGAGAGTGGATTGGGCTGGGAGCATTGGGTAGCTTGCAAATTATTATTAGTGTAAATTTATTTTCCGATAAAATTTATTAAGTCAACATAAGAACATAGTATTGCTAGACGAAAGAAGACCCAAGGTCCATCCAGTTCGCCTTCCACCATCCCGGCAGTCGAATGCACTTGTCATGTCCCAAATTATGTACTCTGTAGTTGTAGGGGGAACAAGAATAGTGAAAATAGGTGAAGCGCTGAAACAATATGCTTCAATATTCCTAGCCTGCCTAGAACTGGGAAACCATGCAAAAATAAGCATGAAATAGATTGTGTGAAAAGGTGCTGGCTTAATTTGAGAGGATTTTTAATTAAAAAAAACTATTTACGCCGAACATTTTGAGAAGCTATAAAGCCAATATATTATGGAGTATTCCTCAGACTCCAGTTCAGTAACCATGTGGTAACTTTTTCTTGCATCTCTTAATAAAACCTTTTTTTTACAGAAAATCGGGATCAAACGCAACTTACAAATTGGGACTTCATATGTGCTCCAAATGTGATGGTTGTATGATGCTAGTCATTGTGTTTTCTGTCCACCCGTTCTTTCAAACCAGCCAAAAATGGTTGATTACTGAACTTTAGTCTTTCTTCACTTGCTTTGCACAATGAGGCAAAGGGCAGGAATAAAAATGAGCAGAATTGTGGACAACCTTATGAACCTTTCACTAACGATTCCCCCCAAAAAGTAGAGTTTTACAGAACATCCTTACAGAAAGGATATATTTGCTTTACTGGATATGAGGATTGAAGTGTGCCAGTTTTACTTTTTGTAAATCTTTTGTTTATATTGGCAATTTCCTAATACACAAAAACATTTTTTTTTGAAGTGTCATACTTTGTTGTTTTGCCAAGCAAGCGAATTGAACTAAACTGTTACCTAGTAAATGAATTTTTGCCTGTAACTGAAAAGGCATAAAAAAAAGTACAGTAAACTTCTGATAACTTATCACTCCAAGGTGCAAAGGGCCCGGTGGGGAGTTAGCCATATGTATAAATACATAAATAAATGTGGCACGGTGGTTATCAGGGTTGGACCACCCTTTTGGCTGCTGAGGGTTGCGTGCCCTCAAAGCAATATTTTTTCGTTTCCCTTCCAGAAAAATAACATTTACGGGTTATGGAGGGAGCAGATGGGTCAGGTTAATTTGAGGGTGGGTGTGGCAATTGAATAGCGATAGTGACAATTCAAGCCTGGATTGAGTTATCAGGAGTTTGCTGTATATTTGTTGACTACAGAATTAACTTTTCTTCCATAACTCGTGACTAACTTTGCCAGCAGCAGATGTCAAGGCTACAGCAACCGATGCAGCTGCAATGATTGAACGGCCCGATCTGAATTCCAGCAACTGCTTCTTATTTACTGAATGTTTCAGGGAAATAGATATTCAGGATATTCTGTGTATATTGTATTGTAGATGCCAGTTTTGTAAATCTATTGAAAGGAGTACCAGTGGTTGTTTTTTTTTTAAAAAAAAACATGATTTGAACAACTTCCTGGTATTGTTTTGAAATCGCTTTCAAAACCAAGGGTACAAAGTTTGTCCTTGCCTTAAATGTTATAAGAATGTTTTGATTCCTCTGCAGAAAATCCAGATTCCGAAAACCTAGAGCAAACTGCTGGAAAGGAGTGTCAATCTCCAGTCAGTTCTCAAAAGCAGAACATAAGCGCTCCAAAGTTAAACAAGGTAATCAATTTGTTATTCACTGCTTTATAATGTGTATTATTGCGTAGATATTTGCGGTACTCTACAGTAATTTATACAAAGTTTGGATTCAGTGTTGGGGCAAGTGAAATCCTGTAGCGTGTTGGTCAGAGAACTCGTAAGGGAGAGGACCCGGGTTCAATTCCAGGGCTGGGCAAAACCTGAGGCAAGCCTCTGTTTACCGAGCAGTAAGTAGGAACCCAGTTGTTAGTCGACTGGTGGATCGCTTTCAAGGGTAATAATCCCTCAAAAATAATAATAATTTGGTCACTCAGTCCACAACTGCTTGTGGGACACTGCTGTGCGCGATTGGCTGCCACAGTTTGCCAACAAACTACACAGTCAATACAACAAAATTACATTTGTATATCGCTTTTCATGTCGGGAGGACATCCCAAGGCGCTGGACAGTCAGAGTTTCTAGCTGGGGGGGGAGCAGGGTGATCAAAAGCACAGTCAAAGAGAAGTGTCTTGAGATGTGTCTTGAAGGAGGCAAGAGAGGGGGTGAGGCGGTGGGACTGCGGGATGGAGTTCCAGTGGGTGGGGGCAGAGTGGCAGAAGGCCCCCCCCGCCAATGGTGGGCGGGCGAGGCAGGGGACATGAAGCAGGCCGGAGCCCACTGAGCGGAGGGAGAGGGCAAGATGGTAGGGGGTTAGGAGGTCGCAGATGTAGGGGGAGCAAGACCATGGAGGGATTTGAAGGTGAGGACCAGGATCTTGGAACTGTATCCTCTGTGTGATGAGAAGTCAGTGGAGTCGGGTGACGATTGGGGTGATACGGGGAGGCTGCAGAGTTCTGGATGATCTGCAGCCTGTTGAGGGAGGAGTTGGGGAGGCCGGCAAGCAAGGAGTTTGCATAGTCAAGCCTCAATGTAATGATTGTGTATATAATCCTTATATTTGATATAGCGCCTTATCACATCTTCAAGACGTCTCAAAGTGCTTCACAGAATGTATTGTAGAGTGAATTGACTATATTTTGTTGGAGAAACAATCTACAATATATTCTGTAAAGTTCTTTGAGAAGACTCAATGACTTGATAAGGCACTCTATCTAATGCAGGAGTTGTTGTTATTAAAAATAATTTCCAACCAAATGAAATGTATTGTGAACTTTCCTATCTTGAGTTCAGGTTCAATGTGGTGTTGAAACCTCTCTTTTGTATTAACAGACAGCAAATCAGCCTTGTCCATCACCACCTGCATTTGCTTCCCAGCCCCAGACCAAATCGCAGGCAAAATCTCAGAGCCCACTTGAGTCTCATCCTCCACAGTTAGAGAGTGTAAGTAATATAGCTGAGAGCTCTCTTCTGAATCCACCCAAACCTGAAGCACAGCAGAAAATTAATTTACAGTTAGATTCCCAACCAATATCAAAATCCAAATTGAATTGCCAGTCTGGGACTCATTATTCACAGCATCCATGTTTGTCACAGTCACAAAATGCCCTTCCATCAGTAAAACCATCGAATCAGCCAATGCAGATTCCATTGAAGACTCAATGTACTGCACTCCCACTACATGCTGAACATCCTCCCAGTTCTTCAAACGCTCTCACACCCGGACAACCAAACTATCTTCCATCGACCTCCCAATCACAAGCTCAGGCGACACATTTGCATTCACCAAAGCCTCTATCACAGCACCTGGGTTCACCGTACAGGACCGTTCATTCGCCATCAACTCAAGTGGGAACCGCACAAAGCACGACACACAGAGGACCCTTTTTAACTCCTGTTGCTGTGGGGCAAGCATATTATCAGACAACATTGCCTGCAACTCTAGTGCAGCAGCAAGGTGGACCTTTTTACCCTCAGTCCTCAGCGACGTCAGGCCATCAGCCTAGTCTGATTCCGTTCAACCAGCAACATCCGAATGGCAATGCCCCACCACCTCCTCCTCCACCGCCTCCTCCGCCACCACCTCCTCCACTTGCTTACTATCAGAGCCAGCAAACTTCCGGGAACTTTCAAAGTTTCAGTCAGTCCAGAGCAAACCTTTCCCAACAGGGAACCTTCTCTCCAGGACCCAATCCAAACCAGACCTTGTCTGGACCTGGTTTGCTTCAGCCGACTGGTTCAGGGCCCATCATCCATCCAGGACCCCCACATCCTCAGTCTTCAGGTTCTGCTTTGTTGCCAACTCCTGGCCCACCGTCATCACCGGGAGCCGTGGCCACTGGACATCACGTTTCCCCCACAGGGCAATATCTGCCATCTCCAAGCTCAGGCATGCATCACCCTTCCACATCTTCAGCCCATCCTCCCCCTCCACCACCGCCCCCACCACCCCCACCCCCAGTATCTCAGACCCTCGGGTCAGGCCCACACCTCCTCCCTCCCCCAGGCTCACATCACCCTCCACCTCAAGGGCAAGTCGCCTCCCAGCCACCGTTGTCGCACCTCCCCAATCAAGTTCATCCAGTTTCACAAACCCAGGGGCCACATCCAATCGCTCAGTCTTCGGGTCATCATCCACCCCCACCTCCTCCACCCGGGCCAGCTCCTCTGCACCCTCCTCCGCCTCCCGCAACAGGGCACCAATCTCTTCCGGCCTCTGCAGTCACAGCATCACATCAACTTGCACTTAACTCAGCACCTCCACCGCCTCCCCCACCACCACCACCACCTCCAGCTCCGAGTGTTCTTGGGCCAGGATCTCATCACCCGGCTCCTCAAGGACCCCATCACCCGGCTCCTCAAGGACCCCATCACCTGCCTCCAGGGGCTCACCAGACTTTGGGTCACCATCCTGCACATCATCCTCCTCTAGGACCTCAGCTTCCACCTGCAGGATCAGGATGTCACCACTCCCTTCCAGCGCCAGGCTCTCACCTCCAGTCTCCAGGAACAAGCAGTAATCCTCCACTTCCAGGCCCAGGCTTCCACCCACCCCCTCCTAACGCAGTCCCACATCCACTCGCAGGTCACGGACTCAAACAGAGCCCTGCGTTACCCCCACAGATAGCTGTTCCCAGACCGCAAATGCCACCCCCTTTCCAACAAAACAATTTTCACAGCTCAGGATGGCACTAAAATTGGGCTGAGCTGACCCAGACATTATTGTGTAAAGTAAGCTGTAAATATTTTATGTACTGTACCTTTTAAAGGTACTTCTTAAAACTTATAAGTCAGACATTGTAATAAACTAATCACCAGTGCTCATCTTTGTTTGTCTTTCACACAACAGTTTTTTGATTCTTAAAGACAATTTTAGTCCTGTTGGAACTGTACATATGTGTTTGTGAAACCAGTGGGCGGATTTTTTTTTAAGAGTTTCATTTTGTAAGTAGACATTCCAGCCATCCTTACTGACATTGTAGTGTGTTGGTTGGCTCAAAACTGTAATTTAGTACTTTATTGTTGCATTTAAAAATGCAGTTACTGAATGTTTTGTATAAATTTTTTAAAATTCAATTCAAGTACGTTATACTGTACTTAACTGCACTTCTAAAGTAGTGTTGGCACTCATGCAATTTGCTTTGGTTTCTTTCGTTTCATTCTTTTTCTGCCAGCAAAACCTTTTCTTTTCCCCTTGTGTACCATTAAACGATAGCAGGACAATGCACTATAGGTTTTGAAACAGTCGTGACTTGGAAGGAACAATTGTTCTTTTCCTTAACTTTATTTGCTATTCGTAGGAAAGTAATTTAATGTATAGATTGGTTTCTGATTTACTCTGGCAGAGATTCTGTAAATAATTGTGCATTTACTTTTCCCTGTGCTTGTAAAATTTGCCAACGCTTCCATCCCATTTTGGAATACTGTTGTACATTCAAATCCCTTCGCAAACAAAAATGTGTCTGTCTTTGTGAGCTTAGTATAAGAATTTTAATTTTTTTAAGATACTGTCACATTTCAGCACTGGTTGGGCATTTTAATCCATGTTAATAAATCACAGTAAATTGCATTTTTTTTACAAATTATAAATATAGACTCTTAGAATTTGTCTGTTAATGCACATTTCATTTTTTAGAATTATTTAAGCGAAGGATACTGATGATCTCATGGGAGAAAGGAGTAAAAACTAGTTTGTAGGCATTACTATTCCAACATGATAATCAAGTATCATAATCAAGTTGAAATCTTTCTCAAGAGGCGGTAACGCGTTTTGTGACTTATGCAGGAAATTGTACAAGACTTTCAAATGCTCTTTGCTAAAGTACCTCTGGTAAAACCTTTAGTAATGTCAGTGGTACAGTCAGATACTTTATGTGAATTAGTAACTGGCTGAATGAAGGGAAGCGGAGTTTTACGCAGCTGGGTCAACAATTTAAGGAAGTATTGAATGGGATGTCAACTCCGTGTTGCAAGCCCATTTTGTTACACTATACAAATAATTTGCAGCCGCGTTGTAAGGAAGTTACATTTGAAAATTAAATGAGATTTGGGCAGTGAAGGGGGTGGGACTGGAATCAGAAGAGAATGCCGACAAACTATAAAGATGGGGGTTAGGGTTGCACACCTGCTCAAGTTGGAGCTGTGTGAGTTGGATCTCTGCTCCCAGTTGTCAGGTCTGGTCGGCCAAGTTCTGATGAGCTACGCTGGCTGATCTATCACGAGAAGTGTCCTTAGCATCCTGCGGACCTGCCAGGAAACCAAGAACCAGCTCACTTCCAGGGAACCCTCATCTCTTATCGAGGAAGATAATCAGACGGAAGTCTTGTGCACTTAAAGATTAATAAGCAACATTGTGGTTGTTCCCATCAGTACAGACGATTCGTCTTTGAAAAGTGACATATCGGAGAGGATCTTACAGAGGAATATTAAATGGGTTCAGAACAGTTTAAGATCATGCCAAGCTAACAAAAACAAGAAGGTTGTGAAGGGTAATTGTAGGACTGACACCAGGAATTATTTCTTTACATAAGGGGCAAAAAGCTGTAATAGAATACTGGAGCAATGCTAAAGGCTGACTGGTGATGTTAGACTTGTTTGAAACCATTTGATACTGTAATCGGAAAATAGGATGAGAACAAATAGCCAAAGGATTTTCTTCAAACACAATCTAATATTTAACTTATACGTAAAAGGTTGATTGATTTTTTTCTTCTTCACACCTTCTAAAATCTTTACGGAAGGTTTAAAAACAAATTTTCAAGTAGCATGTCACTGCAAACTCGTCAACCGTGCCTTCAGCTCCCCTCTCGACTCTCTACCCCCTCCTCGCTCCCTCCCTTCCCTCCCCTCCCCCTGACCATTTCCCCCCAATGCTCGCGTCCCGACCCAACTGTCCAGCGACTTGGGACGTCCTCCCGACGTGAAAGGCGCTCTATAAATGCAATCTTCTTCTTGTTGGTGGCTGAAAAAATATTTGGCAATCCCTCCATGGAGAACTGGAAATGCTGCTGCTCCTTGTGTAGATGCAGTTGTTCTCTAGTTTTGCCAGAATCTCTGAACCCTTTCTGTTCACTGGAATCTTGTTCAATGTGTACCCTGAGGATATACATTGCTGAAGGATTCAAATCAGTTAAGTGGTCATACTCGATGTAAACTCAATTTAGCCAGTTTATACTGCTGAATATAACATTGTTAATTTACATTTCCCATTAAAAAAAATTGCAGGGTTTCAACTGATACTGAATAATTTTAATGAAATTGGGAGTCTAATAAGGCAGTGATTTCTAACAATACTGTATTCAATAGGGATGACCGTTGGTAGATTACGCTGACCCATAGGTTCTAATGTTTAACATGATGTACCTAAGAAATCCCGTTAGAAATGGCAACACATTAGATTATTTCTCCCCAGCTATGAAGAGGGGATTTGCTAGATTTTATTTTTCTTTAGAGCTGAAGTATTTTGAGAATATTTCTTCTTGTTTCTAGTCTGTTTTAGTGTTTGTTAATTTGGAACATGATCTCTAATAAGTATAATTAAGACAATATATTGCTTACATCCATATTATTCCAAGCTTGATCACTTTGAAGATCGGAATCATATTTTCTAATGAACGTTCATTAATCGTTTCATTTAGAGTTTTGAAGTAAAGGTAAGTAATGTGCCATTACTTGGTCAATGCTTTTGCATTAGGGAGGACCTGGGAGACAGAAAATGGAGCAGTTATAACTTGGAGCTAATTTTGTGGAAGAAAAATTATTCTTCCTTCCATGACTATATCAAATGAAAGTATTATTATTTTAGTAAAATATTCCACTAGGAGCGTTCAGCTTAGTGATGTACCTCCACAGACTCCAGACCTTTGCCCACACGCACGCACCCTCGGGAACTTTTTTAAAAAATCTTCTGAGATTGTCCTTGGCCACCAATGTCAGGTCCCACTCATCTTTCAAACACTTTGAGACTTTGTTTTCAATGAACGGTGCCAAATAAGGTCAAGAGCCAGAGGGAGAGGGAGGGAGGAGGTGACCGTAAGCAACAACAAAATTACATTTGTATAGCACCTTTCACGTCGGGAGGACGTCCCAAGATCAAAAAGAAAAGTCTTTAAGCAGGATTTGAAGGTGGGAGGGAGGGGGCACGACGGAGGGATTGAGGGAGAGAGTGCCAGAGTTTGGGGATGTAGCTGCTGAAGGCACGGCCACCGATGTTGGAACGGAGGGCACGGGGGACAAATAGGAGGCCGGTTAGGAAATAATATCTCAGGATACAATATATAGTCTGGGACACGACATGTGCAAGCAACTGCCAAGATGGTGGAAGGCGAACTGGATGAACCTTGGTCTTCTTTTACCGAGAACATCCTTATGTTCTTGTGTTCTAAATGCTGGTATATTTTCAGCTGTCTGATCGAGTTGGATGTTTGGTATTGAAGAAAGCTATAGTTAAAGTACAGAAAAAATTCTGAGAGAATGCAAAAGGAGCATCTTACAATTGAAAATATGGCAATACAAGTGTTGAACCTATGAGTATTGAATAACTGAAGGGTCAACATCGTTCTCATTAAAGATAATTGCAGACTGCAGCTCCTGGCAATGGGAACCTTCTCATAAGGAGTAGATAGGAACAAAAATACGTATTAGAATCTTGTTCCAAAATTATATAAGAGTATTCTGGAAAACAGGGCTAAACATTGGTGTGAAGTTTATTGCAAATTATCTCATCATTGCCATTCCAATGAGCAGCACAATTCGTGGAAACAAAACAGTTTAATTAGACAATTACAAGCACCTCAACATACAAACAATTGGCTACTGTTACAATACCAGAACTTTTTTTGTCCACAATCTAGTTATTGCAAAGGCAGATGGATAAACTGGTAATAGGTAGATTCAGGAACGGGTGGCACCATTATTAACGTGGAAAATGGGAATAAAACCAACCGGTTCACTTTTGCATCATTGAGCTTGGACACAGACCAGTGTACACTTGAAGATCTGACATATGGAAAAGGTCACTGCCATCGACATAGAAAATGTCGATATTGCATTCGACCACAACATTCTGCTCCCGAACAAATCTTTCATTTCACACGGCAACAGAGAAAACATTTGAACTAACATTTCAAGAATGCAATGCTTTACTGGGTAATTAAAAAAAATACTTCCTATTTACATTGTTAATCCCTGAAAAAGCTACAAAGACCAGTGCAATTTGTTGTGCTACTGTCTGATGCTGAGAGCAATGCTGTAAACAGACAGCTTTCCTTTTTACACAGTAGGACCTCACTTTGTAGACAACTCAATAATCAGGGCAACTCACTATTCTTCAGTATTTTTTTCCTCCCCCATTTGAACTCATGGTGACCAAAATCCCACACCCACTACTGAGGGCACCTTACTAGTAAGGGAAAAATAGGCCAATCTATTGTCTAGCAATAGCGAGTTTCCACTGAACTAATTATTCTATGGGGTCAGCTGCACTGCAAATTGTTTTAATGACATTGTATGATATCCATTTTTATTTTCATTTACAGTCTCATTTTCATTTACAAGTCGATTTTTTCTTTTTTTCTCAAATGAGACACCAAAATATTTTTAACATATAAATTTTTTTGTGTGACAAAATAGTAACTCTGCACGTAGAAAAGTCCTTTTTTTTCTTCTTCATTTTCCCCTTCTCTCTCGACATCTTTAGTACGGGAAATCACTGTAATCCTCTGTTTTAGGGTATATAACTACAGCGTTGAACCAAGGACATTTTTGTAACGTTTCATTTAGGGGGAACTTCTTCTGGGTATTTGTGTGATAAATATGGGCAGAGAATCTAAGGGACTATTGCAAATAGTACAAAGCATACTTGTGGCCAGGCAAAGCCACCTATAAAGTGCTGTTTTAGGAATGGTCTGTTGGTATAAGTATTACAAGGCATATCCCAGCAACACAACGCTAACCGAGACAACAAATGGAAAATTTACAGTCTTTTTTTGTAAGCAGACAAGCTCCAACACATGCATTTTCTTAGCCAAGTGGCATTCATTATAGCTTTTTTTTTTAAGTCCCATTTCTGTATTTTACGGAAAGAATTTTACAGGGAAATCTACTCACATTATACAAGAATAATGTCCCTTTCCTATTGGATACAATTGTACAGCGCTTTGCAATATCTCAGCTACTTCCTCACTTGATATAGTAGCTCCTCCGTTCTACCTTCTCATCATTCAATATTTAATATGCATTATCAGCTAAAACAATTTTTCATAAATAAGTACAAAAAATATCGAAACACATGAAAAAAACACAAATATTTTTCTCATCACTTTCTGTTAGGACATGTGAAGGTCAGGCGACACAAGAGACAAAGCATCAAGACATGTTAAGTGTTTCAGCACAGAGTCAGTCGGTCAACTACCTCTTGCTAAAGACAAAAACTACCCTTCCCCCAAACACACAGTGCACGAAAGCAAAGTTTCAAACATTAACAGTATTTCAGAGTGAACAATGGTTCTGATGTTGAAGCCATCTCCTTTACACCCCTATTGTTTGAGAGTTTGCCTTAGGATGACGGCCACCTTGGTAGGTCCCACGATGAACACTGGAGCAGTCGTTGCTCCATAAGAAGTCTGGTGAAGGCTGCTAGGAACCAAGCCAGGGGTGTCTGAGGCATTCTGCAGCTGACGCCCGTTTCTCAGGAACCATTTCCAACATGGGCAGCAAGAAGTCAGTGAACTGTGCAGCCTCTTCGTGAGGCCATCCGTATTTCTCTACGAGCACGTCAAACAGGCTCCAGGGTTTCAGCTTTGTAATGTGCCTCAGCTCCCCTAAATCACAAAGCAGAGAACCTGTCAATGCAATTCACAGCAGACAATTTAATATCAACTCCGGAAAAGTAAAACATTGCAAAAGTAACAAACACAACACAATTGCAGTTTTTATCATCAATTAATACTCAACATAAGAAAGCAGGAAACTGAAGAAAAGATTCCTCAATGAATTGACATTCTAATATCTATGCAAAACTACTGGAAATAGTTCCCTCCCAAAAAGAAACTAGCAACAAAAGAAGATACGTTTATTGAGTGTTTTCAAATAAACTGTCTTTTCTCAAGATCTTTCATCAGTTAAGCCAGAAATCAGCCTGACATTTTCTCTCAGTGCAGGAGAGATAGTTAAGAGTTGCCAGGTTCTTTCCAAAGAGAATTATTAAAGAGAATGGTTCAGACATATCCTTATCACACTTCACAAATGGCCTTGTCTGCCAATCTTCCTAACTAGGACACATGGTAAGAATTCCACCCTTAACCCTTCCCCCATCCCATTTTCCTTCCCTCTTTACAATCCAGCAAGACACTATATCAAATGCATGGCTTATTATTATAGGGAACATAAAGCACACTATTCAGACAGGAAGGAATAGGGCATCCAATTATTGAGCTCACTCTGCCATTATATTGGATCATAACAGCTCATTACCTAATTTAATTACCTAATCTCTCTCTCTCTTTCTATATATATATATCAAAAATTAGTATGCTTCTGAAGTACGAGTCTCTCCTTCTATCCATTCCTATCTCTCCCTCTACCTCTCCTAACTCTCTCTGCATCACTCAGTCTTTCTGCTTTCTGGTTCACTCCGGTTCTCCCTCATGTTCACTCCACACCTCAATCAATATAGCTTTCTGGAGCTGTGCATTTCACTCTCACAATCCTTTGTGTAAAACAATGTTTTCTGGATTTTTTCACTTTTAACTGGTTTAAGATTGTGTGTCTATGTTCAGGATTCCCCCACTAGAGGGAAGAGCTGTCCCTTATCTACTCGGCTTTATTATTTTGAAGATCTCAATAAGACAACCAATGTACTAATCCTGGATTCACACCCACTCCTTTTCCGAATTAAAGAAACAAAATGTTTCCGAAGGTTTAGTTAACGTGGTATTTCACTATCAAATCAGAATACATTCTTTTATGAAAAAGGCATTTTAACTGCAACAGAAGATCAACGGCCTACTGTGGAAGGCCTCTACAGTACAGGATTTATTTAATATTTTTCACTTTCATCGTTGCAAATACTTAAAAGATCTGGATTAGGAGCAGGTTTTCCCCCGTAATTTGTGTAGATATCGTCAAGAGTACCAGTGTGTGTTTCAACATAGCTATTTCACCTAAAGTGGAGTCCTGGAGCTTAGTATTTAGAGCATTCACTTCACAAGAGAGAGGACCTGGGTTAGATTCCCAGGCACGCCTCTGTTTACCTAGTACTAAGTAGGAACCTGGTTGGTAGTCGATTGGCGGATCGCTTTTCTGGGTGTAATAATCCCTTAAAAAAAATAATATCCTCAAAAAAAATTGATTGTTTGTGGAACACTGCTGGGCGCAATTGGCTGCCGCATTTCACCCATAAAATACAATCAATTCACTTTACAGTATATTCTTGTGAAGCATTTTGAGACGTCTCAACGACGTGATAAGGCACTATATCAAATGCAAGGATTATTATTATTATAGAATATCCATTTAAATCCCGTCTGGAATCAAACAACTTCTGCTGGCTATAGCGGTCCGGTAAGTCCAAAGTAAATTATATTTGGATAACCTCAACCGAGCTCATAATGGATATGAAGCCATGGAATATAAAGCTACCCATAATCTGATATTAATTCATCTCACTTGCTTTAAATTTAGAATTAGGCCAAATTGTTGGGAAATTGAGATCTTTGGTTTGCACATGACCCGTCAATAACCAGATATGACATTGCTTGATACTGGCAATTTCTGCAAAGATTGGAAATGTTTTCCATTTCACAGCAGTACTAACTATTGATCAGGTGAAAATAAACCAGTCCCCACTGTTATTTGGAGACCACAATTTAGCACTAATCAGCAATAATATCAACAATGAAGACATTTTTTTGTTTTGCCCAGAAAATACACAGTCAATTCACTTTACAGTATATTCTGTGAAGCGCTTTGAGGCTTTTTGAGACGTGATAAGGTGCTATATCAAATGCAAGGATTATTATCTTAGAATTGGTTCTCATATGCAGTATTTTAGCATTCCAGTCTCAGTTAATTATAAATATGCTGTACTGACCCTGAAATATTAGCTAATTTACTTAACTGAATCAGATTACTCTGCTAATTAAAAGAATACATTTTGAAAAATAGGAACTTTCCATTATTATTCCAACTTTTTAAAGAAAAAATGTCCAATTATTTTATGTTTCTTTTCTTTGAACGTGCTTACATCACCTCCCTCCTGCTTTGAAAACTGTTGTTTTCAAAATCTTAATATTGCTTTTAGGTTGTAGAGGTTTTAATCATATATCCTGTTTGTTTGCCTTCACAACAGGGTAGGGCACACTGATCCTTAAAAAGCCCTGAAGCATTTGTTTTACATCTCTAGAAGTGTAATTAAGTAGAATCAATTATAATTATAAGCAGCTAAAGTCTGAATGCACTTGAAATTTACAATAAACAGGAATCAGTTTGTTCAAGGCAGCATGCTTAAAAATGTGTATGTTAGAGGGTAAATAGTTACAAAAAAAAACTCTGTATATACTGTACCCACTGCAACCTAACAGAACAGTCAGAGTTTGTATTAAACATGAGGTATATAATTTACTGGCATCACCCTATGACTTTGGGCACTTAAAATAATTATAAAACTGAATGGTTACTATCACACCACTTTTAAAAAACAAATCGCCAACTTTAGAAATGGGATAATGGAAATGAACTGTTCTCCTCGGGGCAGGAAGCACGTAATCCGACATCTTTACATCCTCATCCATTAATGTGTTTCTATATTTTGCATTTTCCACAACACATCTCAAAGTTTGCATCTCCTCATTGCCTCAATTTGTTTTTGGATTCCTTTCTAGGAAGATATTCTGTGCTAGAACTCAGTTATAACTTGCTATGGAGAAAAGATAATAATCCTTCCATTTTTACATTTGATATAGCGTCTTATCACGTCATTGAGACGTCTCAAAGCGCTTCACTGAATATACTGCAACATGGATTGAGTAGATCGACTGTATTTTGTGGGCGAGCCAATTGCGCACAGCAGCGTCCCACAAACAATCGTGGATTGAGTGACCAAATCTCTTTTGAGGATACCTGGAAAGCGATCCATCAATCGGCTAACAACTGGGTTCCTACTTACTGCTAAGTAAACGGAGGTGTGTAGACCATCGAAACTTGCCTAAGGTTTCTGCCCACCCAGAATTGAACCCGGGTCATCTCGCTTGTGAGACAAGTGCTATAACCACTTCCCTACGAGACACCAGTAGATGCAACCCTCAGAAATATTCAATTACATTCCACCTTCTGTTGTCTGCCTAAAGAAGCTTGAAGAGACTCTGATAAGTCAGGTGATGGTAGCATTGGATTAGATTACTTTACCAGTTTTCTAGAGCAGCTCAAACTCCCATTCGTCAAACGAATGTGGTTGTTAAGTAAAACAATGATTTACTTCATAAAAAAGATTCAAAATGACGGTGACAATTCATCGTTGAATTCCATCACTTGCTTTTTACAGAGACTTTTTTCTTTTCCTTTGTAATTTGATTCATTCACAGAAACATCCTGCATCTCCTTCAAATTGTGATTCTGGCACGACAAATGAAATCAATGCTCATTCTTAGTTCAGCCGATATCTTTCTACACAAAGGCTGGTTTAACACCAGAGCTGAAATGATACAGTGACTAAGTTGATCACAGGATCAGCAATCACGCTGCTGCTCACTCTTCAGAAAACAAAAGGCAAACACAATAAATGCTACCCAGTAAACGTGCAAAAACATCTCCCTTGCGAACAAGAAAAAGGAGCCATTAATCCACTGGAAGTGCCTCGACAGCCTGAAAGAATAACTGAGGCCTGGTTTGCGACTCCACGTTTCAAACATTGAAACATGGAGTCCTGCAGCTCAGTGGTTAGAGCCCTCGCCTCACAAACGAGAAGACCTGGGATTGATTCCCAGGCGGGGCAAAACATTGGGAATGTTTCCTTATTCCACATGCCTGTTTACCTAGCAGTAAGTAGGATCCCAGTTGTTAGTCGATTGGTGGATCGCTTTTCCGGGAGTAATAATCCCTTCAAAAAAATTTGGTCACTTAATCTATGAATGTTCAAGGGACATTGCTGTGCGCAACTGGCTGCTGCGTTTTGCCCACAAAACATAAAATTCACTTTACAGTATATTCTGTGAAGCGTTTTGAGACGCCTAGCAGACCTGATAAGTAGCTATATCAAAAAGGATTATTATTTTTATTATGGTCTTTTAAATCACATCCCTTGAATTCATGATAGACAATGTTAACTTAACAGTTTTCACCTTGGCACATCAGTAAGTATCTTGTCATCCCTTAGGAGAAGGTAACCAGGAGGTAACCTTTGCAACCAACTGCAGTCAAATGGAACTTGTTTTATATTCTCTCTCGGTTAAATGACCTCTGACCATTTGATACACTTGAGCCAGTGCTGAATAACGTTCGTTACCTTTTTTGGTGAAAAACTCCTTGGAATATTTCCCCGACATTGCGAACTTTCGAGGGATTTTCCCCAGTAGTTCAATGATCAAAGCTATGTGATCTGCATTGGAGAATATTACCAGCAAGACAAAAACAGTTTAATCAGTACAAGGCATGCATCGTGTGATACTGGTCCTGGTACAGGCAAGAGTGGCTCCACTCCTCCTTGGCTCTGAAACAGCCTCGTCCCGTCATACATTTGAATGCTCAGCCTTTGCCACATTTTACTTAAGATTTCTGTAAGCTTCTGTTAATTTTTTTGTACCAAAATATATTAATGGATTTTTAAAAAAAAAACACTGCCAGGATCTTCTCCACAAGGCTTGGGAGCTTTTGCAGCTACATCCATCAATGATATACGACCACAAAATATACAGTCAATTTACTTTACAATTCATTCTGTGAAGCTCTTTGAGACGTCTCGAAGACATGAGAAGGCGTTATATCAAATGCAAGCATTATTATTATAATCTCCCCTCCCTTCCTGTACAGTATTTTTTTGTTCAAAATCGTTACTCAATTTAAACCTAACTGTAAATTAGATAACACACTCCAAGCATTACTGGAGTTTAAAGAGCTTGAATAGATTGGATGTGCATTATAGTGATTTTTCAAATGAACCACTAGCTGCTTTTGTCAGCTCAAATGATTATTGTACAAATCGCTATTTCAGCAGCCAGAGAAATATCTGTCCACTTCTGCCTGTATTGCAGAACCTTTCAAAGAGAAGAGGTACTACCTCTGCGATTGAAGAACTCTCGAGAATATTTCCCAGAAAGAGCAAAGTGTCTTGGGATATTGCCTAGTAGCTCTATGATGTGTGCTATGTGGTCTATGAGGGGGAGAGAAAAAAAGGATCCGGGGGGAAGGGGGTAAGGGCGGGGGGGGGGGGGGGAGAAGATAAAGGATGGGACATAAAAAGAGGAAAGAACCTGGAATTAGTAAAAATTAGAAAACAGATTTAAACCACCCAAGTTTTCAGCAATCCCATTACCGAGGTTAAAGCAAGGTATAAAGGCATAATAACCCTCTGCCAAACTACAGTTACGATTCCTATGGTTCTACTGCAAGGGGCCAGCGTTTAAAAAAAAATAAACATGGAGATGGAAAGGCTGGAACGTAGATGAAACCGTGAATACCACCACCAGAGCAGAGAATAATCCAATATTCAAAACGATAAAAGAAAAAAGGTGTTAAATTATCTCATTGTGCGTGTGTGTGTGTGTGGGTGGGGGGGGTGGGGGGGGGGTGGAAATGAATAAGGAACATTACAGTTTTGCAAAGAATAATCGTGAGAAGTTACAATCACAGAAATATTTTGCATAGTTCATGTGCACATTCATCTGTATAACTTGTGTGGAAATAAATATGTGTGGGGCTTTTTTTTGAAAAAAACATCTACACAGACACTGAAAGTGAAGTTAATGCAAAAAAACGATTTACGTGGTTTAAACTGCATGATCCAATTTAAGAAATAACCTCTCTTCTGTAACTACAGTGTTATCAATTATTTTAAGAAGAACTGTATCTAGAGCACTTTATTTTTGTCCTTCCTTGTCCCAATTGCAGTGTACATTCTTTGACAGAAAACCAAATTTTATTCCTAGATTGTGAGAGACAAGATTGTGCCTAACAAAATCAGATCAAAGTCTGCTTTAAAGGGAGTGTGTGATTCAGCAACCCTTGAGGAAACTCTCCCCTCCCCGCATGGGACAGAGGGAATGTCTAACTGTACATAGCGTTTGGACAACTGAGGAGTCGAAGAGTATAACTCCATTAATCCCTTTGAATTGTTTAACCCCCACAATCCCAGTCCATCCCCTTCAGTCTCCACCCCCATCTCGAGTGCTCCGCTGTGTCCAAATCCCTGACTATCCAGCGCCTTGGGACGTCTTCCCGACATGAAAGGCAGTATACACATGTAATTCGTTATAGTTGTTGTTGTGTTAAACGCTTTGAGATGTCCTCCCAACATGAAATGAGTTATATCAATGTAAATTGTCTTGTATATTAAAAAAAAAGGAATACTCCAAAGTGGTTCAAATATTGGACAGGGTATTTAACAATTCCTTTAGGATTTGTATACAAAGGTGAAGGTGAGTTTAGGTCCCTCATAAACATGTGCCTCAGTCTGTGAAGAAGGTGCTCGTGGCCAGAGTATATGCAAATGCATTTGTCCTGAGACCATTTTAATAAAATTGAGTATCATAAAAACAGCCTCTTCAATATCATAAACCTGAATGAATACTCCAGAAGACCCAGTCAGTGAAGGCCCTAGTGGAGTCAGGGCATATACACCAGCTGTTTAATCATTCTGGATTTATCCACAATGAAGTTTGCCACTGTCAGCGCAACACATTAATCTATTCAGATCCCTCTGTGTTTGATCTGCCTGATCCCTGTTATTTGTATCAATAGCAAACTTACGATAGCTTGGTTTCCGCTGCCCCTTGATTTATGTCTTGTGTAAATTGCATTAGCCAAGCACGGATCCCAGAGGCATACACATTTTCCTGTATTGCCTGCTAGCAGCGGGAGAAACAGAACTAAGGCTGAGGAATTATAGAACGGAAGGAGCACCTAACAAAGATTTCAATTAAAATACCAGAAAGCTCTTTCAAGGATAAGGTCCCAAGATTATCTTCCCTGGTGGATAATGAAAGTATTCATTTGTTTGTTGAGATTGGGGAAAAAATTGGGCATTTGTTGCTCTTTGGAAGCTCTGTGGACTTTTGAAAGTTGATAAACCTACCATACTCTTAACACTTTCCATTACAACAGAGCTCAAAGGTAATTCTAGTGCACAAACAGCAAATTGTTTGTAGTTTATTACTCTTCAAAGAAATGTTCTTTGTATTTCTGCCATTTTCTTGCCATTGGACTTCCTATTACAAAGCTGTGGGATAATTTAGTTCCAACCATTCCCACACTCCAGGAACTAAATGTTTTCTTCTGTTCTGAATAATAATGGGAGGTTTAAAGAATTCATACAATTTGATCAGAGATTGAACCAAAATATGACTGTTATCAGCAGTGGCATTAAATTGTAGTAGGAGCTGACACAGGACATTAAGAGGATGTTTTCAGTTCTGGAGATAATACCTGATTAATCTGAATTGGATAAAGAATGAGCTGGCACTAGTGTCAAATGCATGTGTAAAAGGTATGGTCATATTATTTCATAGAAAGGGAATATAGAAAGTGAAATAATCATGCACATGAACTTTCAACGTGACGTTGAAAGTTGAATCGTCTACATATTAGCATGAAGTTGGTTACATTTTGAGCATTTCTGATAAATACAATGATGTACTTACCTTCATCCCTAGAATAATCTTCACCGGAATGAGGCTCAAATAAGTAATCTCCAGTTGCAAGTTCAAACGCCTTTTAAGAGAAAAAGTAGGAGATAAAAAGTTGAATATAGTAGCCATCAACTGGATATTCAGTTAAGGACAGGGGCACCTTCTTCCAGGTGGATAGGAGGATATGCGACCTACCTTTTAATTCAAAGGCTTTAAATTACAAATTAGTTGTGTCCTTTAATGAACAACTTTAGTATTTTGTAATGATAATAATCCTTGCATTTGACGATATAACGCCTTATCATGCCTTCGAGATATCTCAAAGTGCTTCACAGAATATATTGTGAAGTAGATTGACTGTATATTTTGTGGGATATACACAGCAGACAATTGTGAACAGCAGTGTCCCGTAAACAGTTGTGGATTGAGTGACCATATTTTTTTTTGAAGGGATTATTACTCCCGGAAAGCAATGCACTAATCGACTAATAACTGGGTTCCTACTTACTGCTGGGTAAACCTTGCTAGAGCAAGGAAACTTGCCTAAGGTTCAGCCCTGCCGGGGAATTGAACCCGATTCCTCTTGTTTGTGAGGCGAGTGCTCTAACCACTACTGCTCGGATAGACAGTAAATATCCCACTCAGAAAACCTCTGGGGGTTTTTTGACGCCCTCACCAACAATTTTCCAAATACATTATTCATTTGCTTCATGGCCCACTGCGGGATTTTGTTGTGCACAAAATAGCAGCCGCGTACACCTACAAATATAATGTAGTACCTCAGGGGAGGAAAACTTGAGAGGTGAAGCTGGAGACCCTGGGCTGTAAAAAAAACACCCTGTGCTATCTCAGGGCCAAGGAGTCTGAGGCCCAGGCCACTGGGGAGTGTGGGGGGATTGGGAGTGCGTGGGTTTCTAAGAGGTGGTGGTAGGTACTGACTATGAGCCCAGATGTCTACACCCCTCCATAGTGTTTGTCTTGTTGTTACTGGTCTTCATGTGTGTTTCCAGATCTATCTGGCTTGGAGGGTACACACTACAATAAAATGACTGCACTTAAAGAAATTCCCGATTAAACAATGTTAAAGGTTTTATATCAATTACAAGGATTATTTAATAATTGTTTGTTCCAATATACTTCAGAAATCAAGCGCTAGGTAACAAAATATTTTAAATACTTCACAAGGCTCATCGTGTTAATAATCGACACTCAAACAAGGACCTAAGAAATGCTTTTTACTTATGCATTTATATAAAATAAAGTCTTCCAGGTAATTCAGAAATATCTATATTGCTTTGTTTTAAAACTCACCTCAAATATCTGGCTTCCAAGCCAAGGTTGCAACCTTCACTACACTGCTAAAGATAGGCATTTCTTCACATTGTGCCTCTTCCTAAACCCCTCCCTCCGTACTTACTTTCAGGAAGGGGTTGTCAGGGCAAGTGCAGGGAGAGGAAACATTGTGAGCCATCAACATTTCTCATGATCTTAGCCTTCAGATTGATTATACAGGATCGCTTCGCTGTCTTTGCCAAATAATGATCTACAGCTATGATGGCTGACGCCCAGGTCATTAGGACGCTGTTGCATACTCAGAAAAACAGAGAGTGACTTTGACGGCAACCTAATTAGCTGAAAGTCAGCCATTTGTGTGCAAAAAAGGCCAGCGCATGGGAAGTGAACAGGCCGGCTGAGCAATGAACAGGTCCACAGTGCAACGGTATTACAAGTGAATTTGCACTACAGTCGGACTTCACTATAACAAGCCCTGCTTATCACAACCCCCGCTTATAACAATCCCAACCTCAAAACATGATTTTTGCACTCATTGATGGCCAAACCTACAATAGTGAACACCCTGATATACTAATCCTTTCTGCCGATCCCAAGAAGAGTCGTTATAGTGAGGTTTGACTGTACAGTGAAGGATATTGTCACAGGAGTGTTCTGTACCTCCCATATGATTCATTTAAAGCACATTAAACCATGCAGCAGAGGTTTACTTGTTTAAGTTCCTCTTATATTTCACCTATTGCCTGGGAAATGCGTAGCTTACCATACAGGCTGTGCTCCAGATATCTGCAGGTGTACTGTACCCAGCACCAATTAGAACTTCTATCGATCGATACTGTCTCGTCTGGATGTCTTCTGTGAAGTGTTTATGCTGCAATGAATATAAAAATATATATATTAATAAACAAATATCACTAAACATCAACAACTTGCACTTATTTAGTGCCCATTACACAGGGTAGCATCTCACAAAGATGAACAACAAGAGTACCGATTTACAAAGAGTGGTGAATACAGCATTTACAACATATTGGGTAAAACAGGCCAGCATAGGTGGAGGCAGTGTCAGCAAACTAAAGAGAAAATTAGACAGTCATTTGGCAAACAATTCAATTGAGAGGTGTCAAAGATAGTGTAGGCTTTTTTAAAAAAAATTAGATAGGTTTTTTTTGCGGATGGCCAGATGGTCTGATGTTTTTTTCCAGCCATTCATATTCCTAATGTTCCAATGATTGCACATTTCACTACCAAACCACTTGCAGCATTCAGAGTAGATTTTTCTAAATATTGAAGGCTGGGGAAAGAGAGGTCAGAAAAGCATTCAGGAATCATTTCGCTGTCGTATTGACGTTCATTTTTTAAAGGTTTATCTCGACTATTCTAGACAACAATTTATCTCGACTGTTCACTATAATTTTTCTAAAATTCATATGCACAGAAGAGAAATTTATTTTGGATCAGTCCAGCTCATTTTCAGTATTTTCAATGCAAATCAAGATTGTACAAGAACAATCATAGACAGAATGAACAGAGAAAAATCTATTGTTAATTCCAATGAAAGAGATTTTTTTGGCATCCACAGAAATTGAAAACCCAATTGTTTTATAGCCACATCCATTGCACACCTTCTTTTCAAATAAATTGCCTTTTTTGTTAAATATATATATTGCTTTCATGGGTTGAGCTGATTACCGTATTTCAAGTTTTATACCTTCATCTTTCCATTTGCTGAATCAATCCACCTGAAGTCGCAATATATAGTGATTTTCATATAGGGTAACGCCACAAGGTGATTGATAAAGATTGGGGTAAGAATGTGAGTGGCTGAATTTTGGATGAGCTGGAATTTGTGAATAGTGGAACTGGAGAGGCTAGTGAAGGGCAATGGCCAAGCCATGTGGATAAAGGTTTCAGCTGAATTGTGAACAAAATAAGGACAGAAGCCTCCTATTTTGAAAACTGAAGAAAAGCAACCTTGGTCGTAGCCTGGACGCAAGAAAGAAAAATGCAGAGCATTGGACAGAAAGCCAATGATAAGCACAGGCTCAGTGAAATGGAGAAAGCAGTCAGGAAGTTTGACGTAGTCAGAGCCAGATTAAGGAGCAATCCCATAGAAAATCTTTATATCTTAGACGCTACCATTGACATTTGATCTTTGCAAAAATTAAATGCCTTGTGACGTCCTCCCGACTAGAAATGCGCTATACAAATGTAATTTTGTTGTTGTTGTTATGGAGTCCTGTAGCTCAGTGGTTAGAGCACTCGCTTTGCAAGTAAGAGACCTGAGTTCAATTCCAGGCAGAGGGCGAAACCTTGGGCAAGTCTCCTTACTCCACACAGAGCCTAATAATAATCCCTCCAAAACAAAACAATAATAAATTGGTCATTTTCAATCCACGACTGTTTGTGGGACATTGCTGTGCGCAATTGGCTGCCGCGTTCGCCCACAAATATACAGTCAATTCACTTTCAGTGGGTTCTGTGAAGCGCTTTGGGACGTCCTCCCGACATGAAAAGTGCTATATCAAATGCAAGGATTATTATTATTATTATTATTAACAATGAATTCCTAAAGAGCACACTCTATGACACCACTGTGAATTTTGATCTCTTTGTTATAACAGTCATTCTTACAAGCTCCCCAGTGACAATTTGTGCCAGTATTTCAGTAGCTCTGGAGTGTGAGCCTGAATTCACCAACCACTAGGTTCAGAATCTCTAAAATCATTTTACTTAATAATAATAAATTTTACTTGGGAGCATTGTAGAGAATGGAGTTTCACTTTATTGGTCTTGACTGGATTTCACCCAATTCTCAGTGTTAGTCCACAGCAACAACCAATTCAGTTTTAAACTTCAGGTAGTTTAATAATAACCATAGCTGTTATAAAAATCATAATAATATCTAGATTGCTTCTGGAGCTTAATCATAAAAGACCAATTTGAATAGTCACAACAAATTATAGAAAGATTTGTGTACTTACAACCCAACAAGCATTTCCTAGGTCTGCTATTTTAACCCTAATTTTCTCTGCATTTCTTGGATCAAGTGGATTTACCAGCAAATCCGCTGCTCGAACCTTTGCTGCAAGACAGAGAATTGAAGAAAAATGAATGAGAGGTTACTGCCTGTGGAGTTATCAGTGCTGTTTAAATATAAACATATAAATCCTATGAACGTACATCTAAACACATCCAATAACAGACAATCCTGTCTCAGCTAGAAATGCTCATGTTCTAACGGAAATTAATACAATAAACTGGCATTTGCTTTCCAGAAAATTGTAAAAGGAAATTCATATTTCACAGTTTCCTCCAGTTTAAGAAGAAATGAATTTCTTAAAGGTCAGAGATTGTTACATATGAGCAAAACATATAACATTTCAGGAGCGTCTCATTTTCTGCGTCAGAAACCAAACTGTTGAACCTCCAAGGGGTTGACCTTCTGTAAGCTTCCCTTGCCCCAGACGAGGAGAGGTTTGGAATGGAATGACTCCTGTGAAGCCTAATAATTTGGCCAATCACACCAAGGAGCAAAGACCACATCCTTTGGCATAGCTATAGGCCTGTGAATCTTTAAAATACAGAATTCAACGTTTAAGTAAACGTTTTGTCTAAACATTCAGTGACAGCATTTGTTATCAACAGATGTTTCTTTGTGAAAAAAATAAGAAAACATAGTGGCTGAAGACATAGTGGCTGGAAAAGAGTGAAGAATCTACACCCTCCAGACAAACTCGTGTGCTCTTGAGAAACCTTGATCCAGGCAAGTACCTGGGGTAATCCTAAATGTAAAGGAATTAATTAGCTCACAGCACGAGACACAGATATCCAGTTCTTCCATTCCCCTCTGAAATGGCTACTGAACCACTCCAGGTCACTATCCCATTGGGTAGTGCAGAACCACAACACAAATACAAACAATGTCCATGTAAAGTAATCCTAGACAATACCTTACATGAAGGATGCTATATAAATGCCAGGTGATGTTGCTGTGTGCCACCTTACGTAGAATCAAAGATTTTAGAGCAAAGAGGTAATTTGGCCCATCGAGCCTCTGCTGGTGCTGGCTCTTTGATGAAATAACAAGAGATTGCTCTTTCAAATTGCCAGCGCATACACAATTGGCCAAATAGCCTTCTTCAGTACCGTAAATGTCTATGGTACTATGGATTTAACTAACCTACTTAAATCCCAATTCCCTGCACCACTTTATATTATTCCTCTTAATATATTTCTCCAATTACCTTTCCTTCCAGAAGCACTTTCCAGCTTTTCAACCGTTCGAGACAAGCTCCCTCAGAGAATGCAGTACAAGTCATAGACTGCAAATAGCTATGATTTGTATTTCTTTAAGGCTACATTATTGAGGTTAGTCAATCAAGAAAAAAAGTGTGTTCATTTGAGCTGCAAACTACAGCAAAACATTCTATCATATCATAACTAGGGCTACAAATAATGTGATTCATCATTCAGTATTTATTAATCGCAAAGCCTTAGCTGTCCACTTATTTATAGCCCTCCATTAAAAATGTTGCCGTTAACAATCAAAAATATCCAGATTTGTGGAAAAAAAGCCACATTTATTGAAATGTAATGAAGACAACCTCAAGTTGACAGCTTGTCATAACCGAATAAATCACTGGAACTATGTGTAACTCTGTCTTTAGGCAGTCAAATAAAATCATTTGCATGTCTTACACAACCAAACCACAGTCTTCATTCAGCATGTGCATATTGTTAAGAGGCCAGGAACGCATTATATGGGTTCAATGACTGGGGATCTCAAAAAGAGCAACTCTTCTGACCTAATCTGACCAGTTCTTATATTCAGTCTTAATTTGCAAATTCATTTTTCTGCAATACTTTTTAAGAACTGTAAAAAAAAACTTCCAAACTGAAACTAATCTGCGCAACCTTAATTTTCAAAATAAAATAGTACTGTGAAGAATTGCAGTTTTTTTTGACTGTGTCAAAATATCTAGAAGTGCCCACAAAGATATGCTATAAAATGTAGATATGTAGTTAAAATGTAATAAAATGTAATAAAATATGGTTATGTAGGAAATCAGCAGCAAATCTATGCCAGCACTGTTTCACAGACAACAATGAAATATACATAAATCTAACAATCTAATAATAATCCACCCATTTAATATAGTGCCTTATCACATTTTTGAAATGTCTCAAAGTGCTTGATAGGATTTATTGTGGAGTGTAGTGACTGCATATTTGCAGCGAATGCAGCAGTCAATTTGTGCACAACCATGAAGTGAATGAGAATTTTTTAATCAAGGACATTGGAAGAAACTCCCCTCTCTTTTCAAGTAGGGCCACGCGATCTTTAACCTCTCCTGGAACAGGCAGGCAGGAGCTCGGTTTAATTTCTCATTCAAAATGGAATGGCACCTCCAACACTGGTGTCAGCTAAGAGTATTAGCTCAAAATCTCATTCTGAGGCTTGAACCCACAACCTCCTGGCTCAGAGGTAAGATGGCTCCAACTGAGCCACCTGAGCTGAGACCTAAGTTGAATGGCCATCAGATGAATTTCAACAGAAGTAATATTAGCTGGGACACCAGGAATCTTTATGCTCTTCAAAATAGTGCCTTAGAACCTTCAATGTCCATCTGAACTTCAGTTTAACATCTCATCCAAAGGACAGGACTTCAAGCAATATTGTGCTCCCTCAAAATACTTAGGTGTCAGCCTAGATCATGAGTTCAAATCTTGGTGTGAGTCTCAAACACATAGCCTTCTTACCCAGAGGCAAGAGTAAGCAAAAATGACAAATTGAAGAGCTGAAAGTTACTTTTGTTTCCGAGCAGACTAAAGTTTAAAATAGAAACTCCTGTCCAATGGTCATAAAAATATGACTGAATAATAAGTTTTAGAAAGATCTTAGAAAAACCAGGTTTAGAGCCTAGAGAAAATCAGCAAACTGCTTGCTGCCACAATCATGAGCATAATTCAGGTTTCATTTCATTTTCAAACCTGTGAGACTTTGAGATTACAACAACAATATATTACATTTGTAAAATGCCTTTTGAATCAGGAGGACTTCCCAAGGCGTTGCACAGTCAAGGATTGGGACCTGAGCTGGGTGTTGGAATCAGGAGGGTTGGAGGACAGGTAGGGGAGGGGAAGGAGGGTGACCGGAAGCTGGGTCGAAGAGGAGGGTCTTAAGACGGGCTTTGAAGGAGGCAAGGGAGGGGGGCGAGGTGAAGCAAGTATGGTCTGGAGTTGCAAAGGATGGGGGCAGAGAGGCTGAAGGCCTGACCGCCGATGGTGGGTCAGTGAGGGTGGGACATGAAACAGGCCGGAGTCCGCTGAGCGGAGGGAGCGGACAAGTCGGTATGGAGTTAACATGGAGGATTAACTACGCGCAAAGACAAAGAAAAAATACACCAAGGATGAACACAGATTTTGAACACAACAGAATACAATACTACTTATAAATCATGTGTTAATTGAGATTCAATTAGTTCTAATTTCAGTGAAACATAATTTCATACAATTGTACAATTGAGGAACTCTTAACAGCAGTTATAAGCGTCTGTCTAAACCTGATTTATATTCTGGTCACGTGTTATGCAAGTCTATCTTTAAGGATTAGTATGAAATCGAATTAGCACAATTTGTAGTCTAGGAGATGCACTGTATAGATGCAATGGCAGATTATCAGAAACGCTAACTTATATTTATCACCAATACTTTGCCTAAACCACATTTCCTTGGAACAGAAACTATTTGGTCCACACCAGCACTGAAGATATGCGTAGGAAAAAAAACGTGGGTAGCAGCATGACAAGAGAAGCAAATTATGAATCACTCTTAATCGACGTACTACTCTCCCCCACGAGTTACTGATATCAAACCATGACCCTGGGTGGGTGGGTGGGTGGATGAGGACCAAACTTCTTGTGCACCAGCTTTCATTTACGCAGGTGAGTCAACCTTGTGTCAGATATGCACCAGGAATTTCAGATACGTTTTACCTCACAGCTGCAACAGTATATGTACAAGTACTACTCAGATATAGTCTGAAATTTCGACCACAAAATATACAGTCAATCCATTTTATAATATATTCTGTGAAGCACTTTGAGACGTCTCAACAATGTGATAAGGCGCTATATCAAATGCACGTATTATTATTATAGTTTAGAACGGTTCTGTTCTTCAGCATGAAAAATCCGCTTTTACAATGTTGAAACACCTTGCAATCAATTTGGATGCTGATTCCTCTGAATCTAGTTAACATTTTATAATTTTTCTAATAATGTTCAAGTGACCATTAAACTTTTAATTTATTAATCCAAAGCACCACACCAATTAGAGCGAGCTAAATATTATATATATTCACGTTCAGGGAGCGTGGCTGAAAAATCACAATGTGATTAACTATACAAATTGGAAATAAATCGTTTGAAATTTTCAGAATCCTTTTAACTGTATAGTGAAACTCTCAAATACACTCACTTAAGAACACTCACTTTTTGGCATGTCCCCAGTGCTGGATGCGGACACGGTTCTACTCCTGTCTTGTGATGGGCTACTATCTTCTCTCTCCGTGGCTGTTGACCCATCTGATCCACCTGATCCACAGGCTGCAGATTCTAAAAGCCTGGAGAAAACCGACTCAGACATTTCAGAGAACTGTGACTCAGGACTCTTGTGCCTCCCATTTTGTAACTCTCCGTTGAACTGTCCGTAGGGGTTACTGTAGGTAAAAGTTTCAGTGTTTGGCCCGACGGGACTGTCTTCTGCAGTCGGACATTCGTCCTCCTCATCATCTTCATCATCCTCCTCCTCCTCGTCCTCCTCTTCTTCCTCCTCATAGAGCTGGTCAGATAGAAAAGGACCATTTTCGACGTGCCCGTTTGTTTTTGGTGATTCGGCCCATTCTGGCTCTGTCCTGGCAGCAGTAGTTTCTGCTTCATCTTTTTTCACTTCTTCTTTCTCGGCATCTTCCTTTTCTCCCTGATCGTCTTCATCTGGCAAATCAAAAACAAAATACACGAAAGGTTTTGCACTGCTTAAATGACCACACATCGATATGATCTAGTACAGGGTGGAGCCTGTGGACTGCATCCAGCCCCACCCCCACCACTCCATTTCATCTGGCCCACCCGCTCCCTCCATAAATGTTAGGTTATGTTTCTGGAAGGGAATATTGCTTATGTGGCCCGCAGAAGTTTCTCAAATAAGGCATACGGCACTCAGCAGCCAAAAGACCCTGACTTAGTACTACAAAGCAGCTTTTAGATACAGTGAAACCAAACAAAAATAAAGCTAAACTTCCAGCGGTATTTAGAACAGTTAAAAGTTTCACTCATAAAAATGGAGCAACTGTCTGCAAGAAATGAGAACTCAAAAAATGAACTTAAAAGCAGATTCAGGATTCGGCTGAATGGGTGCAACATAGCTGAACCAAATATTACAGCTTGCATAAGAGCATAAGAACAATAAGGAATTAGAAAAGGTATTTCGCCAGTCAATTCCCCAGTACATAGTGTCAGTCTAGAAATTTTGTTCAACATTTCATCTCTTTTGATACAAACCAACATGTCTTTACATACAAACTTCCCATGTCCAGGCTTATCAAACACACAAGAAAATAGTACTACATTCATTCCCTGCACTTACTGCATTCATTCTCTTGTGCCTCATCTGCCACGTGATCTAATACGGTTTCCTTCAGCTCCACCGCTTTTTCTCCTTCTTCCTGGTCATTTGGTGTAACGGCTGTCAGAAGCTCTTCCATCTTCTTCCTCTCTGCTTCTCTCTCCAGCTCTTCGATCTCCTGCATGCGCTTCTCAAGAAGCTCCGCCTGTCGTTTCTGCTTCTTTTTCAGCTTCTTCTTTTTGTTCTTAGACATTTTCCCAGCCTAAAATGTGACAACAATCATTGGCTAAAACACAGCTCTAAAACAACGTTCATTGTAATCTTATTGCGCTTAACGTGGTAACAAATAACCATCGCGACAATTATTAGGATAGTAAAACTTTCAAATAAAAAAAATTAAGAGTAAAATACTCATTTGTTCGGTATAACTTTTTTTAAAAATTGTGTCACTCAATCTATGACCGTATGCGGGACACTGCTGTGCGCAATTGGCTGCCACGTTTCGCCCACAGAATATACAGTCAATCTACTTTATAATATATTCTATGAAGCACTTTGAGACATCTCAACAAAGTGATCAGGCACCATATCAAATGCAAGTATTATTATAATAACTATTTGTAAAATGCTACTTTGCCTGTTAATTTCTTCCCTTTATGCATATTCCGCCTTAAAAACTACATAGAATTTAAAATCTGATTAGTAAATCAATCCTGCTCCCCAAATAATATGAATTACGACAAAGAACGCAAAATAGGGCTTTAGAATTGCTCTTCAAGTAACAACTCAAGTCTGTGTTGCAGCTATGCTGCACCACCGTTGCAGGCCAAGCAAATATGCCCCTAACCTCTGGAATGGATCTCCTCGTCGCTCCCCCTCTCTATATATCTTTAAATCTGCCTAACCACCTCGCTCTGCTGCCTCGCCCAGCGTCATCCAATATAAGGCGACATCCTACATAAATGCCTTGTCTTGTTGCCTTACTGGGAGTTTTGGGATAAGTAAAGTTTTTGGAATAGACTCTTCATAAAATTTAACTCAAAGGTCTGACCGTGGAAAGGTTCAGCCGCAGCTGATTCTACTACATTAAATATTTTCATAGTGGCTGCCCTGATTTTGCCACTACAGCAAACTTCACATAAATCGCATCAGTTGGGACCATACATTCAATATGACTTGCGCAAAGTATGAGTTAAGTCAAACCTGAATAGATTATAAACTCTTGAGCAGGATTCAGGCAGATATACTATTTAGGTGATTATATGATTTATACAGATCAGATTCATGCGAAAGGCAAAATACTGCAGATTCTGGAAATCTGAAATAAAACCTCTCTCCATAGATGCTGCCTGACCCGCTGAGGGTTCCCAGCAACTTCTGTATTTATTTCAGACTTATGCGAGTTTTACTGTATCAATTTAAAATCAACAGATGCAATCATGGAATTTTCTGACTTTGCAGTTTTTACAAAAGGAAAAATATTGTACAAGATATTCCCGCCAGTAACAATGTCGCTTTAAACAAATGAATGTTACCCGTTAATACTTTACTTCTGAAGTATTTTACTTGGAAAAGAGCCTGAAATTCAAACATTCTCTGAACAGCAAAAACAACCACACAGATTACTCACCGGTTTCTGCTGTGGAGCAGTGCTGACTGCAAGAAAACAAAGACAATTAAACTAATCACTACATGCAGACTCTGAAGGCTTTGAAGATAAAACAACTAAAACCGTGAAATTAGGAATGTGGAAATGAGAATGATGTACATTCTGCAACAACCGAAAAATCAATCATATCCATGTTGAAATGGTGCCATCAGCGAAGATGGATAAGGAAATTGATTTACATCTAATTATTTATCACTGAATAGTTCTAGTCGATGTGAAGCTATTATGAACAAAGTTGACTGAATATTAGATTCCAACTCAAGTGTATTCGTCTGCAAGTCAATATAGGATTCTAATCTAATCTTCAAAATGGCATTCATGCTTCAGAAGAGTTTGTAGAAGAGGAACAAGAGTGGTTCCAGAATTAATAAGGAGAGACTCGCAGAGCTGAAATGTTTTGGATTGGAGAGAGAGAAAAAAAAGATTGAGGGGATGCATAAACCTTAAATAAGTCTTCAAAATGTTAGTAGGCCTAGATAAACACGTAGGCATCCCACTTTCCTGACCTCTTTTTGCGGTCAAATCACTGAATTGTATATTATAATACTTGATTAAATTTATTCTGCAAGGACAGAATAAAATAATTTTTAAAAGCAACGAGCTTCAGCAAAATAAGTGATTGGAAATAATAATCCTTCTCTTGAGTGGCAAAACAGACGCCAGCAAATACGTTTGTCAATTAGCTCCTTCAAATTGTATTGGAGGCTGCTAGGTTAGGGGGTCATAATACTGCTGGCAATTCAACATCATTACTAATCCAATTTACGTACAACATCCCATCAACATACCACATCCTTCCCTCTTCAACAGTGCCCTGTAGGTTACAACTCACAATGAGTAAAACAACAACAGTTTGCAATCTGGGAACCAGACAATGAACAGGAATTAATTTAATTGCATCCTGAATTGAAATCAAAGGAAGAAAAGTCTCAGATAACTAGCAGTTCCACGGTAGAAAAATAAAAGTTTTAAATGCACCTCCATAGAAATCAACGGTGTTTCTTCCCCACTCTAACCCCCACCCCCAACATGTGCCTTTATGCGCCATTACATACATCGTCATTCTGACAGTTACTAGGAATGTAACACAAATCAGCTAGAAGATAAAGGCACAAAAAAGTGATATATGTAATTAATGAAAATGACACCTCAAAGGCTATTTGGGTATAAAGAACTCAATGATGAATATAAGGTAAAGGTAGATATTAAATTATGCACTGGAGTTCTCAGCTCTATAACTTTGCCATTTGCAAATATTTTCCTTTAAATTGCAATTTTTCTTCAGTATTAATCTCCTCTATAACTCCAGACATTTAAATCAGAATATTGCCTAACAAAGGACTGAAAATAACTGAGGTGCCAATTTGTCTTCAGAAAACAAAGTGGTGAACTGTCATACAATTTGCCTAATGAATTATAGGCAAAACAAGTTATTTAATATTGTATACAATTTAATATGCAAGTTGAATTTTTGTATAGCTTAAATCTAAGTCAATTACAAAGTGGGAGTGGAGGGTAATTAACATGGCCATGAGCACAGAATTGGTAAGATGGGCAGGACAGTGAATACTGTGAATTAAATGTATGAAATTTTAAAATATTTATTTTCTGGGACTCTTCTATAGACATGCACAGATAATACAATAATCATCCTTCAGGAATTAGTGCCTCACAGCATTAGAAACTGTTTTTTCACTTGTGTGTGAATCAAGCTCAGCTTAACAGAAGGAAAGGCTCCTCAGTCTGTAAATACATTAGAATACATTAGAATGTACAGCACGGAAACAGGCCACTCGGCCCAACTGGTCTATGCTGGTGTTTATTATCCACGTGAGTCTCCTCCTGCCCTTCCTCACTAAACCTTCAAGCATAACCTTTTATTCCTTTCTCCCTCATGTACCTATCTCACTTTCCCTTAAATACATCTATGCTATTTGCCTCAACAACTCCTTGTGGTAGCATGTTCCACATTCCAACTGCTCTCTGTGTGAGGAAATTTCTTCTTTCTTCCCTATTTGACCTATCTGTGACTATTTTATATTGATGACCCCCTGGCTTTAGTCTCTCCCACAAGTGGTAACACCTTCCCTATGTCTACCCTATCAAAACCTTTTCATCATTTTAAAGAACTCTATCAGGTCACCTCTTTTCAAGAGAAAAGAGTCCCAAGTATGTTCAGCCTTTCCTGATAGGTATAACCTCTGGAATCATTCTTGTGAATCTCCTTTGCACTCTCTCCAGTGCCTCCACATCCCTTCTATAATGTAAGGACCAGACTGCACACAGTATTGTCAGTGTGGTCTAACCACGGTTTTATAGCAGTTTATAACATCCCTGCTTTTCATTTCTATCCCTCTAGAAATTAATCCCAATGCCTGGTTTGCTTTTTTATGGCCTTATTAACCTGGGTTTTAGTGAATTGTATATTGTGTACCCCTAGATCCCTTTGCTCCTCTACCCCATTTAAGTTTTTATTTTCCACGATATACGTGACTTCCTTACTCCTTCTACCAAAATGTACCACCTTACACTTTTCTACATTGAAATGCATTTGCCATTTAAATGCCCACTCAGAAGGTTTATTGATGTCTTGCTGTAATTTGTTGCAGTCCTCCTCTGTATTAATTACTCCCCCAATTTGGTGTCATCCACAAATTTTGAAATTGTCCTGCTGATTCTCGAATCCAAATCATTTATGTATATTGTGAACAACAATACCGAACCTTGTGGAGCACAATTGCCCACCCCCTGACAGTCTGAGTAGCTATCCTTTACCCCTACTCTCGGTTTTCTGTTTTGCAGCCAGCTTGCTATCCATTCTGCTAGTTTTCCCTGAATCCACATGCTCTGAACCTTATTCATTAGTCTACTACGTGGTACCTTATCAAACGCCTTTTGGAAATCTAAATATATTACATCTACCGCATTGCTCTCGTCTACTCTTTCTGTTACCGCTTCAAAGAATTCAATGAGGGTGGTCAAGCATGACCTTCCTTTTTGAAATCCGTGCTGACTATTCTTTATTGTGTTTTCCATTTCTAGATGTTTTTCTATTACCTCCTTCAGTAAGAATTCCATTATCTTTCCTAACACCAATGTTAAGTTGACAGGTCTATAGTTCCCTGGGCTTGTTCTATCTCCCCTTTTAAATATAGGTATAGCATTAGCTATCTTCCAGTCCTCTGGCACCACTCCCTTTTCTAATGAAAATCACTATTTTCTATGTGCCTCTGCTATCTCTTCCCTCGATTCTTTTAATATACGCAGGTGCAATGCATCTGGACCAGGGGTTTTATCCTCTCTGAGTTTCATTAGTTTTTCAATTATATCACCCCTTTGTATCTCAAATGTATTTATATTATTTTCGATCTCTTCTCCTGCAATGTCTATCTGATCCGTCTCCCTGGTGAATACTGAGGCAAAGTAATTATATAATATTTCTGCCATTTCGCTGTGAGTTCATCTTGTCCATCCCTTAGTGGCCCTGTTCCTATTTTGATTTTTCTTTTGTTATTTATGTCTGTAGAATATTTTACTTTGTCTTTTTATAATCCTTGATAATTTAATTTTGTAATTTCTCTTTGCCTTCCTAATTGTTTTTTTGACTATTTTTCTGACCCCTTTGTATTTTTTTGTCATGCTCTCCCTTGTTGTATACATACTTAGTGAACGCCTCTTTCCTGAGTCTCAACTTTGCCCTTATGTCTTTATTCATCAATGGTGTCATGAAATGATTCAGGGTAATCTCAAGCCAGTTCCAAATGGATGTCACTTCAAAGCACAAAACTGCCTTTATATTGGTACCAATTAGCAATCTCACTTCGCGAAATGGGTAGAATGTGTGGTCTGGAAATAGATCATTCTGGTGTAAGCGGGGATGCAGTATGACTCAGAAACAAAGCACTCAAACAGAAAATTTTACCCAAACCATGACAAAATAAAATATATTGCTTAGGACGAGTTACCTGCTGAACCAGACGGTGGTGGAGCACCGGCCTTTTGCCATTCTGTAGCTTCGACAGCCATTCGCCGAATATAGGATTCGTCTACACACATTAAAATATTTTCTGGTTTTATGTCTGTGTGGATGATCTTGCATTTGCTGTGTAGATAATCTAAACCCTGTAACACCTGTAAGAAAATGAAGCAGCAGCATATAGAAGACCTTTAAGAAACTGGTTCAGTTATTTTGGTACAGTAAGCAATACAAGTATTCCATCTTTCGGATGAGAGGTTAAACCGAGGTCCTGTCTGCCTGCTCAAGTGGACGTTAAAAGATCCAATGCTACTGTTCGAAAAGGGAAGGGAGTTTCTCCTGGTGTCCTGGCCAATAATCCCCCAAATAAAACTGGTCAACCATTTCATGGCTGTTTGTGGGACATTGCTGTATGCAATTGTGCTTCTGCGTTTGCCTCCAAATGCACAGTCACTCCATTTCATGGTAAATCCTGCAAAGTACTTTCAGACGTGCTTCTGACATGATAAGGCGCTTTACCAGTTGCAACAATTATTATTACGATTATTATTATTATTAATAGCTAAATCGCAACATTTACTCTGTTCCAGGAGAGATGTACTCTGACTTCCAATCATTTTAGAAGTTTATTTTTTTCTGACCTGATATAAATGATACCATGTTCATTTACATGCTACACATTTCCAATGTTTTCACTTTTGTTTCATGTAAAAATGATCTTCTGTTTCACCCAAGTTGGGAATTTGAAAAAGACTGAAGCTTACTGTAGCTGCTGCTCATATGAGAGTAATTTAAAAGGAAATTGGAGTAATTCTCAATTTGAGATCAATTTAATAAAGAGGTTTGCAATAGAACAATTATTTTAACCAGGTCAGACTAGCTTCTAAAAATGGCTCTGGGCAACAACAGTAAACTGGATGGTCTCAAGATCTTTTCTCATTCTGAACTGTGCTAACTTAAGACTCAGAATATAGAGGCAAAGCACTGAACAAAAATGTTTGCAGTTTTAAGTAACAGGACCCAAACTACTCAAATTATCCTGAGATACATGTATTCCTGATTTTGTGACTCCCGCCAAGTGAAAAAAAAGAGCCTGGAGTGCCTCACGAAGGGTATCTATGGGAGAAAATGAGGCTTTTGACTCTAGATAGCTACCCCACTCGAATTGTGTCTCCCTGATTAGTAACAGATTGTGGGTAGAGAAATCAAAGTCTCAGATCACTGCAAACTCCAAACTAAAGGATGTAACATGGTAATGAGAGAAATCAGTCATCAATGAGTCTGTCTTGAAATTTTCCCTGATGAAAATTAAGAAAAACCACACCTGGAGAGCATCTTATGAAAAGGAATGTGAAAAGGGGCAAATAACAAATCCAACTTGATTTAGTTTGTTTACCAAGCATAAGATTAATATTCAAAACCAAAAGTGACAGTAACTTGGAAAGAAATTTAATCAATCTAGTTATATTTATGAATAGTAAAAGTACATTTCTGCTCGTCAATTATAATCAAGCCAAACGAAAATGCAACATGTATATAAATACAAGATGCTGAACATGTACTAAAGTCTCCTTTTAAAATTACAATTAGAATAATAAAAAATGTTAAGGCAAACAATTGATCTGGAAGGACAGAAGAATGTAGATTATTTATGGTTTACTTAAAAAATCAACATTGAACATGTTTAATATTTATATATCAAACTAAACACAACTAGTCATCTCATCCTGCAACTACCGACAATCTTTTCAACTGAATTTATCCTCGCCAGAAAAATTATTTTAAGCAATCAACAATCAAATTTGGATGCATTTAGGACGTACAAGGTTAAAATAAAAGTAGTGGGGGCTTTCCGTTTGATAGCTCAACTTTTTCACCAACCTGCTGAATAATACTTTTCACGCAAAGAATAGGAAGTCCTTGATAATTGGACTTGATGATCCATTTTAAAAGGTGATGGCCCAGCACTTCAAACACCATGCAGACATCTGCAACTCAGTCAAGGAAAAATAAAACGTGTGCCCTCAATATTTCAAGTGACTTTACAATTGCAATAGAAGTTTCACAGTTGGCAGGAATCTGTACATTTCCCATAGTTATATTGTGTAAACAATTAATTTCCAAACTGATTTTGAAAAAAAAATAATCATGGGTACATTACTTGGAAAGGTAAGCTTCTTATTAGCATGAAATACTGACAATATATGGCAATGTGTAACTTTTTTTCCCCAAAGCTACTGCAACACATTCCCATTGAACGTGTGGTTTCATATGTATTATATTTTGAATATTACTGCAACAAATAGCTCCTTTTTTTTAATAAAAACATTATTCAGAGAAATGTTGCAGTGGTGGCCAATCTTTTGGTCAGCCAACCAAATCAATTTTACTTTATTGAATTTTTCTTCACTGGTGCCCACCATGGGTATCGAGACTCTACTGTAAACAAGGTATTGATTCGGCGTGGCCTTGCCTGGAGTAGTGTGATTTCAGCAGGCTACCTCTTCATGCCCCAAAAGTGGCCCCCAGGCTACATTATACTGGTCATGGCCATAAATTACACGGTCATAAATGAAGAAAATTCATCCATCTTCTCACCTTCAAGATTCAATTCAGGCCTGCAATTTTACTTCCTCCTCCTGCCGCTACCAGGTATAGATAGTACTGTCCCTTCCTCCAGTACAAAATGTATTTAAAAAAAATGGAGTATTAGATTATCTAAATCTATAAACTGCCATCTCAATCTATATGTTAGTTTAGCTCAGTTGAGGGCACTCTCAACTCTGTTCAGAACCAAGTAGGTTCGGGACTTGAGCTCATATTTCAGCCTGACAATGCATTACTTGGGGAGTGCTGCAATGTTGGATTTGTCATCATTTAGATGAAATGTTAAACTGAGGTCATATTTGCCTGCATAAAGTAGAGTTAAAGATCCCATGACACCTTCAAAATAAAGGAAGTTTCTCCCAGTGTCCTTCTCAACAATTTAGATTAAATAATCATTCACTTTATGGCTACCTGGTTGGACTATGCTGTGTGAAAATTGGTTGCTACATTTGGGACAAATACACAGTCATTACATTTGAACATAATCAACTCTGCACTTGTTGGGAATCTATTCTACCAACCAACACTGGAAATGGAAAGAATATATACAAATAAATTGAACTAAAGATTGGCGTGAATATCTTTCCTTCACCTTAGCGCTCATTGTATTTATCACTATAAATTTTTAGGCTGTGATACAATTTTAAGTATTGCTTGAATGCTAACTAGAATGTGTTAAGGAGAAATATGGAGGTGTTCATCCACCATCACATGCAATTTTGCATATGTAATTTACCACTGCCGAGTAATTTTGAAAATTGGCTAATTCTTACTCCATTTTGTAGCTAAATTATAAAATTCTAATACAATTAAGAAATTATTATTGGTAATGCAACTGAGTGTTACAGGAGCTAATGATTTATTGAAAATGTCTGCGTTCTAGTTTTATTCTGTTCTTTCCCCAAGAGGTTTCACCTTGACTACATATATTGTGAGGCCCTCTATTTTAAACTAAACTATGAATATTTTTTCTCAAATACTGAAAGCACTGTTGACCTTTGAGATGTCTGGTTGCTAATTAAAGCATTAGAATGTGATTAATGTCTTCCAATAAACAGTTTATTGGACTCAAAAAATATGAATTACCAGTGCATTTTGTAATTGTTGCCTGGGTTGCTTGGAAGTGCAAAAGTTCACACAGCCATCACGGAGTAAGATTGTTAACTTATGGCTGCTGATAAACATATCACATCACTATAGTTCTAAGTGGTGAGAACATTTGAAAATATCTACCTAAGGCAGAATGTAGGGGGTTTACTCTGAGAACATATTCTAATTCCACTCCAAGAAAGTCGTTTTTGGTACCAGAAGTATTTTGCCAACAGTTCAGTTTGGTACCAAGTCTCACTGGAAGACCTCAGATTCAGTGCCCCAGCTTGTTCTCATTTGGACCATCTCAGCCCGGGTAGTGACTGAGGTCATGTATGGAAGCTAAGACTAGCCTCAGCCCCTTTGGACGCAAACAACTGCATGAATCATCCAATGTGAGGTGACTCACCCACACTTGGATTAATACCATGCCCACACTAAATGCATACTCAGATGAGGAAAGGTCACACATGAGCTAACGAGAAAACAAAGTCACTACTTCATTGACCCTGTGAAACATTGTTACAATAAAAAAATCTATTTATTTCATCTAGGAAGCATTCCTTTCCAGACAAAGAGAAGTTTCCATGTTTAAGTGGCATACACATGCGGAACTCTGTCTGACTTGGATACTTATAAGCACGGAGATGGTGTCTGCATGCATCAGACATCCGGCTGACCAAAGAAAAGTCATCTGTATCATATGTCCCAAACCATTTTTTGAGAAGTCCATGTATTTTTAATCCCCCCATGCAGATCTTAAGCGATCAGTGAAGGATACGTATTCCATTCATGCCAGAAATTTTGAAATCATCAACTAGCTGTACAACCATGTCCTTGTTGGGATCACTGGGGTCACTTTCGCGTACCTGTAAAATAAAACCAGGTTTGATCAGACTACTCCAGCTCCTGCCATGAACCCTATGAGCATTCTACACACAAATCTTAATAATAATACTCGCTTTTGATGTAGGACATTATCACCAAATGCAACATAATACAGAATGCTGGATAGCTGGCAATTAGCACAATTATGTTTTCAAATCCATTCTGAAATCTAATCAGATCTGAAAGTGATCACATCTTGTATGCCTCTACTTTTTTACTTCTTAATCTGATATCAGCTTCACGCATTAAAGGAAGAGTTTCAACAGAAGATCATATGTGAAGTTTTTAAGTACTTAACTGGCATATTATTCAATATAATTTATTGATTAAAAGCCAGAAGCAAAAGCAACTGGTATGAGCACTAAATATTCAAAGATGCAAGTGGATACTATATCACTGTAAAACATTGCTTTTGTATATAAATTATTCAACAGTATATGAAGTTTTTGCAGTGACCTTGTGACCTGCGAAATATTGAGCAGAATGAATGAACTATGACTTCTTGACTCCAATTGAAATTGGTCACTCATTCATGCTTTTTGTGGGATACTGCTGCGTGCAAATTGTCTACCATGTTTGCCCACAAAATACAAACGGTCACAACAACAACAACAAATTACACTTGTATCGGAAAGACGACCCAGGGCACTGGACAGTCAGGGGATTTTGGACCATTTTACAATATATCCTGTGAAGCATTTTGAGGCGTCTCAATAGCTGATAAAGCGCTCTATCAAATGCAAGGATTATTATAAAGATTACTTGTATTGCATAAAATTATGGCTCACTTTGAGTAGGAAAGTGAGATGACAATGCATGTCATCAAGTAGCAACTCTTGACCAAAAGAATATGCGCAGCAGCTATTTTTATTTTATTTGAATATTATCTCCAAACTAATGCAAAGAAAGATTTCTTAGTTTTGTGTTTTTCTCCAATCAACCTTTTTGGCCTTATTTGCTGTTTTAAACAGTTATAAGTGATATGACAGATTCATACTGTATTTGACCTCTCCGAATCACTCCCTCCAGCAAGTTTTATGTGAGACACTTAAAGCACATGGTCAGACCTACACTAACAAGTCAAACCTCAGTTAATTGTTTGTCATTAAATTGTCAGAAGTGCAATTGGGTCAGCTGCATTAGAATTGTTATTGCCAAATGCAACAGAATGATCATATTGTCTACTAATGGCATCTATTGTATAATATTATAACTGCTGTGCACAAATTGGCTGCCATGTTTGCCTACAAAATACACACATCAACAAATTCTTAACAAAGGTCAAATGGAAAGATAGCTCTGTCATCAACACCAATCACTACGAGAGTAGATTTGGTGATACTTACACATCTGAGTAATTTAATTTCATCCAGGGCTGTTTCTGTGTAATGTTGGGCGCTCTTTACCACTTTCATGGCCACAAACCTTTTTCCTCTGCAAAAAGAATGATTTGATCGTTGAAATTTCAAAACACAGAGGAAAAAAAAATATTTCCTTGAAGTTTCTCATCACAATCATTGTTACAAAATTAGGAGATACTGTAATACCAACACAGGGATATAATACTAGCACAGACATAATGGGTATATTGTGTGCTGCATGATTCTAAGATTAATGTAGGAAGAGAGCAAACCAAGAAATGCATAATATTTAGACACTATTACCAGCTGGTGCTTTAAAAAAAACTAGAAGTTGGAGCAGTGTTCTCAAAAAAAGAAATGGCAGCCACATAGCACAGAACTTTCCATCTAGGACTGCTCGATCCTTCAGGGAATTGGTTCACAGGGTTGAGGAGGACAACAACAACTTGCATTTATATAGTGCCTTTCAGGCAGGGCAGCGTCTCAGATATCTTAATAGAGCTGGGGAGAGGGAGGAGCAAAACCGTACGCATGGTCAAAGAGAAAGAGGGGAAGGACGAGGCAAGACGGAGAGATCGAGGGAGAGAATTCCAAAGCTTCAGGGCATTATGGCTGGAAATGCGGCCGCCGATGGTGGAGTGCAGGGGACAAGGAACACGCAGGAGGCCAGAGCCAGCGGTGTAGTGGAGCGCGTAGAGAGGTGGTCAGAAAGGTAGGGAGATGCCAGGGTGTGAAGAGATTTGTAGACGAGTGAGAGCATCTTGAAATCTATTCGTTCTGTGATAGGGAGCCAACGGCGAGGACTGGTGTGATGGGGGTACAGAGTTTAGTGCGGATGAGAATACAGGCAGCGGAGTTCTGAATCAGTTATATCTCTAAAAGAGGATGTGTCTAGTTTCCTCATTTTATCTGTAAATAAAAACCTGGAAATTGGGTAAAATGTTCAAAAGGTAGAATACACATTTTTTTTCATTGTTTAAACAATGTTATCCCACACAGAACATAGATAAATTATCATGTAATAATAACAAGGGACTTCATGAGACATTTAACACTTAACACCAATTTAACGCCACTAGTTCCTTCTATAGCATTCTCAAAATGGTACATGAAGACATCTTAAAGTGAGGTGCAAGATTGTTAAGTGAATTCAGTGAACATTTGTTCACACACAGGGGTGCAAAAATGTGGATTGCACTGCATCAGAATTTCACAATTCATGAATCAATTAAGGTGTTTAAATTGAGATAATTAAGATAGTAATAAGATACAGTAGAACCTCTAAATACTGTGCTATAACAGAGCTATAATGCACTTTGGGGAAATTATATAAACAGGATTTAAAAATGTAGCTCTTCCATGGACTAATAAAACATCAAAACAAGCTTGATGGACCGAATTACCTACTCATGTCTCCTTGTTATCGTTAATGGTTTGAAGTAAGGAGCAAGGCAATGTAGAATTGAAAAAAATGAAATGAAAGCATAATAATTTGCTGTCAGCTGCCTTATTTCAATACAGCTCTCAAATTAGGGCCAAACAGTGCACTTGTCCAAGACCCATTCTTGATCCATTTGAAAGAGAGTTTGAGTTTCATTTGAGTTTCATTACATTGTTGGACCACTTGGTTCTTGCCACTTGGTGGAGCTGCAACAAAGTCCCATCAGATTATATTGCATAAATATAAAAAGGAATATCATCATAACGGGGTGTTTGAGATCAATAAATCCCAAATCCCGCTGCATCGAGGCTCGATAGTCAGTTTGCGTGTGCAAATACACAGACAGCCAGTTTGCTCCCAGTGCAGTGGACAATTCCCACCCTAAAGGAAAAAATGTCCATGGACCACTGCTGCCTTCCCAATGCCCGAATAAGTGCAACAACAACAAAATTACATTTGTTTAGTGCCTTTCACATCGGGAGGTCGTCCCAAGGTGCCGTGTTTCGGAGCTGAGCTGGGGGTCAAGGTTAGGGAGGGTGGAGGGCATGGGGGAAGCAGGGTGATTAAAAGCACAATCGAAGAGGAGGGACTGTGGGATGGAGTTCCAGAGGGTGGGGGCAGAGTGGCAGAAGGCCCACCCGCCCATGGTGGGGCAGGCAAGGCGGGGGACGTGAAGCAGGCCGGAGCCCGCTGAGTGGAGGGAGTAGGCAGGATGGTAGGAGGTCGCAGAGATAGGGGGGAGCAAGACCATGGAGGGCTTTGAAAGTGAGGACCAGGATCTTGAACTGCATCCTCTGTGTGATGGGAAGCCAGTGGAGTCAGCCAAGAATGGGGTGATAGGCTCACGGAGCCTAGTGCGGGAAAGGACATGGGCTGAAGAGTTCTGGATGATCTGCAGCCTATGGAGGGAAGAGTTGGGAAGGACGATTAGGGTTAGGGTATATTGGTTAAATATGTTATAACCTCTCAAGTTTCACTCCAACAGTTTAAAACACAAGCTCAGTCCTCATCAGAGTAATAGACTAAATACACTTTTTTTTAAAAATTTAAACCCAAAGATTACTTTGAGAATAATATAACCTTCTTATTGTTGTGATGTCCTGTCTTAATGGGCCCCAGAAAACCAGGATGGGTCAAAATATTGTTTGGTTGTGAAAAGAAGAAGACACAACATGTTATCCCTCATTTGCTGAAGCATTGTGAGTTTATCTAAATGAATACAACAAACAAAACATTTAAGATAATTAAAAATCTTTTGGGAAGCTAAAATCTTTTGTGATCTCTCGTCTCCTCCCCGCCATATCGCATTACTATTTTTTTTGGTCAGACACGTGTGGGAAACCAATCACCATGCTTAAGAGTATCCAAACCAAACTTACTAAAACTACTTATAGCATATAAAGAATATACCAGCTATCTTTTTTGGGAGCTTGAAAACAAAAATGTTCCAGTCATTTTCTTCTTTAAGAGAGAGATGAGTGAATTGTGGATAAAGTGAATTAAATAAATAGTTTAGTACCTGAAAGCTTACCTGAAAAACAAGAATTAGACAAAGCAAGAAATGTAAGTGAATTCCTGGGTTATGCAGTTTTTATTGCAAATGTCAAAATGAGTTGAAGGCATAATGATTTCAGGAAGGATTTCAGGCAGCCAACCCATCAAATTTGGGGATCAATGTAAATCAATTTCTTAACCTAATAACACTCAATCCACTTTCACTGACAACCAGAAGTAACGTCAACTTTCGCCTTTTGAAATCCAAACAATGACATTTCCTGATAGACTGAATATCTGGCAACATTTATATCAAATAGATGGCTCAGAGACTTACTGAATGTCCCAGCACAACCATACTGTAGAGAAATGTCCCCATCCTAGTTTTCTAATTACGTGGTATCGCCCATTGAATAGATCCCCAATCTTCACTGGATGGTAGCCACCTGAAACAAAATAATAACAATAAATATTTGCATTTACTGTGCTCTTCCTTAAAAAACGTGACTGTTTTGTAGATAAACGCACAAGTTCTTTGATGAATTGGGATGAGGTAAGAATATTGGCCAAGTCACAGCGAGATCTCACTGTTCTTCTTTGAGATAGAGTCGTATCAAGGGATCTTTAACATCCACTTGACAGGACTTGGTTTTCAACATCTCATTAAAATGACAGGAAAAGATCTAAGTGGGTTGTCCTTGTGGTTGAGCTGGTTCAATCCAAGGAGAGTAAAGCAAGTTAGGCCTGCAGGATTCCAGCACATTGCTGATGGTTCACTAACTTGTCCCCGTCAATGAGTCTTGCAACTGCAGGATGCCTCAACCTGCAAGCTTGAGGTATTCCATGTTGTGTAGTTACCATATTTTAATGAGAATTCACTAACATAAACATTATGTTCTAACACAATTGCAACAGGAAATCATCAAACAAACTAAGTTAACCTACTCAAGAGTACGCTAATGGTGATCAATCTCTTTTCAGATCAATTGAGAGCAATCACTCCCCTCTCCACCCCCCCCCCACCCCCAGTCTCCAGGTTTTTGTGAAAAAAATGCTTTTAAATAAAAACGCATTTCCCAGCAATGAAAACATGTAACATTGAGATCTGCTGGGCTTAGGGGGTGTAATTTTTAAATATTAAAAAAAACCTTGGTTAAGTACTGCCCACCATCCAAGAATTACCACAAATGGAATAAACTCTACTTTGATTTGACAGCAGTGTTGTGTTCAGCGATATTGAACATATCATTAGCAATATACCACAGGAAAAAAACACCCTTAAGCCAAAACATAATGTTGTGCCAACCTGCTTAGTATGAGATAACCTAATTCACTGCTGTACCCAATAGCATCAGTACTTCATCCAGGTTTGATAATAGCTCAAATGCTTTTTTCAGATACAAATAGAATAAAATCTCAAAAGTGGGCGGTGTTCACAAGTCAAGTGATCAATTGTACTTTACTGAAATTCTAAAAACATTTCTGTTGCAGCAAATCTCATAGAGATGCACCTATGGTTTCAAACAATCATTACAAGTATGGGTGTGTAGGAAATGTGGTAGTAGAATAATGGAAAACAGTGGGAGAGCATTTGGGGCCATTTGCACATATTCCACTCAAAGCAGCGATCGAGGAAAACAAATCTGGGTTGAATAAAGAGGAACACAGGCTAAAAAGTTTAAACTGCAGATCTTGACTTTGGCTCAATTATTATGGTTCCCTTTGAGTTCAAGTTCTATCTATCCCTTATAAATGAACAAAAGTATATCAATGGTTGCTAGGAATTTTTTTTTTTACGAGGTTAGTTATCCATCTTCAAGTGGCTGTTAATTTCTGCTACATTTTGTGCATGATGTGCATTAAAGGTTGAATCAATCAAAAGAAAAACTGGTTGTTACCAGGCAAATTGCAAATCCCTCAGCAAAACATAATTTCTGGCACAATACATTAAAGCTTTGAGAATTATTTCCATCTCACAAGGACGATCCTGAGCCTCACTTCTGGAAGTGCTATGTAATGTTTTTTGCAGGTAGGAGACATTTCCAGCTGGTGTAGCAATCCTCAGAGGCTAAATACAAATTCAGAAAGCTGGCTACCATAATAATAATAATCCCTGCGTTTGATATAGTGCCTCATCATGTCTTCAAGACGCTTCACAGAATATACTGTGAAATAAATTGATTGTATATTTTGTGGGCAAAATGTATCATCCCTTCAACTCTGCATCAGGAGAAAATAAACAGTTCAACACTGTTTTAAATTCTCTATTTTAAACTCTTAATGTTCAATGCAAGACAGAGCTTTCAATCCGAGTAGACACTGATCAAATGATAAATAAGTGTTGCATTTGATATACCTTCTTTCAGATCGGGAGGACATCTCAAAGCGCTTCACAGGATATATTGTAAAGTGGAGTGATTGTAATTTTATGGGAGAGCGCGACAACCAATTTGCACACCGATGTCCCACAAACAGCCATGAAGTGAATGGGAGAATTGTTGAGGCAAGATCATAAAATTGGTTTGGATGAAGGCCCTGTGGCTTATCTGAACACTCGCCCTATCATCCCAAACCTTTGAATCTGAGGGAACTCTGATCAACAAACAATGAAATAATTCTTGTATTTGATATAGTGCCTTTCACATCAAAAATCATAGAAATTTACTGCGTAGGAGACCCATAAAGTCTGCACGGACTCTCAGTGCAAGTAATACTTTCAATCCCACTGCCCTACCTATTTCCTTCAAGCCTCTAACCTTCATATACAACTAGTCACCAAGAGAAGCTGGGAATGTCCATACTGGAAAGAGATGGTTCTCATTGAAGGATTCAAGATGCTTAAGGGAATAAATGGAAAACTTATAATATTGTGATAAACTCTTGAAGAATGAGGCATGGGCTCAACCTCAGAACCCAGAGGGTCAATAAGCAGTTTAGATTCAACTACTTCACACAAAAAGTGAGTGTTGAATACGTGGATTGGACTATCCAAGGAGACATTGGAGACAGATTTTGTCAGCAAATCCATACAGAAATTAGGACCAAATCATTTGCTTGAGGGATATGCAAAATATAGTGTAGGATTTTTTTAAAAAAAGTTTTAAGATCGATCAGATTGTCTTTTCAAGTCTATGTCCCAATATCATAGGATATAGGTCTTGGACAACTTGAGCATTTTACAACAACAACAAGAATACATTTGTATAGCGCCTTTCATGTCGGGAGGACATCCCAAGGTGCTGGATAGTGTACAGCATTTCAGACCCGAGCAGGGATCGGGGAGGGGTGGGCGGGAGAGGGAGTGGAGGGGAAGGGGGGTGACCGATGGCATGGTCGAAGAGGAGGGTCTTGGAGCAGGACTTGAAGAAGGCTAAGGAGGGGGCGAGGCTCTTTATATATATATAAAAAAATATATTTTTATATATAAAATATATATTTTACATCTTATATATGCATCAAACTTTACCAATCCAGATGTAGCATAGATTGTGTCATATGTAACGCTTTACTTAGCTTTCACCTAACACAAAAGCATAAATGCTGGAAATCCACGGCAGGTCAATTATAATCTGAAAGAGTAAAATAAATTCAGACACGACCCTTCCTAGAAACCAGTTACAGATTTCAGAAGTAGCAGATATGAAGGGTTACCTTATCTTCCTCTACTCTCTGTCCAGGGTGGCTGGTGACTTTGGAATTACATCCTTTAACTCTAAATATTTTTCAAGAAGCATGAACAATGTTAAAACATATCTCTAAAATACTGAGACTAAATGAAAACGTAAGCAACCTAGGTGATCTAGACTTTCAGATGAGAACTAGCTGAACTCTGTTTAAAATCAACATGCCTCGAGTGGGACTAGGCTGTCTCGCTGCCTAACACACAAATACACAAACACACAGAACAGGGGTTATGTGAAATAAATAAATAACATTCCCAAATAAAAACTGAATAAAATCCTGCTGGGAATTGATTGATATAAAAGATCAGTAGAAATAGATGACCATATACTCTGTAGTTTCTGGTGCTGATTTAACTATGAAATACAACCATCTGGGTTTCAACAATGGAGATGCCGCAAGTAGATTTGCTCAATTATGTTTAGGAATGACAGGGTTATTTCACACAGCGATTGAAGCCTGTGAAGCTGAATGTATGCTTCATTTGAAGGATTTGGCAAGTGAACCAAATAACATTTTCTTATTCCATGCTATGTAGCATTCTTAAAAGAAAAGACAAAAATCCCCACTCCATTTATAACAGCAAAGCAGCTGAGATTCCAGATTTTCCGAGCACAGATTGACATCAGTTTTTTTTTATATATATATATATATAGATAGATATCTGGCTTGGTGAGTCAGGCTACCAAAAATAGAGTGGAGTCACCGTGTAAAGTGCAGCATTCACCTCCAATGCAAATATCCCTCAGGGATATTTTAAATTTACTGAAGGAAATAAATAGCAGCATTGCAATGCAAGGTGAAAAATAGATGTTTATTGAGCCGCATTTCACTATCTTCAGCTCAAACCACAGCTGAAAATCCAACAGAGCAGGTAGAATTGAAAGGGTATCAGTAGAAAAAGCAGAGAGTTCTTATACTGCAGAACCATTTAAAATGAGGAAGGGTTGCTGTAGTTGATAAACATCCCTATTGTGATGTGCAATCATCTAGCATGGATAATGCTAGATCTGAAATGTATTAAATTCCAATGAAATGCTGGAATTTTTTTAATAAACCTTTTCCTCCATCAATCTCCAGTTACAGCTAATGGATTCAAATACATCGTCTGGCAAATGCAGATGCAAAAGTTGTTAAAAATGCATTACAAGGAGATACAAATAAAGTGACAAGCAGCATACGGTGACACTTCCACAGTAGTTATACCATTGCGGCAATGCTTCGTTCTCTCCACAAGAAAGGAAGGGAAATGAAAGAAACTGTGGGGAAACCCGCACCAATCTTCCACATCTCAGTAGCCTTTTAAGATTGGAACTGAAGATGGTGTGGTTCTGGAAGCTGCCTCGAGCCCTCCCCATTGCCCAGAACGGTAGCTCTGGACAAAGCAGGTTAGAAAATAACTTTGGATCAAATTCGAAAATATCTTTAGAAGTTTGCCGAGATTTAAAAATAAATACAGCTAAATACAGCAAACCTCACATCAGTCGTATCAGTAGGGACCATACATTTCATATGACTTGTGCAAAGTATGAGTTACCTGAAACGTCTAAATAATGGGAAGCGCAAATGGGACTTGGTCAGATGTACCACCTGGGCGATTATACGATTCATGCAGATGAGACTTATGCGAGACATATTGTATTTGAAATGGAAACAAAAGCTAGAAAACGTAGTCAATCAACATCTGGAAAAAAAACAACAGGTTAATATTTCTGGTACAACTAACTTCATTGAACCAGATCAAGTAAAAAGTAATCTACTTTTCTCTTTCAGATCGGATTCACCTACTGAAAAGTTAAGCTAATTATTCTGGACTTGTCTAAAATTCAAACAAAGGGTGATTGGAGGAAGAGGGTGGTCAGGTAATTTACTGTACAAGTAATCAATAAATCACTGTACTGTTTGTTGAATAATGCATTTAGTGTCAAGAGGATTTAAACTAAATGATTAATTGCATAATCTCTACTATACAGTTAAAAAAAACTGCATTCCAGCCTATCTCAGTGCTTTATCATATACTCAAGCTGCATTGTGGTAATTAATTCACCAGAAGATTGAAAAGCCTGTGATACCCTCAACCTCTTCCTGTATACCCTCAATTCTTTATCAGGCATTAAATATCCTATTTGTCACAGTATATCCAATTAAAGTCAGAGGAGGCCTGAGGAGAAGTAGGTGTAGGAGGAGGAGGAGGAGGAGGAGGAGGAAGAGGAAGAGAAGACATGCCATAGCATTGTTAGTCAAGTAAGAAAAGGCCTGTTTCACTGATGATACTCGGTTCACATTGCGGCCCTTGCTGCTGCACAATGAACAGTACTCAAATGGCTGCATTGAATCTCCAACCTCATTGATTGCGCAACCACAGCCTTTTAGTTTTAAATTCTAAATATGTTACTGTTTTTCAGGGCACAGAAGAAAAAAAATTGCTGCCGTTGTTTTTTTTAGCTTCAAGGAACATTTAGTGATGCCATGTTGGCCTAAAGGTACACAATCACTAAACTTGACACTAACATCCTGTGAAGTGCTTTGAGACGTCCTCCAGATATGAAAGGTACTACTACATCAAATGCAAGGATTATTCTTAAAGAACTGGGCACAGATTATTCTCGCCTGCGGAAGGCTTCTAAGCAGTCGCAATTTTGGAGCTTTGCTACATCACCACGTCAACAACAAAGTATTTACAAAAATCAACAAGGATACCAAAAGAATGCAAATATGCACACACAATCCGACAGCTGCATTGGCAAAGGGGAGCAGGTCTACTACACCTGGATCTCTAGAAAATAAAAAACCTATCAGGAAAGACAACAAACGCAACAAAACAGATTTTATACTTTTAATGAGCAATAAATAGCTTGCAACCTCTTTTCCTTGAAAGGACTACTGTTCCACATAAATCCTAGTAAATGTTGCTGGATTCAAAGAATGATTGCTACCAGTTGTAAATCAAGTGGTAAACGGATGTAAGTGTGTCTTCCAAATAGCCAGATAATACGTTTGGTGTCTTCCTCACTTTAAACCCCGTTTGGACCTCTTAAGTTTATGACTGTTTATGGGACACTACTGTGCGCAATTGGCTGCCGTATTTTGCCCACAAAATGTACATTTTACACTATATTCTGCGAATCGCTTTGAGACATGTCAACGACCTGTTAAGGTTCTATATCAAATGCAAGGAATATTTTTATTATTAAGGTTTAATTTTCCTCCCTGACTAACTTTTTGCATAATATTGAAAACATTCTTGGGCATCATGGTTTGCTAATACAGTTGCGTCTCTTTTCATTTCACTTGGATTCCCTAATTTCTTTTGCAAAATTGCTTTTATAGAGTTTTGTGCTTAGCCCAATGGTTGCATTCGCTCTCCCTTCAAGCTTTGTAAATTTTCAGATTTGCCATAATTTTTTAATTTTCTTGTTGATCTATTTCAAAGCATTATTGTTTCATCTCTCTGTTCCGCACTTACCTCTCCTGTATGTTCGCCGTAACATTTTTGAAGGAGGTGTATTTATCCTCCAGCAGCGCTCCCAGTCTTTCATTAAACTCCAACGTCATACTTGTGAGGTTAGTCAGTCACAAGAAATATACTAGGTTCTGTTATGTGGTTGCACTGTTTGCTACGTCACATTGAATATTATTATGCAATGGTTACTATGGTTATTATCACCGAGCGGTTCAACTACTTCTATTCTCTGAATAGTATCTAGGTCACTAACATGACGTGACCGAGGTAAGAGGAACTCATGGAAAAAGTCCTTGAATCAGGAAGCATGTCCCTCAATAACACATTTGGAGTCCTTCCCATTTAGACATTCCCATTTTGTGTTAGGCTGGTTGAAGCCCACCATCGGCACTAGCTGAGTTTTCTCACTTGTGCTCTACCTACTTTATTTTGATGATCCGTCAAGAAAACAAACATTGTTTTGCCTTTTTTTCATTAAACCCATCAAACCACAGAAACCAGTAGCACCTCAATGCACACTCTAGGCTCTCCAAGGCTTGGCTATTGCCAACCTGCATCTAACACTCTCCAGAATTAAGTAAGCATCCCTCCAGGGAGAGAGCGCGCATTCCATTCCAATAAATATCTCAGGAATCTCCATGTGTCGGTAAGATGCACAGTGATGGGTTTCCACGTATGCCAGACACCAATTCGTATAGTGATAAGGCATTATATCAAATGCAAGGATTATCATCATTATTATTATAACTCATATTTTTCACAAGTGATATTAAACATATGGTCCCAACTGATACGACCTATGTGAGGTTTCGAAAGCAAGTTACCCTGCTATAACTGCAGGGAATTGGAGTTTACCTTTACAATAGTCAGCCGGATCCTCCTGCTCTTCATCATCAGATCCTAGGATTTCCTCCTCCGGCTCCGGTGGAACAGGCTCTGGTGGAGGAGGTGGGGGTGGTGGTGGAGGAGGGGGAACAGCGGGAGCTTTTTGTTGAGGCTCTGGCCTGGAAGGAGAGAGGGAAAAGGAGAGAAAATGATTATCTATCACGGATAATAATGTTCTGTCATTGCAAGTTAATTGCCAGTTGCAAAATCACAAACTTGTTGAGATTATTGACATTTATTTTCAACTTTGCTGATATTCAGTGGATAACAACAACAACTTGCATTTATATAGCTCCCATCATGCAGGGTAGCGTCCCAGAGCGCTTAAATTAACCATATGGCTTGGTGCTGAGCTAAGCAAACCAAGGAGGACCCTGGTTTGATCCCTTACCAGTTTCGATGTCAGAGCTATAATTGGATTCAAGTTCCCCAGTCTATGGAAGCAAAAAGGAAATTCATTCAATGTTCCTTCTAATCATTATCTAGTGACCATGGGTGAGGGAATCTACCTGAACAGAATCCAAATGCAGCTGACATTAATAGAATTGTACCTCGGCACAAATTATACAAGTCACTGTGACCAACAAGGGAGACAAAATTGAGGAAGAGTAGTTTCAAGAGTTCAAGGAAACAAAATTCTATCACTATATTGGCTTATGTGCTATCGTGAAGCAGAAAGAAAAGAACAGTCTGTACAATAAACACTCAGAGATCCTGGCTGTTCATTAAGGGGGAAGACAACAGCAAAAGCAAGGCAGATGCTTCTACATCGGAAGAGAGACTATCTGTGACTCACCCAACTCCAAGAGTGGCCAATTAGAGTTACATCCAGATGCCAGGAAGAATGTAATCTCTCTCTCACCGGGTCATGGTTTATGGCACAAACCCTTTCATTGAGGGGTTGAAGAAAAACAGTGACCCTTATGTTGTTTCATTCAAACAGTCTCTCTCATCTCTTCCCCCAACCCCCTCCCCCGACCCCATTACAGTAGTGACAAGTGAACACTGGAATGCAATTATCAGCTTGGTTACATCTTTGTCTCTGAACTGTCACAAATAATTTACTCTGGTGACAGTGTGAAAATATGCAACAGATGTTTATAGCTCACACGATGAGCTGCGTACAGGAACACTACTGGGAGCCCAAATTTAAATGAATCCAATGGAACTTCTAGGCAATGTCACCACAGGCTCTATTGGAGACGCAGTCTATATGCGCTCAATGAGTTTTTTTTTGAATAAAATCAGAGGATAGTGTTAAACAATAAATAATACAACCAAATGCCAACATATTGACTTTTTTTTTGCAGCCTCTCTCGTCATGTAATTCGGAGGTTGCAGCTGAAGATGACATGGATGATTGTTGAGCTGAACAACCATTTTACAAACAGAAAAATGTAATGCATTAGAAAATCAAATAAAGATGCTGAAGCCAAAATGTCAGCCTGCGACCACCCCCCCACCCCAACACACACACACACACACACACACACTCACTCTTTTCATCACCACATAAACGTACGGAAAGAGATGAACCTTTTCTACCATAATAATTAAAAGTAAAGGACAAACTGCCACCATCAAACATCTTGCACGTCTCGCCGCACAGTGGCAAGGTTCCCATAGAGACAGATTTCGTATTTGCACGTAACTGTTCAGGGAACGATCGCCAATATGGTCATCACTGCCAGTGCAGCAGTATAAACCTGGAATTACACGAAGTCAGCCACACGACAGTCCATTTTAAATTATTAAAAACCGCAACCCAAGGACAATTCCAATATCGTTCTTGCCCACTTTCCATTTAAACTGCATTTTACTAACAATAATGTAATCGCTTCACAATTTTATCTATCTGCACACATTTCATTTTCCAGGAATTCATTTTGACTTAGGTCGGGCTGTGTGCACAATTAATTCTCCATATAAATTGATTTATTAAATCTTTTCTAAAAAAATGCTGGTTTTATTATAGTTTGCACAAGCTAACATATTAACAAAAAATCACTTCAAGGTTCCAAAACATAATCTATTTGCTTCTAATCAGGAAGAGCCAAATGAGTGAACTTTATAATGGATTGTAACATTATTGACTGTATTACACCAAAGACCTAAGGTGCTTTTAAACAGTTTGTTGAATATTCACATCATAACGCTAGAGATCAGTAAAGCCAAATGACAATCCCTCTGCTGTTAAAGCTATATAAAGCAGCCATCCAGATTGAAGCTGGTATTTTCTCCTCTGAACAGATTGTCTCGGGTTATTTTAAACTATGATTTCCAGCCAATCTGACACAAATCATTTCACAGAGTAAATAAGAACATATGACTTGTTCAGCACAGGTAATATATTATGATCTCGACTTGGTAACACTGAGTGGGTAGTTAATGAACGACAAAGTTGTCAATGAAATTCTGAAGAATTCCATGCGTGAACATATTTGTCATCCTAGGGCTTGGTTTCCATTCAGATGTTTAAAGACCATTTAAATTATGTCAGGTAATAAATTACTAAATTGCTAGATTCCACATGTCAGATATTAATGTTCTAACAAAATTTTGATGCATTTACAAAAAGGTCGCAGTATTTAAAGGTTCAGTTTCATCTGTTTTCTCAGTCAAGCAAAATGCAAGGTTACATTCATAGGCCTGAATTTTTGCACTTTATCATGTGGTCACACCCAGTAACACTGCCCATTTAAACAAAATAAAATCTATCCACTTCACTCCTATGATCAAACGAAAAACAACCATTTTGTGTAAAACTTAAAATGGCAGATTGTGTTTGACAAGCTGCTGTAAAATGCATTCCAACAAAACATCAGGACATTTTTTTTCCAAACAAAAAAATATCCAATATGCTGCAAGCTTGGCACATGAGAATACATGTGCAGAGATATTACATAAAGTGATGAAACACATTAAGACGCTGCCTGCAGCGACTTCGCTGAGAATTCACTACTTGAATAAATGCTGGGAATTAGTTAAGTGCCCTTCATCTAATGGACCAAATGCTTCAAAATACGTGCAACTAAAATGTAGAGCTGCATGCATCAAACGTCTGAAATATGCACAAAAAAGTTACACTTGAATACTCTATTATATACAGTGTATTTGAACAGCATACTTCAAGGCATTCTTCCTGCATCCTGTATTTAACGGGTGACACACTGACATTCCACTGAACAAGTCCTATCAAGTGATCTATGTTTTACACTCAATACATCGCTTTTCAAAGCGAAACCCAAACATTTCACAGCAAAGCAGCTAAAGATATAGATATAGCATCCCTCACGCAGGGTAGTTGTCCCGGAGCGCTTGACAGTAGCAGAGCACAAGGCCGAGCTGGGGGAAGGGGGTTGAATGTAGGCACGGTCGAAGTGGAGGGTCTTCAGGCCCAACCTGAAGATGGGGAAAGAAGGGCCAAGGCGGAGGAACGGAGGAAGAGTGTACAAGAGTTTTGGGGTGTAGTGGCTGGTTCCGATGGTGGAACGGGCAGAGGGCATGAGGGATAAGCAGGAGGCCGGAGCCAATCGAGCGGAGTTAGCACATACTATACTTTCAATAGAAGCGTGCAAGCAGTGCATCCAGTATTTAATACATAGGTCACCTGGACATAAAAACTGACAGGGTTGCTAGCAAAACTGCAATATCACAGATGGAATTTATTAATATATATATTCATTTTTAAATTGCTGGATTTTCCTTCGCTACTGTGAGTACACTCAAAACAGTGTTGCTGCAATATATTCAGAATTCTAGCTTTTACAGATTATGGTATTATACTATTAGCGTAATAGTTTAAAATAGACGATTCAAATAGTTTTAATTTGTAGCTGTAAATATTTAAACAACAGTCTAATAGCTACAGAAATTGAAAGTTAATGTATGTCTTTAAACAAAAGGAACTTTAACTCAATATTCAAGCACAGCTTTTGGCCTCTTCTACAGTAATAATAATAATCCTTGCATTTGACATAGAGCCTTATTACGTCACTGAGACATCTCAAAAGCATTTCGCAGAATATACTGTATATTTTGTGGACAAAATGCAGCAGCCATTTAATTTATTTAAATAGAGGTGGTCAAGAAAAAAATGTATAAACATATAACTTCAGCAAGTTACACACTCATAACAATATGCATTGAAGGAATCATGTACACACTGCAATGGTATCATACGTTCCATGGATTTGAGGAACTAGCAAACTTGCTGCTGGTAAATCTTTAATTCTAAGTTTCATACAGTACAGAATTAGAGATAGAAAAATTCGGAGAGAGACAGAAAACTAGAGAGTGAGAGAGAAAGAGAAGAAAAGTCAGAACGAGAAAAACAGAGAGGAGGGCTAGCATAGTGTGTTACTACAATGACAATATAACTCTTTCTGAAATTTTTTTTAGTTAGCGCTGTAACCAATTTGTGTTTTGCATGATGATAGTAATAATAATTCTTATATTTGGTAGTGTCTTCCATGTCAGCAGGACATCCTAAAGCACTTCACATCATTATGGATAACTGTTCAAATATAAAATGGCAATTTTATTCTACTATTCAACAAATGGTTGCATCTTACAAATATTTAACCAGGATTGTACTTCAAAATTAACTAAGCAAATTATTATAGACACCATAGAGATTCAAATGAGAGCTGCAAAGCAACTGGGTGATAGAAAAGAAAATAAATGAAATATTAACTGTTTATAACCCAGTTAGGAGAGGGAGGGGAAGAATTAATCTACAGGCAACCAGAAAGAAAACTAAACTCAATTGTGAAGAGTGTAGAAACATGAGGTTTCACAAACCCATCAATTGCTTCAATATAGTCTGTATTGTATTAAGATTCAATTTAGATGTGCTACAACATAGTGCTTAATACCATGGTGCATTGACAAGTACATTTTTAGTTGAAAATAAAAAGGATATTATTCCTAACAAACTCTTGATCAACGGTAAACACACACAGTGAACCTTGTCCAGCGTGTTTTGTAATGTTGGACATGTCTATAACTACACCTCCAAGTTTCACTGATGAAGCAAGTTTCTAATCAAACATTAACAATGCCTCAAACTGCTGGACTTTGCCAGATGTCTCTCCTTTGATCTATTTTTAGGGAGAGA